GGGGACGTACATCTGAATCCGGGTTTTGAGGGGTCTTGGTCTTGATGGGGCCAGGGTTTGCTACCATTCCAACCTATTAGCCTCATTCCCTCTAGCACATCACAAGTAAAAAAAAAAAGAGGGGACATTACTTCTCCGGCATATCCTCGCGACTATACCCCCAAACAAACAATCATTAGCCACATTCTCCCACCCAAACATAACCCAGAGAGAAAGAAGAAGAAGAGGGGGGGGAGGAAGGAAGGAATACTTAGCAAACCCCACATTCACCACATCAAACGACACAATCAACTCCTCATCATCATATACCTTCGCAAACGCATCCACCACGCCCTCCTCGCCCCGAATATCCCACACCCATTGTTCATGGGTAACCCCGTAGTCCAGGATCATCCCCTTTTCGTTCATCACGGGGAGTTGCGCCCGGCGGACGGTGCGCGGGTCGGTGCGGGTGTAGCCGAGGCCACTACCCATTTATTCGTTGTTAGTTTTGGGGGATTATGGTGGTGGTTTCGGGCAGGTGGAGGAATGGGAGTGGGGGGGGGGCATACAATCCCTCCATGTACGAGTAAAACGCATCAGCGTAGGACTTGGCTCGGTCCAGTGGGATGGCACCCTTGATCACGGCGTAACCGTCGCGGTTGAGGTCGTCGCGGAAGTCGCCGTAGGTGGTGGGCTTGCCGTCGAGGAGCATGCGGTTTTGGCCTCTACCTTTGGTGGAGCTGTTAGGGGTTGGGGTTAGGGTTGGAATTTGGGGGGTGATGGTGGTGGTGGTGGTGGTGGTAGACATGGTGAGTGGCTGTTGGTGTTGGGATAGATGAAGTTGGGATGATGGAGATGGCACTGGATAAAGGCGTACTTATCTGGATTGTATAAAGCTAGGTATGATGCCCCGAAGGATGGTATTACCTGCTCCGAGACCGAGTTAGGGCTCGCTCGGAGGGCCCCGAGATATCTCGCCGATTCGGGCCTCGCCGAGCATCTGACCGAACCCTCCATCTCAGAGTAAATACCCAGATAAAATAACCCCTAACCTCCCCCAATATCCTACCAACCTCACCATCAAGCTACAATGACCACATACAACATCATCATCATCGGCGCCGGCATCGCCGGTCTCGCAGCCGTACCCCTCCCCCCACCTCCACCCTAAACCACCCATCCATAACTAACAGGTATAAGGCAATCTCCCTCCGCCATCCCACCCGAAGAATCCTCCTCCTCGAACAATCCCCCCTGAGTACCGAAATCGGCGCCACCATCTCCCTCCAACCGAACGCCTCGAAGCTCGTTGCCCGATGGGGTGTATCCGATCTCCTCGCACCACTGGCCATGACGGATACTGCGTTCTCGGTGTATGATCTGTCCGGGTCGTTGAAGACGCATGTTTCTCTGTCATCGTCGATGGGAACGTACGGTGCCGAGAGGATGATTTATCATCGACAAGATTTGCACGCTGTGTTGCGGGAGAGGGCGACGTCGGTGGAGTATGAGGGGCTTCCGGCGGAGGTATGGGTAGGGAAGAGGGTGGTGGGGGTGGATTGTGAAGAGGGGGTTGTGGAGATAAGTGATGGGGAGACGGTGCGGGGGGATTTGATCATCGGGGCGGATGGAATCAAGTCCGTGACGAGGGGGTATGTACTTGGGAAGGAGGTTGCGGCGAGATTGACCGGGTGGAGTGCGTATCGGATGATGGTGGAGATGGAGGACTTGGTGCAGGATGAGGCGTTTGTGAAGGTGGTGGATCCGAGGGTGAGTCGGACGGTTATGGTGGTGGGGGATCGCCGGAGGATGGTCATGGGTCCGGCGAGAGGAGGGAAGGTGTATAGTGTTGTTGCGTTGGTGCCGGATGAGATGGGCGAGGGAGGGGGAAAGGGGACGAGTTGGGTGACGAAGGGTGATCGGGGGAAGATGTTGGATACGTTTGGGGATTTTCCAGACTGGGCGAGGGCGCCGTTACGGTTAGCGCAGGGGGAGATAGGGTTGTGGCAGTTGAGGGATCTGGATCCGTTGGAGACGTGGTGCAAAGGACGGGTGATTTTGATTGGAGATTCGGCACATGCCATGTTGCCGACGCAGGGACAGGGAGGAAGTCAGGCCATTGAGGATGCGGAAGCGTTGGGGGCGTTGTTCAGGGAATTGGGGGGAGATGAAGAGGGTGGCGGGAGATGGAAGAGGGAGGATGTGGAGAGGATTAACCAGGAGGTGTTTGAGTGTCGATATGAACGGGCCACCACGATCCAGGCGTATAGTCGGTTGGCCGGCGGCGAGGACGAGAGAGCCAAGGTGGCCATGAATCCGGCCGAATTTATGGATTACAATTGTTTGTATGAGGGGGCTATCGATTGGAGGAGGCGGCAGGTCGTTGTGTAAACAGTGAATGTCAGATACCTGTATGGGTATCTCTCGAAAGCAATACTGGCCCTGGCAAGTTCTTTGGCCGCTCTGATTCGTATTCTGATTTACCTCGTACACAGTCCTAGTCAATCTTAATATCATTGGCCATCCTACTCATGTGACGCGAACATTGCTTTAACTGACTACCTTAATCCAGTTGATACGTCACTGCGATGCTATTATTCACGAGGGAATCGAAAGATTGCAGAGTCAGTCCTAGGGTTCTTGTTGGCTCTACCTCCTCCAGATGAGTTTAAGCCACTGAGGTGCAGCCAATCATCCGCTTGATGCCTGAACTCCAGTGTTGATGTGGACGGGATTACCTGTGTCGCGAGTAGCCACACATCGTCCCTACATATATATGAAAGTCCAGAGTGTGGCCATGAAGAAACACCTTGGGAGTCTGTGTGGTGTTCTGTCACATGATAGCGATGGAACTGGCAATCCCTGTTGGCTAGTACTTGATCAGTGATGAGACGGCCTTGTTGAGACTACAAGTTAGTCAAGAAAGTAATGATCCACTGTGAATGGAAGTACATATAAGATATAGTGGTACCCACCATATCGCCTAAAGCGAAGGGTCAGAGTGACGACTCATCATCATCAGCTGTATGCCTTCCGGCAAACGCACGAAGGGTTTTGATAAAGACGGGCATCTAATACTGTGAGGATCTATCAATCCAGGGATCGACGGCGGCGCCTATCAGTTTCAACGACCAGGAAAGGGACAGCTTCCTGAGTTAAAAAGCCTAACATGAATAATTCCTGGTAAAGTCCTGAAACAATTCTGTCACTATCAACAACACGCCAATCCCTAATAAACATGCGTCCAGCCAAGTTGAGACGCAAGTTTATAATTGATGTATTCACCAATGCGAGAAGACCCGTCCGAGCACACTGGCCCCCCCTTCAAGTTTTCCATGTCCTGAATGACTCGATCGATATGTTCACCCGCGGCACTAAGATGAAGAATGCGCCCGATAGCACGATGTATTTCCAAAAGTTCCGGAGAAGGTGGCTCGATATTTCTGTCGGGGGTGATGTAGAGCTTGCGGATAATAGGAAGTTTGTAAGATCGCCAGATGCGTTTGGTCTTCACATAGTCAATCTTGTATGTGTGTGCTTGATTCTGGACTGGTTCAAATGCAACTTCAAAATTGCCGAACAATCTATGAAGGTCATGAGTCAAGGTGAGCGCATTCATCGGTCGGTCAATATCAGTCCCGCTGATCAAGTGGAGAACTGTGGGGTTGAACATTTTGAGAATCTTATGGGTTATATGCTTTCGCTCAGTCTTACAAATGGGTCAGCAAAAGATCATATATATAGTTAGTGACGTACCAGTTTCGGCTCTCCTTCAAGGTCACTGAGAGACATGAGAGAATGAGGAATGATATGCGCTACTTCTAGATAGGTCATGTTATCACTCTCTGGCAGTAAAGAATTCCCATCATCATCTGTTACTTCGTCTCCATAGATATTGTACCGTGTTTCACCCTCCAGAGCGTCGAATTTTCGCGTTATAACACATCGATGTCGATCACGCGTAAGGCAGAGATGCCGCAGATTAGAGACACGTTGCGGGGTGCCAATAGCTGGTTCTGACGATTTGAGACGAGAAACAGATGCCGGCGTAGGTTGAGGAGTCTTTGCGGCCAATGCTTTGACTGGGAAAGGTAAGTATCCCATACTTCAGGTATGTATCAGTGACATACGTGGTAGGAAGAAATTCTCTATCAGATACATGGCAAACTTGACCAAACTGTCATCAAGGACATGTCGTTCTTCATCAGTCCATCCCTGAAAACTTTGCACACTTGATAAGGTCTCAGCTAGGCAAATTTCTGTGTCTTCTGTGACTCCAAGTCGGTTGTGCTCAATGAAAGTGAAAAAGAAAATAAGAAACTCGTCTTCAACAGAGATCCCCTCCATCGTGAGGCGTATAAGTGTTATCGGTTTGTACTTCTTGCTAGATTTCTGCAGAGGCTCGAAATAATCGATGATCATGTTAAAAAGCTCAGTAGCTTTGTCATGCTCTTCTGGCGTCAAGTGTTGCGGTTCAGGAACGATCACCCCTTCCAACGATGAACGGTGCCGGTGATGCGGAACAGCCATTGTAATCTAAGGATGTCGGAAATTCTTTGATTCTTAGGCTTGTGAGTGAAGAAGTTTGAATTTAATTGATGTTTGATCCAAGACATCGAGGAGAGATAGCGGTTCTTATAATGACTGAAAGGTGCTTGGCTAGTGTATGTTCAGTATTGGGCATTAGAGGTTGGCTACTTTCGGCTTTACTATCTTCCGACCCGGAAAATTGTTACTCCTCGCCACCCATAGCACACCTAGTTAACTATTCATAGTCGAAACGTCCAACCTAGGAAATAATTAGTGGCATAGAGATAATAACTATAGTATTTAATAAGTTATATAGATAGGGGTATAATAGAAATATATATAAAAATTACATGGCTATTTATATTAGACTTAAAGTACTTTCATGTATGTGTTCCTGACAACCTGACGATAAATTATGATGCTTCAACGTGGGGTTGCGGGGGAAGAGCGGGGCATCATTCAGCTGTCATGTGATGTGGCTTGATGTGTACTAGGGCGTGACCTGCAGCCACGTCAGAACGACAAGAGCATGCTGTAACAGTTGCAATGTTGAATTGAATGGCGGTTATCATGGCCACTGTAGCGAAGAGTATCCCCCGGCTCACCGGAGGTAAGTCTTATTCCAATACCAAAAGACGGTGACTAACAACATCAGATCACTCCTCAAGCGGACATCCCACGTGAGCCCATGCAACACCAGAATGAGTTCCTCTTCAGCTGCAGCAGAAGCAGCCAAAGCAACAGCAGCCAAAGCAACCTACAAAATCGTCACGAAGCATGACACATCAAAATGACCCAATCCCCCTACCCCAACTGGACCTACGGGCAAGGGGTCCCCAACCACACCAGCAAAGCCCATCACGAAATCGACCCCTACGCTCCCGACCACCCCATGGTCAACAACTACCGTCTGCTCGTCTCCGGCATCGCGCCCCCCGCCCCATCGGCTTCATCAGCACCGTCTCGGGCGACGGAAAAAACCTCGAACCTCGCCCCGTTCAGCTACTTCCAAGTCGTCGAGCACGACCCGCCCACTTTCATCGTGGGGTTCTCGTCCCGCCCGGGTCCAGTCAAGGATACCTATCGGAATTTGAAAGAGACGGGGGGAGTGCGTAATCAACACAGTGTCCGAGGGGGATGATTGAGGCGGTGAATGCCACGTCGATTGATGCGCCGTATGGAGTGTTGGAGTGGAAGATTTCAGGCCTGTCGAAAGCGGCGAGTTCGACGGTTAGGCCTACGAGGGTGCAGGAGTCGGGTTTTCTCGGTGGAAGGCAAGGTGGTGGTTATTAAGGAGTTCGAGGCGCATGAACCCGGGATGAGTGCGCCGGCGGTGGTGTTGATTCGGGCCACGAGGTTCTGGATGCAGGAGGGGGCGGTGGATGCGGAGTTTAGTCATATTGAGTTGGAGAAGTTGAGGCCGGTGGCGCAGTTGGGAGGGGTGGCGTATGGACGGATTACGGAGACGTTTGAGCGGCCGCGGAAGAGGTGGGAGGATGAGATAGAGAGGAGTGAGTTGAGGGAGTTGAAAGAGCAGCAGGATTAACTTGCTGATATAGATTTTTGCTAGACTTTACACTTATGACGATGATTGTAATGCGCGACATGTATGTAATGCCAAGAGCATATGCTGATAATAAGTGTATTTCTATCTATCACTGGGATCACTATGTTAGCCCGTCAACTGCTATGGTATGCTGCCTGGCTCCTCAGGCATCAATCCATCCGATAAGATCGGCACTTCCACCGGTTCCCTTGTTCCGACCACAACACTAACCTCTTCCTATCAATTAATAGTCCCATCACGACAACCATATCCATCTCTAATATCATTCCTTCTCAACATGTCCCTCCTCCGCTTCTCCGCCAGGGCTCTCCCCACCCAACTCCGTACCCAAATCGGCCTCCGCACCATCGCGACAGCCAGCAAAAAGGAATGGCTCTGCATTCTCCCCGACAAGCCTGATGCTTTGGAATTGAGGAGAAAGGTTCGACCGTATGTTCCCCCCTTTCAGGGAACTATCATCTGCAGCTCGTTAATTATGGTCAGGACTCACATGGCGGGAATCGGACCCCTGGTCCAGACCGGAAAGATAGTCGTTGGTGGTTCGTGCACTTTACTTTCACGTCAATGCTGTAGGCTACTAATTATACTAGGCGCCATGTTGGGCTCTCATCCCCAAGAAGGCGAGGATTTGTCCTTCAAGGGTAGTATGCTGATTTACACGGCGGAGACGGTCGAGGAAGTTCGGCAGATCGTGGAGGAGGATGTTTATGCTAAGAGTGGAGTGTGGGATATGGAGAAGGCGTTGGTTGTTCCGGTGAGTTTATGTCTTTCTTTTTGGGCTGGGTGGGGGATGCTGATGGGTTTAGTTTGTGTCGGCGGTTCGGGAGCCGTTGAGGAAGGAGTAGTGGTGAGGAGGCTTTGTTTTTGATGGTGAGGGATGTGTTGCCTTGGAGTGTTGAAGATAGAGGTAGAATCATGATATATGTTGCCTGCCGGATATGGTAGACATTATATATAGCTGACATGTGTAGTGTGCTTTTACTTCCAGGATATCGCCACTTGAAGCTCGCCTGACTGAGCTAATGAGTTCCTTGGAGTAATTGGTGCAGTGTTATGCACCTCCACGATACCTTGGGGCGATGGGGAGTCGGTCTCGCAGATTTACCTAACCCCCTGTAGAGCACTATTTTATACCTCTCCTCAAGGAACAAGGGACGATGGCGCATCTGGGAGCGCGTCAGACTGAAGATCTGGAGGTGGCCGGTTCAAGCCCGGCTCGTCCCATCCTTTTTTCCCCTGTATGGTTGAATCGACCATTCAATGTTGGTATTCTTTTTGCCGGTACCACCGTGCCAGGATCGAACCCTGCTGCCGACAATTCCGATGAAGAATAGATTTACTTACATTATAAGTCCTTTCTTTGGGCCCATGTGCAGTGGCTTTGAGTCTCCATCAGGGCTTGCCTCTGGAATCTGGCTAATGGGGTGGGAGATGGTGAAATTCTCACCTTTACCAGGTTGAGGCATGGGTATTGAGATTAGCATTATATATTGGTTGGGGTGCATGCCTCAATTTTCGTGATCTACAGCGGGACTAGTACATGGAGCGCAATGTGGGGATATGATTCTCGTGGTTGTGAGGGGATATATTTATCCAATGCTCCGCTGACTGCTAGAACATATATAACATCAAATATATAACGAGTAGTAGTACCAGAACACTGAACAAGTAAAATGCCGTATAGGTTAGTACTTCCAGATGCTGCGTTGGCATAATGATACATCCCATGCCGATCATCTTAGAATGGAAACAATCTAGTAGTATGCACTGTATTCATTCCATCAAACATGGCATATGGCATGCTTGGTAGATGCACAGTGGAAAATAGTAATCCATTATGTAACATAAAACAGATAGCATTTTCAACAATTGGCCTGCTGGCCCAATGGTAAGGCGCTTGACTACGGATCAAGAGATTGCAGGTTCGAGTCCTGCGTAGGTCATTCTTTTTTTATTTTTGCTGTTCGGAAATATTTGTTGCTATACCAGTTCGTACGCAGACTCTGGGAATTGTGCAGCGAGGTAACCTAGTATCTTTCATCTGATAATTTGCCCTAGTCGTTCCACCCACGTAGGTGATGACTTTGCTATCTTCCTAGCCTGGTTTTCTTCTTGTTCACTGAACGGTCAGGTCAAGAGGGATACGACTCCATCGAGAAGGCAATGGACCCAATTCAGCGAGTTTATCTGTACCGTCCAGGTGGCGATTAATTCACTTTCGAGACCATTTAGGGATGCTTCGCCCTCTCCATCCACTCCCGAATCCACTTCCGCACCCACTCGACCTGCACCCCCTCCACGGCCCTCAACCGTTCGCTCCTCTCCTCCGTGCATCTCGTCTCAAACACCCATCCCCTGCCCTGAGAACCTTCCACTGCACCCTCCACCGCCCCCTCAAAAAAACCCAACAACTTGGCAGCTGGATTCCGCTCCAACACCTCCCTCATCTCATCCTCCCCTACACCCTCCACCCCATCCCTAACCCTCCCCACCCACTCCTTGAACGACACAACCCCCACCTCCTCCCCCCTATACTCCGCCAACACCTCCCTCACCACCTCTCTAATGACCCCCCACTCCACCGCCCTCGGATTCACCACATGAAATACCTCCTCCCCATCCCCTCCGCCACTTCTCTTCTCCGCGACAGCCAATTCAACAACCACCCCCGCCACCTCATCCACCGGAACCCAATCCACCCGATCCCCCATCGCCCCCAAACTCTCCGGCACAGCACCCACATCCAACGAACTGAGGACTAAACTCGGGAACCATTCCCCGGAATTCCACAGGCCCGGGGTGTGGATGGAGCCGGCGATTTGGCCCACCCGGGCGATTGACATCCGGACAGAGGTAGAGGGTAAGGTTTTGGAGGCGTAATGGAGGATGTGTTCGGCGATGTATTTACTATTTGCGTAGGCGGTGGATGCGGGGGATGGGGTGTGGAGAATTTCTTCTGGGATGGGAGTGCTGGTTAGGGTTTGGGGTTGGGACATGACGGCGCTGATGGAGGAGATGTAGACGATGTGGGACTGGCGCGGGGATGCAGTGGCGAAGTTGAGGAGGTTGGTGAGGCCGGTGAGGTGTGGGGTGAAGGAGGATAAGGAGAGATTGAAGTTGACGGGCCAGGCGTTGTGGATGATCAGAGTGGTGGTGGATTGGAGGGTGTGGTAGGTGGTCTCGTTCAGGCCGAAGTAGGGGCGGGAGAGGTCGACGGTCCAGAAGGTGGTGAGGGACCTAGAGGGAGGGGGCAGGTGGTGCAGGGTGGATTGGGTGTGTTGGTGGTGGAGGGCGTCCGGGGTGGGTTTGCGGTTGAAGCAGTGGATGTGGGAGATGGCAGGGTGGGTTTGGAGGATGTGCAGGAGGTGCGTGCCGAGGGTGCCGGTTGAGCCGGTGAGGATGACGGTGTGCTTTGCAGAGGGGTTGAAGGGGGGAGGGTTGGGAGGGGGCGTTGTGGTGAGTTGGGATTGGAAGTGGTGCAGGAGACGGTCTCGTTCTTGGAGTGGGTGGTGTGTGGTATCCTCGGGGGCGGTTTGGTGGTTCACCAGTTGGATGATGGCCTTGGTTAAATCTGAGAGAGACGGGTGGAGGTAGATCAGGTTCGGGGTGATATCAGCCATCTGAAAGCCCTGTCGGAGGTGCCGGGCAGTCGTCATGGCTTGGAGAGAGTCCATGCCTCGCTGGAACCAGTTGTCGGACTGATCGATGTCATCCCATCCAGTGATACTCGACACGCATTTCCGGATGAACTCTGCCACCACCACTGGATCACTCCCCCCCCCCCCGGCCCAACAAGTTCACCATCAGACAATCGATCCGCATCCGCATACAGCGCGTCCAGTTCCTCTGCATACATCGACAGGGCAGCCGCGCGCTGCACAATCCCCTTCGCAGACCGAGGCAGTGGCTTCTCCGGCCGTGCCAACAGCACATGCGTTTTGGCAATACGAGCATGTGCCGGACAGACGCTATTCGCCTGTTGAATCGACGGCCAAATCCGCTCCATAAACGCCGTTCTCTCATCTGCATCCAACGCTTTATTGTCAACCAATTCAATCAACAGAGACGCCTGGAACCGCTGTGCCCCGGCCACCAGCGCAACAGACACCTCCAGATTAGCAGCCACAATGGCCTGCTCCATAGAAATCGGATTCGTCTTCTCCCCATTCAAAAACACAATCACATCATCCAATCGGACACTCCATTGCCAAAAATCGGCCTTGTTTGGATCTGGATGTCGCACCCACAGATCCCTAGTATGATACTCCTGGAGATCCGGAAAGATAGCAAATGGAATCTGATGTGCTTCCCGCTCGGGAGAACGGACAATCACCAGCTCATATTCCTCGTCAGTGACGCGACGGAATTCGGCCCCCGTGGCCGGGTGGAACTGGGTGTATTGCCAGTCGGTTTGGGGATTTCGCTTGGTGTGGGATTGAATACAATTCAACATTCCCACCTCGGTGGCACCGAATTGGTTGGCTAGGTGGAACTTGGAGGCAATGGTGTTTCCTAGCTGAGTGGGAAGATCCCCGCCACTATAGACGAGGTGTCGGATATTCCGACACCCTTCTTCCAACAGCTCCGGGCTCTGGGCCAGTTCCTGGAGCATCACCGGCGAGACCAACGCCACGTCGATGGGCGTCTGCTTGGACGCCGCGATGAGCCCGGCCGCGGTTGGGACGCTTGATGTGGGACAAATGACCGTAGACCGAGCAGCAATAAAGAAGAGAAGATGTGCCAGACCGGCCGCCTGCAACGATTAGAGAACATAACAGATAATCATCAAGGCTGCTTACATGGTACGGAGGCAATGGCAAAAACTCCCGTTTCCCATTAATCCAGGCAGATTGAGCATCGAACCCATCTGGAGGCGCCAATGAAGTCAGACGCATATGTCGACTCGCCGTATCATGCGTCCAGACAATCGGCTTGGGGATGCCCGTTGAGCCCGAGGTATGGCTGCTCCGTTAGCTTGATTCCCCCCACTGACGAGCAGACTTACACGATTGCGAGTTTTTCCTGAACATGCTCTGCATACGACTTGGAGAAATCAAAATGAGGATATTCCGTATCCAGGAGCTGCTCAACGCTCGGAACCTCATACCGCTCCATCTCAACCGCCTCTCTTATGGCAGTAACAGGCGCCGGACACGGACTGGGCGCCAGCATTTTCGTACACTCCAGCCGCCGAAACAAACTCTCATGCGCAGCGACGCTATTCCGTGGCGACGTGAGAAACAACTTACTCCGTCAGCATGATTCTATGCCCGCACCAGGGTCAACCTACACAATAACCGGCTTTAACTGCCGCCAGGACCAGCGCGGGGTATCGCACGTCATGGGGACCAATGTAGGTCAGGATTTCCCCGTGACCTGGGCCCAGGGTCTGGGTTAGCCACCAGGCCAACCCGTTAATGGCGTTGGCGAAGGACCGGTACGTGATGGGACGGTAGCCATGGTCGTAGCTGTCTGCGGAGATGGGATACTCGGCGTAGATGGCCTCGGGGGTGGTGGTGGCGTAGTGGTCCACCAGGTGAGGGAGTAATTCGGAGCGAGGATCGAAGTCGGACTCGTATGCCATGATCGTTATGGTTAATGAAGTGCGATACTTAATACGAGGTAGATGAGATGCGGTTGCTCTTAAGGGAGAAGTTTGGAGAGGGGCGGGGGTACCAGCTGATGCAGAATTTAATTTGGACCGCCCATCTGCAGATGATCAGGTGGCGAGCTAAGGGTGCTAGAGAGCTGAAGAATGTTAGTACTAGGAGATAGTTGGTGAGCCAGTCAGCCCTAGTAGCTAGTGCGCGGTTAGCGCCGGGCTATTAGTACTCGATATAGCATCGCGGAAATAGTTTCCACTGGTGCTTGCTTGTTCACCGCTTTCAGACAAGTCTTTAACTTGATGCTAGGGCGCTTACTCACGGGGATGCTACGGAGGCTTTTTTTTCGAGGCAGGTGAGACTGCGGCTTAGCTGGGTTCGTGTGGAATGTATTGCTGGAGTATTGTACCTCCGTGGCGAGACCGGATGCCTGAAGCTGATTCGTGGAATACTCTTTCTTTTTCAGAACATATATACTAGTACCCTCGAAGACCAGTGAATGTCCACTTTAAGCCAAAGCCCTCCCTAGTGTCATGAATCGAGGGTGGCAAAAAAAAATCAAGAAATCACAATAGAACCTTCCAAAAACGGATTATACAATACCCCTAGCGACTCTGCCGATGTAAACTGCGCTAAACTCAAATCCAACTGCATCGTTCCCTTGTCATCATGCATCGCGAGATCAGCAGCAGGGTCGGAGCTGTTAACAGGCGGACCCGACTTGGAGGCCCAGAACCAAGCCGTGGAGGTGCCATTCGGATCCAAGGTATACTCCGAGCTGGAGTTGGTCGAGGAGAGGGTAGGCCAGGCAGACAGACAATTCATGCAGCGAATGTTGGCGATCATCCGGCCGTTGTCGATGCCCGAGCCTGGCAATAGGGTGAGGTTTGCGAGGGGGTTGTACTCCGGCTGGCTCTGACCCCCGTCCATGCTGGATCGGGGAGACAGGGTAACCTCAGTGGCAGACGCGGCGTAGAGGATGAAGATGTTGGCCGAATCCATTTGCGTGCCTTGGCCGAGAGAGGCCCATTGGAGGGTGGTCGGGGCGGAGATTTGTAGGTAGATGGGACCCGAGTCGGTGGCGGTTGTGGTGTCGGGGATGGTGATGCTGTAGGTGAGGGCGGGTTGGCTGGGCGGGGAGTAAATGAGGATGTTGGCTGTCACTAGGACTGCCAATTGTTAGAGTGAGTTGGTTAGAGGATAGGGACGTACCGGGTGCTAAGGCGAGGCCTTGGAGTAGATGGAAGGTATGCATGGTGGTTGGTGGAGTTGAGACTGAAGAGTCAGGCTGGGTGCAGTGGGTATAAGGTAAGTACTATCATCCCTGGCTGGACACCAGCCGGTTTACCTTAAGGATCTGAAACCGGGATAGAGCCGAATAATGGTATTGTGTCTCAGTTCCACTTGGACGGAGGAAGATGTTGTCGCTCAAGGGATGCATTCCTGAAGCTGTAACATGTCCCTTGCATCCGATCTAGCTGAGAAGAAGTTACACCGCACCATTTAATCCACTTACTTTGATTAGTTGTGTATGATAGATAGAAGTATAGAAGACGATATGTTGATCTGGGATGCAGAAATGAATGTCGCCTGGAGAAGCAACAAGATCAGGTGACCTGCTTGCCCAAGTGAAGTGGACAGACATATCAAGCAAGGAACCTGATCACTACATTTCACTATACTCATGGCTAGTCATTATATTTTTCAAATCACCGAAGGATGCACTAATCTCCACCCATCCAATCACTACTGAATCTCATCGCTTCGAGATAGGCCTATGAGCTGTTCCTGGAAGCTTAGGGATGTCACAGCTGGGCGCATAAGATTGAATGCTGGATAATGATTGGACCTGCTAAGGGGGTCGGTCCCACCGAAGGAAGAAGGATGAATCCGCTAAGCTGTCTAAGCGCCGATTCTGCGCCGATCTATCCTTGTAGAGGGCTAGATGTAAGCACTAAGTCTGGATATCAAATAACGCTGCAAGGCTGTCAGCCGCACCCCACAGCACACGGGGTAGAAATGCAGCACATCCCTCTAGTGAACCAAACTCTTAATTTCGTCTCGTTGCATTCATCAGAATCCCGAGCCTGAATCCCGAGCCTAAATCGCGAGCCTGAATCGCTATGGAACCGATTCAACACCCAGAATCGCACCCAGGGAGAAGCCCCAGTCCGTCCCCTTCGCCCCAGAAGTCGCTGATACGTGACGATCGGCAGGCCCCAAAGCAACCTCGAGGCGCCAACCGGTTCAACTGGTGGTCATCATGGTGGGAAGAAATTGTCATGTCTATCTTGAGCATCGCCTGTCTGATCGCGTTGGGCGTGCTCCTCGGGCAGTTAGATGGGATGACCTACGCCGACTGGGCATATCGAGCCTCGCCCAACGCTGTGATCGCCGTGGTAGCAACAGCGGACCGAGCTGCCTTGTTATTCCCCGTCGGAGTGTGTCTCAGCCAATTCAAATGGAACCAATATAGTCAGCAGCAACGACTCTACCACCTGCAAGTAGTGGACCAAGCCAGTCGAGGGCTCTGGGGCTCTCTCCGAATGATCACCAGCACCCGACCCAGTCTGGCCACCCTGGGTGCTATTATCTTGATCCTATCGGCTGCCATCGATCCTCTGGCCCAGCAGATTCTCGCCTTTCCATCGCGCGTGGTGTCCGCTTCCAACGAGACTGCAACCGCCCAAACCGCACACATTTACATGCCCCTCGACCCCGATTCCGACAACACCATGAGTCTCACGGTGCTCAGCAGCGCCTATGGATCCAACAGCACCCAGGAACCCGTCTGCACCACCGGATCGTGCCACTATCCCGACTTCGTGGCCTTGGGGGCCTGTAGCCAATGCGCGGATGTCACCGCGCAAACCACGCAGACTTGCCGTGCGCTTTCCCCTGAGAACAGTACCATTGGCAGAGCACTCAACGGGACCGCGTTTGAAAACGCCGACGTCAATTGCACCTACACCACGCCCGGGGGCCTCGAGATTACCCCCAGCGTTTATGCGCTGTTAACCACCACCGTGAACTCCACCGACGCCGAGCAATTCTCCAAGCACGAATGGACCTTCGCCACCACCGACGTCGGAGATCTCAATCTCAGCGATTCTCAAGGGGCCCGGGTGGCAGGGATCCTGAACCCGATCGTGGGCCTGGGGGTCGCGGAATACAGTTACCCCTACATATTATACACGACGGAGAACCTCACCGCATCGGAAACGAAGCCCCAGATCACCGAATGCGCGCTCTACCTCTGTGCCCAGAAGTACGAGAACAATAGCTATACCTCGAACCATCGATCACTGGCACCCTCCCAGACCGAGCAGTTGTATGTGAACGGCACGTTCCAGCTATTCTTCTCCAATAACCTGTCCACCGGAAGCAACGTGACGAGTTTCGCCAGCAATACCTCCTTCCGAATCCAAGGAACTACCCTCCTCCAAATCCTCAACTCTTTCCGCTCCACCATCACTCTCTCCGATGAGATCGAAGCCGGGTGGTCGATATCCATGGATGACGGCGACGGTCCGAGCCCCGTCATGGCGAAGATCGCCACCGGTATCACGGACGCTATTCGCACCGGGGCGAACACCACCACCGTGACGGGGGAGGCGTTCACCACGCAGACGTATATCTCGGTGCGGTGGTACTGGGCGGTGGCGCCGATTGTGATCACGGTGTTGTCGATTATGTTTTTGATCGCGGTGATTATTCATACGGCGAGGGCGAAGGGAGCGGGCGTGTGGAAGTCGTCGGCGCTGGCGTTGTTGGCTTGTCGGGTGGAACGGGGGAGTGAGGATCCGGATTTGCAGAGTCTGGGGGCGAGTGAGATGGAGAGGGTGGCCAAGGGGATGCGGGTTTCGTGGGAGGATGGGGAGCAGTTGACTTTGGTGGTTGAGGCTGCGAGGGAGGTGCGGTGATATACGGGGAGGATATTCTACATTCGACTGGTCGATGCCTAGCCTGTGATGATTGAACGTTGATATTATAATGATTCAGAAGTGTAAACTAAAATGAAACTGATTGAATGCTAGAGAGAAGAATCATCAATCCTGTGTGTCATAGTATATGCCGAGCTGTCTCATTGTGCAGTACCACGGTTCAACTTAACATAGCTTTGGCTCCTATACCTTAAAAGCGAAGAGGAAACATAGCAGCCAATCAAATAACGCAACGGTTAGCCGCTTCCGCATCATTGGTCTAGTGGTAGAATTCATCGTTGCCATCGATGAGGCCCGTGTTCGATTCACGGATGATGCACTTATCTTTTTCCCTATTGTTTTTTTTTCACACTTTGGGTTACCTGCTGTATCATGGCCATGGATTAGAAGGTCTAATGTGATGCATTGCATTTAGTTATGAGTCAATTCCACAGCATCGGTCAAGTAGGGTTTACCCACAGTCAAGAGTAGGAGGATGGCTTGGTATTATTCCGGCTACAGAACCGGGGTATTCGCATATCCCACATGCAATAGTTCTCTTTACTTAGACCTTTGGAGTCTGTTGTGTTAGGTTCTTTTTTCTTGAATTTTTTAATTTAATCAGAGCTTCCATCGAATGTGAGATTAGTTTGTCCGTCAGCTTCGATTTTACCCAACTAGAGGCGTGCCCTAACACACCGATGAAGGATGCCCTGGTTTGAAGAGAAATCGGGAGAAAGTGGTCCATTGATGTAGGCATAAGCTTTAGGATCCGTCAGTGCAGGCTGACCTAGTACATAAGCAGGAACAAGATGTCTATTCTCACATCTACTGCTTTTACAGCCAAGCCAACGAAACCCCACCACGCATGCACGCGTCCAACCATCCCATCTCCCCTCCAACATAACCACTAAACCCTATGAGATCCTCCCACCCCTAAAACTCCGACACATAATTCCCCTCCGTCCTCACACTCGTATCATACACCGTGGCCCTCTCATCAACGACATACTCCGCACACCCCACCGACCCATTCCCCACAATCCCATTCATCCACAACGTATGATTCAGCGTCGTGATCGTTCCCGGATCCCCATCATAATCCAGAACATCCCCCCCCCCCCAGGCTGAGAAAGTCCCGCCTGGTCGAGAATATACTGCGAGGCGGTGTTATTCCCACCCATATCGTACAGCCGACGGGGCAGATCGGCCATCTGCCATTCCCACCAGAGTTTGTCGAGGTAGGCGTGGTGCAGGAAGAATAATGGGTCGTTGCAGCTGTCGATCGGGTCGAGCATGAGGCCGCCGACCCCGCCGTGGCCCCCGCCGTGGGGGTTGCCGTTGTAGCATTGCCTAGGGTTGGGATTTAGTGGGGAGGGATTGTGAGGGGGGGGGGAGGGTATGGAGGAGGGGGCTTACCGGGCGTCGGTGTAGTTGGCATAGCCAAAGCAGGTTTCTACGTTAGATGCGGATTCGGTGGAGAAAGAACTCTGGCTTAGGTCGCAAGAGAGACAGAATTCGTTAGATCTCTCATCGTAGATTGGTGCTAAGACTACGCAGTACGCATCCATGTCTTACCTAGTTGCCAGGGCTTTGCGCCTACCCAAGATGCCAAGTGATTATCCTGGTCTGATGACACATATCTTGACTTCGGCATTCTTCACGGCAGGCACTGGGTGACTTTCAGCCTTGAAAAATCCAGTTATGGTGAAGTTGCGGAAAAAGCATCGCCGATTGGTGGACTACAGCGGAATATGTGTCAGGCAACTGTGTCTATATAGAGTCTTCTGACCCTGCCATTCACACCAGTAGCCAGCTGTTCCACACTCTTTCTCCCGATGCATCTCTTTCATTGTCTGGGATTGGCTGCTCTGGCACTCACGGCCGACGCGCTCAGTGTCAGCCGCAGCCAGACCTCCCTCAACCAACCCAACAGCCAAAACACTGAATGGAACCTACTACGGCGTGCACCAATCCAAATAGCACCAAGACTACTTCATGGGAATCCTATACGCGCAGCCACCAGTAGGCGACAACCGGTTCCGCCCATCCCAGTCACTGAACACATCATGAACGGGAGAGAAAAACGCCACCGAGTTCGGCTACATGTGTTACGGATACAGTCCAACACAAATGGTCCTGGGGGAGGATGTCTCAGAGGACTGTTTAACCCTCAACGTGTACCGGGCCTCCAACGTGTCCGCCTCCAAGGGACTACTTCCCGTGGCTGTGTACATCCACAGCGGTCTCTTCAAGCATGGATCTGGCCGTGATCCACGATACAACATGACGTCTCTGCTTCAGGTGGCTGTTCAGAATGACTAGTTCGTCAACGCAACCAACTGCACTGGATCGTCCGATACTCTGGCTTGTCTGCGTAGCGTTGATGCCAGCACCCTCTCTGACGTCTTTAGCAGTGACATCACCACGCTCAACCGCCCCAACCCTGTAGTGGACGGCGATTTCCTTCAAGACCTAGGGTCGAAGGAGCTGAACGCCGGACACTTCGTCAAGGTGCCGCTGTTGCTCGGGACGACCCAGGACGAGGGTACATGGTCTTATTACGGCGTGGAGGGAATCTGAAAATGGCGACCTACGACGGGTTGAGCACGTCGACTGCAGAAATAATCGCACATCTCTACCCAGATAACCCAGCCCTCGGCATCCCCTCCACTCTAGACGGACGACCCGGTAACGACACCGGACTGGGCTACCAGTGGAAGCGCTCCAGCGCATACAACGGAGACAAGAACAAGACGACATCGCGTTCGTCTTCCACAAACGTCACGCTTTCCGAGTCACTCAGTCCTACCGACCAGGCCGATCAGAAGAAGACGTTCGAGCCGTTGAGTTATCTGATGAGTAGTATGTGGATTAGCTTTTTTGATACGATGAGTCCGAATAATATTCCGAGTAAGTGCATTGTCAAGATGTCAAGGGGGGGCGAGAGCTAATGGGGGTTGTGTATAGTTAATGGGACTAAGACGTGGCCGAAGTATACACTGCAACAGCCGGAGGCGTTGGTGTTTGATGTTAATGCGACCCAGCTTTGTCGTGTTGAGAGGGATGATTATCGGAGTGCTGCTATTGCGTATTGGATGGATTTGTTTACGGATGAGTATCCGAAGTGAAGGATTTGGGGTTGGTTAGGTAGGATATGGCTGGAGTCTAGAGGGGATTGTTGGGGGTAGTATATCGAAGGGTGTTCTGGAGAGATGTGTATAGTTTGTCAAGGGTGGTAGGTACATTGACCTCGTCGTGCCGGCTTTGAGGGGACAAGTTTCGGTTAACCATACCGGGAAAAGGTCTGTTGGGAGTGTACGATTCATGCTAGATGTAGCTAATGCATTTGACTCCCCGGAGTGTCAAACTAGGCATAGAGTGTCAATTATCCCATGGGACTTCGGGAAGAATGGCTGCCAGTACCTGCAGGGCCAAGTAAGCAGGCACCAGTGACAGATATTTAGGGTTCCGCAGGGGAGACGCCAGAACTGCCAATCAAGTAATATTCAACGTTATCTCAATGTACCTAATCTCTACCCGTGGTTCGCAAGTATATCTCAACCAAGCCCTCAAATCTATACCCAGACTTCGTACTGGTATGGACCTAGATCTGGCGGAGCTGATGGCCGACGGCTCAATGATATCATGGACTTTTGCATCGTGTCAGTTGAATACTGACAACTTCCGACGCTTCCTCAGCTTCCGCTTGGAGTTAGGACTGTTTGGTCCGGTGGGCTGCGAGGGTGCTGTCCAGGCTGACATGTTAGCAGGACAAATACTCAAGTCGAAAAGAGACACTCACGATCAGAGTCCAACGGGGCTGCTACTGGCTGGGATGATGGCACATTGCGAAATAGTGCTGTAGAGCCGTAAGTATAGTGATTGAAGGTGTATATATATATAGTCATTAAAGGGGAGAAGAGATATATACCTAACATGCGGCCTTCCTAAATGTGCTTACCACACATGATGACAGCTAAGATCACAAATCCCAAACCGACAGTCAGGATAAAGGATGTCGGGAAGGTGTAGGTCAAGCTTTGGAAGACACGCATCGAGAATAGCACTTTCGTAAAGTTCCGGCCGATTTGCATGGGCGCCTGAGGTAAAGATATGCAATAGACCTGATCAGGGAGCAGGTGACTACGTGCGAAGTAATTCTTACTGTGGGAACGGTCACTATGCGCAAAGGGCACCTTTATATAAGAGCTTGTGACTGAAAGCTCGAGTCAGCAGTCAAAAATTCAAATACATAAAAGGCAACATCCGTGCAACTGATTTGAGTCATGATTTCGCTTGGACAATGAAAGCATTCAGGGATGTTCCTACCATATTTGAATAAATTAGATGAAATGATTCCTCTATTCTATAGACTCCTTGAGATTCTTCCAGAGGTATCAGATTCTCATTTACTAACAAATCTTAACGCTGTTCGGTAACTTCATAGAATTCCAGATTAGTACCCATGAAAATCCCTTAACCACTTCCGGACCGGTTAGATGGACACAGTTTCCATCCATGCTCTGCCAAGTCGCGATTTCCTGCTGTATAAGAGATATGGATAAGCAGTTTTGTGACTTTGTCCATGGACTAGCACTTTGAAATTTATTCTCAAAGCATATGGGGGGCATCGATGTTAGAGACAGTTGAATATGAATGTAGCCGTGTTGTGTGTTAAGCTCTTAGGGCTAGTTAACCACCTCAATCCCAGACAAAGAGTGCAGCGGTCTGCACAAGCGGCAAATGAGTCCTTTCACTGGAGGCCCGGAAATCTGATCGTAGAATCGAATCAGGATAATTACTGATGCGGGACATTCCAAAGCGGATATTCCAGCCGATGCAGGAGCCCTCCACTGTTCAGCCCGAACATGTCCTAGTGGCGAGTCGGATGGAACTCTTGTCCGGGGAAGTATTGCCTAGTGGAAAGTAGATCGGGTTTGTGAAGCTTTCTATTCGACGCCAGCAGGGATTGACGTACCGCTACTAGCTCAGGGGTGGACCACGCAGCAGCCATGCGTTGAAATGGGTGAAAATAGGCGACGGCCGCGTACAAAACACCCCGGCCGCCACCTTCCGAGATTTTCCACAGCCGCTGAATGCCTGTGTCATCCAAGCATTCAACTGTCACTCGTTTTCTGGTTTTCCTGCCATTCTTTCATTAAAAGCCAGTCGGAGGTAGCCTGTCATATCCCTGCAAGATCACTAAAAGCCACTCAATCTTTGGCCTACACAATGTGATCTTCTGATTGGAGGGCATTCCTCCTGGTTGTCCTCGCCCAATGCACCGCCGCTGCGACGGTCCCTAGCCGGGGGGAAGTCACGAGCATTACGGCGACCTCTCTCGAGACAGTCACCTACACCCCCACGACTGTCTTTCCTGTCATCACCAGCGAAGCCACCTGTACCCCAAGCTCCACGGCACCTAGTGGCAGCGGATGCCAGGCAGGAGTGTGGTCTATCGGGACCGATTATTACCAGGCCATCTGCTCCTCTGCCTCGCTTGCTGGGGGGTCCGATATTGGAGGTGGTGTTAACGTCGCTTTTTCCGTCCTGCTATCAATCCTGCACAGCTGTTAGCACCTGCTCGGGGATCAACCATGTCATCTGGAATGGTATCTCAATTTGTGAATTGATGGGTGGCACGTTGACCCAGAAAACCGCGGCCAGTTCATACAAGATGCTGGAAGTTTTTACCACCAATCCGTGCGTGATGACGGGTACAGCTACCACGACGGAGACTTTAGTCGACACCTCGACTTTGACCAATACAGTTCTTTACACGTCAACTATAGTGATTCCCACGCCGTTCTCATCCATGAGTTCAACGTTCACACCATCCTCATCCGTGATCCCAACATCCACACCGTCGTCGTCCAAGGTCACTTCCTCCAGCTCTGCGGCAGCTCAACCGAGTATCTCTTCGGCGATTGTGCCATCTTCGATTATTTCTGCTTCAAGGCTACCATCCTTGGCTCCTTCCAGTCCTCCTTTCATTCCTTCTTCGTCCTCGGCAATAAACAAGCAGCCCATCCGCCAGTATATCCACCGGAGCAACCCGCTCAGTGATCCGCAGCTCTAGTGCACACTCTCCTTCAGCCGTGCTACCGTCATCCTCGGCAGCAACCCAGTTGTCTAGAGCTTCGTCCGCGATACCATCCTTGGCTATCACGGCCACTCCCCCCGCCATTTCTCCTAGCAACGCCTCTTCAGGGGACTCCATTACTACAGAAGCCCTCTATACCACTCGAGTGTCGACAATCTATCAGTGTCCTTCCACTGTAACCGACTGCCCAGTGGCGGAAAGAACCCCCTATGCTACCACTCTGACGGCGTCTCTCGGAACCACCGTCTATCCTGTCACTACTGTCCTGTCCACCACCTATACCACCATTTACCGGACGATCGAGGCCTGTCCTGCGGCCTGAGATTTAAATATTATTAATATTATCTTCTAATGTAATTGATCAATCAAGTACACGCATGTAATCGTTTATCTCTGGCATCGACTTGTCAGATCCATTGAACACTAGCCATGTACTCATCAGAAAACTCCCTGTTTCAGACTACAGAGCCCCGACTAAGCAACCAACGTCAGCATGGTACTATATCCTACCGACATCGTCTCGTGTCAGACATGTCTGAATCCAACAGTCCGATAATACTAGTCAAGATGCCTAGCACAACCGCCTCTTTCAGCGGCCTCACACCTCTTCCCGCTTCCTTTTCGCAGGAATGATACCACCACGAGTTCTACTCTCGGTGACGGTTGCAGACCACCCCGGTACAGGCGCCACCAATGCCGCCACCAACCGCTCCGTAAACGTCTCATACGGCTTATAAGGCAACCTCCGATGTTGAATCGTCGGCCACGCGACATACTTCGCCGCACGATCCGGATCCTTCAGCGCCGCAATCAACTCGACGCTAATCCGCGCCTCGAATAAGTGGACATACTTCCTTTCCAGCACATTCGTGACGAACAATCTGCACTAAAACATCACCTCAACATTAGAGTCCAACCCACCAACAACCCACAAAAAAAATAATGAAGAGAAAGCAGACATACCGTAAACGCCCCCAAATTCCCCTCCTTCAGCACCACCCTCTTCTCCTGATGCTGCGCCATCGCCACCAACAAACACACGATATACGGATCCTGCGTCCACTTCTTCGGCGTGATTGCCGCAACCAGTTTCTGGTTAATCCTCACTTTAATGCTGTCCGGACGACCACTCGGATCTAGAGGTAGGGAAAATCGAGTTTCCCGGTCATAGATCACGCTCGTGTATTCGAAGTAGCTGACGACGGGGGGGGAGCCGCGCAGAATATCCTCGGGGGTTTGGTCGCAGCGCACGAAGGTCGTGTATTGTGGTTGGTGGATGCGGGTGTTTTTGAAGAAGAAGGGGGTTCCTTTTCTTTGATGGGTTAGAAGTGTACAGGGGGGGCTGGGGTTAGAAGATGGAGGGGGGGGGGGGTGGCATACCGGTGTTCATAGAAGGGGGACCCCCTATACAAGAGGGTATTGATGAACCAGAGGTGTCTTCCGGTGGGAGTAAAGCAGTCCTCTAGGGGATGTTCAATGAGTAAGGCATCCCGGGAGGATCTCCTGGTATCCTCTTCTGAGCCATCAGCTGCATTATTCTTAATGCGTTCAAATCGACAGCCTGTGAGATCTAGATGGCGAGCAATCCAGAATACCGGACAGACAAATAGCTCGCGATGATACCGCATGAGATCGCGGAGAGACATGAGATTAGAGCTAGTCGCCATGATGAAAGTGGATCACTATCAATATCGGAGGTACAGATGAGGTAGGCGAATGGGACAAAACCTGGTAATAAAGATGATGTTTCGCTGCCTGAGTTGCTGTCACAGTTAGACGCTATATGATGGTCACTGTCTTTTTCGACTGCGATGAGTGATATGGAAGATGATCAACTCCAGTGAATACTCTGGGCGGGAGAATCCGAATTATAAGGAAATGAATGCTATAGATGCAGACTACGCGACCTACTGCCCGAGTCACTTTTACCGAATCCTGATATCATGAACCAGGAATGTTCCAGATTTTACGTCGATGGTAGGGTTGAGAAAGGTTGAAGGATTCGCACAGGCCGCGTCATTATAGTTTGGATATTCCATGCACATGTTGAGGAATGGACTGAGCTAATTGCATCATGGTGATGGTCGGGATAGTCTCGGGACATAACTTGTCCCATCAAGGTGGACAATGGGGCATGTGCAACAGGTGTAGGAACCGGCCGAGTGTCGGGGCCTATATCGGGGTTCGCCGTATAATATAGGAGGTCACCGATGGATGCTTGCTATGTAGGACGATACGTCCCTTATGATGGATATTTCACATAGCGCGATAGCTGCTGTAAATCATATATAGAGAGCGTTTGTTTGCCATGTACTTAGGAAGAGAGCAGGCACGGGACATAGGGATAAGATCAGATGATTATATAGCCCAAGAGCCAGCTTCCTTATTGGTTGATTCATGAGACAAACACTCGTATAGCCCAAACCGTCTCAAGCATGAGGCCATAAAGGAACCTCTACATATCTCAGCATAGCCCTCCATGTGGCGCCCACCAGCCTATAGTTCAAGCATGGCCAGATCAAAAGATCCAGAACTAACGCGGACGAAAGATAGCCCTCAAGGGTGTGCCCGTATCCTTCGATATCACCACTCAAATATGCAGAGAACGAGCGAATCAACAAACTTGTCTACAGCAGCGACGAGATGAGTTCCCGCAGTTCATGATGGAATGCTTCGTCTTATAGTCCCATCGACATGACGTTGTCCAAGCGTCCAGATGCTATTCTTCCCAGATTGGGCGTCTGTTTTTATTCTTTATTGCCTTCCGTGTCTGTGAACATACTGAGAGGGTGGTGTGGAAAGAGGCGTGCATTTCCTTGTGGATGCTGTCCCGTGGGTTACTTTCGAAGCTTTGCATATCTGACCTATAGAGAACTTCTCGACCACGATACCAGCCTGGACATTAGCAGTATCCGCTCGCTGTGTCCCGGCACTGCAAAAACAACTCGGGTCCGGCACATATCGTCTCATACATAACGACCCAGAGGAGTGATTGACACTGCCATCTCCAGCCTAGTGCATGTGCCATAAGTGATCGGATATTATATCGTCCAGCGGAAGTCTGTCACCATGGCTAAATCAAAGTATATCCACACCAGCGCCAAGACTGGCCTGCCCGAGACCTGCACCGTCACACCTCGCGTAATGGCAATACTGTCATGTCGACGACACCCACTGCTGTATACTAGTGTGGTACAGCTCAAGGAAAGAAGAAAAGACGCCTATCTCACCCCGTTGACTCACCTGAATTTCGAGGAAACGTTGGTTGGTACCATGGTTCGCCAAACCAAACGTCAATACCATCCCATCATTATTCGTTGTCCACTGCTATACAATCCGCGTCTCACTCAGTCATCCACCCCATATAGATGACATACCACGCAATCAACCAGCCAGCCTGTCGAACCTGACGCTAAGAACAAAAAAGCATTTGTTGGGATTGTTGTCGACCTCTGTGGAATTTAAACCTTGATTGAGAGGCTGGCTACGTGGGTTCGAGGCGAGGGTGACATCACTGGACCATGGAACATCGCCCGTCTTCCTGTATCTTTCCTCTTCTTCCCTCTGATGAAGCGATGGAATTGAATTTCGTGGCACGGTGGTTTACTTGACGAATTGCGCGAGCCGGGATGAGAAGGCATAGCCTTGGTGGTGAGGTTGATCTGGGTTCTTATGACTGAAGACTGGAGATGATCGTACGTGGTTGTGTGATAATTAAATAAGCAGCTGATGAAGTCATTCGACATGATATGCAATACAGTCAAGATCCCACTATGATAACTATCTCTCTTTAATGTTAGTCACGTACCTAGCTAATCACCCATCATGTTCGAACAATAAATCGATATATCAAGTACAGTTCGCTATAAATGCCAGCTATATTACACACCCCCAACAGCATATCTACATCTATAGATCCACCATCACCTCACAAAAACCCCATCCTTCCCATACTCCCCCTGCAACTCATAATCCCCCTCGCGTAACAACGGGGTAATCTCACTCGGATGAAACCAATTAAACACCACCATGACGAGAAAAATCGGCACCGCATCCAACATATACAGAAAGATCTCATGCTGGAGGAGATACCCATCATTACCCTGCAAATACTCACTGAGGCGATACACCGATCGAATCATAATCAGGAAGCTCGTGGTATAGAGAACGTTCAGATGTTTCCGCCAGGGGATCCGGGGATCCATGCCCCGGGGGATGGGGTATCGTTTTAGTTTCAGGTCGAAGGCGCCGGCGGTGATGATGAAGAAGCCGAAGAAGAAGATCTGTACGAAGAGACCGATGATGATGATGCGTTCGCCGAGTTTCATGCTGCTGAGACTGCCGCTGGATTGGATGCCGCCGCCTGGAGATAATTAGATACAGTATTTGGTGGGAGAGAAAGGATGGGATGTACCGGCGCCTTGGAGGAAGAAGGACAGGATATCGCCCGTGACGAAGATCTTGGTCAGCCATTTCTTCTTCAGGATGGCGTGGGATTCGGCGCGAAGGATCAGGATGATGCGGCCGAGGAGCATGTAGATAGAAGCCGCGAGAAGAGCTGGTGCCAACAGAAGAAACAGAGTCTGCAGCAAGTATGGCCCCAAGGTCCAGTTGGGGGTTTGGTGACTGGACAGCCCGCGACCCAAGTAGCCGATGATTTCAACTGTGGAGATGAGCATGTGCCGCTCAGGAGAATCGGGGTATACCCACAGATGCCACCGACGGTAAAAGGGATGAAGAACCAGGTCCGGGTGCGAAAGAGCTGCCAAAGATGCCAGATGGTGGTCAGGGCGAATAACCCGGTGAAGATGACGGCCCCGGCCATGCTAGGGTTGTAGCGGTAGAAGGCGAACATGGTCGCGTCGGTGCCATTGTTGCTGCTCATTGTGACTGATGAGCAAGGAATCGAATGAGCAAGGTATCCGGCATGTTGGCGAGACTATAAGAATAAATTGACGAGGCTAAAAATATGAATTGACGAGGCTTTGATCCGTCCCCTGGCTGGGATGTGGATCCCTCGTATATTCGTATCGGGCTCGGGGTGCCCTGATGCGGCGCCATGTAGTTAGTCCTTTGCCGCCTCGCCCCTCACAACAGGAGGCTATATGATCCTCGGGGATCTGGATTGCTTCAATATCATTAACTTTTGCTGGATTTCCCCTGCCTACCGCTGTGGTGAATGTCAAACAACAAGATGTGCGGTTCTGGCTCCCCTGGCGTGCCGTATGGGCCTGCGGAGGAAGCGCCCCCGCGACGACTGGCGAGTCTCTCCCTCGATTCTCGACGCAGTCCATCCGATCATCCCTCGACCGACGACGCCTGCTCCCCATCCAGCATGTCGAATAGCTCCTCGCCGCCCGCGACGGAAATGTCGGAGCCCCAGGATCGGGACCTCACCTCGCGTACCCGCCGGGAGAAACGGCGGCGCGTGCGCCACCAGAAGTCCCGCAAGGGTTGTTACACTTGCAAGATGCGGAGGGTCAAGGTTGGTGACATCCTGATCTCGATCCACTGGAACAGACCGAGTGACCCATCCCGCGCAGTGCGATGAGGTGCAGCCTATCTGTGGGTCATGCGCTTTTCGAGAGGAGCAGTGCTCGTGGCCCCCGGCCGCACCCACAACGTAAGCAGTCGGAAAGGAGTGGAATCCAACACGCTGACCATCCCAAGTAGCCAGGGAGCCGCACGGATTGCTCCGCCTCACCGAGAGATTGGCTTGCCGCTGTCGGCATGTCGTCTGCCGGAATCGCCCACGACTCCAGAGCCAATCAATATGGCGGACATGAGCCTCCTGACGAGGTTCATGATTCACACCTCACCCCGAATGAGCCTCCACGAGAAGCGCGTACAGGTCTGGCAGCGAGTGATCCCAGATATGGCCACCCGGCGGGAGTATCTCATGCATCTGCTCCTCACGCTCGCCGGCGAGCATGCGCTCTATGAGGGCTACGTGTCGAATTCGATCCCCCCAGGAACAGATAACAACCCCCCGCTGCCCCGAATCGGGGAGCATGGCGCGCAGCTGGACTACCATCAAGTCATTCAACATCATCAGAGAGGTCTGGAAGGATTCCGCAAGGCCTTGGCGGACCTGTCGCCGGCGACGGCCGAGGACGTCTTCTGTGGTTCGCTTTTACTTGTGGCCATTGCATTCGCATCCATCTCCATTAGAGACCTAGATAGCCCGGAGCTGGGCCTGATCCATGCCACCGATCCTCGTACCCCATATACGGACTGGCTGTATCACGTTCGCGGCCTGACGAGTATCGTTGGCGAGTACTGGTTTACCCTAAAGCTCGGCAGATTGCGGAGCATGTTGTCCTACACCTATGCCACCGGCACCTGGAAGCCTGCTCTGCCGGCCCTTCCGGCATCCCCGTTCCCACGGCTGGAAACCGGCTCTCCGATGCTGTCGGTATTTGCGCAAGGGGCCTCCCACGCTTTGCAGCTGCTGCGTTCGTTCGCAGCCAGATTATCTTCCAACCCAACCGCCTTGGGTGACGCCGCCGAGGGTCATCCCGAAGTAGCCGACGGATCTCTTCATGACCATGTCAACACCATCGATAGCTTAGCGGAGATCTACACGCGCGTTCTACAGGCGTTTCAATTCTCGCAGAGTGAACGGGACTGCTCCGCATCTCTGGATGTCCAGATGGACCTGGAAGACAGCGCCATCACCTCGTGGCCGCCGATGCTGTCAGACACTTTCATTGCCAGCCTGAAACCCAGCGAGCAAGTGGGTATTTCCGAGGGGTTCTCCTATGTGATTCTCGCGCATTTCTACCTCACCCTGGCTCTGTTCGAGAATATCTGGTATTTCAACCGGGGTCCTCGCGCGGAGATCGGAAAGATCTTCTCCCTGGTCGAGCAGGTGAACAATCCGGAGCTTTTGGCGCTGATGACGTGGCCGATGGCGGTAATTGGGGGACATTAACGGTGCTTCAAATGTATCAATTGAGCTGCTACCGTGTAATGTGATGGTGTTTATATCTATAATAAAGGCCTCTATAGGTGTATGATCCTGATCCAGCTGAGCTGAGGCTACCGCACTCGTATCCTCGTTTGTTCGCATATTCGTATTTCAGCCTCGTCTTTCCGATCTCCACCATGACCCACATGTGTATCTTCTACAAATCAACTTTTCCATCTAAAGTAGATACGCCAACTACCACATCGTTACCCGCCACCGCAATACCTCGCATACTTAAGCAGCCGTTATATCCTCCTGCCCTGTAGTACATCCCCATCAACGGATCCTGCCAGACCACCATCATGGCAGACACAAACACCATCGACTTCGTCCTCTACCGCTACACGCCCTCCCTCGCCGCGGCCATCGCATTCACCGCGATATTCGGCATCCTGTCCCTTCTACACCTCTACCGCGTCCTTCACCACCGCACATACTTCTTCATCCCGTTCCTCCTCGGTCTTATCTGTATGCCCCAACTTGACCCCCAAAACACCCAACTAGATCCTAACCCCATCTCTGTCCATAGTCGAAACAGTCGGCTACCTCGCCCGCATCTTCTCGCACTACTCCCCCAAATCTTTAACCCCCTACATCATCCAAACCATGCTCATCCTCGTCGCGCCCCCCCTCTTCGCCGCCTCCATATACATGACCCTCGGCCGCCTCATCACCCGTCTCCACGCCGAATCCACCTCCCTCGTCCCGGTCCGTTGGCTCACAAAGGTCTTTGTCGTGGGGGATATCGTTTCGTTCGTGTTGCAGTGTGGAGGTATCCCATACCATCCTCCCTATCCCATACTTGCATAATTGTATAGAAACGCATGCTAATAAGAATCCCGCAAAAGGAGGCGGATACATGTCCGCCGGCACACAAAGCGCCATGACCACTGGCTCTCACATCGTGATCGGGGGTCTAGCCATCCAATTACTCTTCTTTGGATTTTTCGTGATCGTGGCGTCGGTGTTTCATGTCCGGGTGGTCAGAAACCACCACCACCACCACCACCACCACCAGCATACACCCATCCCAGCGAAGACAGGTCGGTATTCGTGGACCGACATGATGTGGGGATTATATATCGCGTGTGGACTCATTCTCGTTCGCTCCGTGTATCGGGTGGTGGAGTTCGTGGAGGGGAATGATGGGTTTATTATGAGACGGGAGTATCTGTTGTATGTTTTTGATGGGGTGTTGATGGCGCTCACGGGGGTGGTGGTGGGGGTGGTGTTTCCGGGGAGGGTGTTGGGGGGGATGTCTGGGGAGGGGGCTAGGGTTGGGGATCGGGGGTGGGAGTGTGAGGAGATGGTGGAGAGGGGGAGTTCTTCTGCTTAAGCAGCTGACTGGTTGTTAGGATGTAGGTAATGTATTTTTGGGTTGGGTTAGGGCTGTTCGTATATTCGTATATTCGTATATTCGTATATTCGTATATTCGTATTCGTGGATAGGGTAGGTTCGGAGATGTCCCGCGCGGTGCGGCAATTAAAGTACGAGGATACGAGGCACGGGCCACATGGACAGGGTCGGGTTCCACACCCTAAACCCGGGAACTGTATCGCTCCAAATTACCGATGCGGTGAGTTATTTCATTCGTTGAGTTTGCGGATTGGGGAAGGCTTGGCTGAGTGAAATCAGGTCTATTAATGGAACAGCCAACGCTTGAATGATGACTAAGTCTGTCTGTCATCTCTGTGGAGGGGGTTTGGCTCATTGGGATGTGCATTAAATGTATTTTCGAATAATGTCCTTGTATGCAGTATCTAGTCTGATTGAATGGCTAAAAGAGTGGAATGACGTAGTCTGAAAAGTTGAGGTTGGGCCAAGAAACAAGATAAAAGCAGCAAATCATGTACTACCAAAGTCTCGAACATCTAGGAAAACCACCGCATTAAGTAAATAGACTGACTATCTACCCGCTGTCTATTAGAACAAATACGGAATAATATCACAGTCCTCATTCCGATCAAACGACTCAAACTTCCCCCGCAACCGACCACACGAGCTAATCGGTTGCGTCTCTTCAGTACTGGCCTTACACGTCCAGACCAGATCCTTATCCTCGCGCAGAAACACTGCAATAGGAGGGTAGCACATATGCCGGGGCACCAGGACACCCTGGCTCGGAAGAGAAGAGTATGAGCCGAGAATCAACGTAGCTTTGGTGTCCTTTTTCTTAGGACTCTTTGGTGAACTTTGCTGTGCCGGGAAGAAGTACATATCTCGTGCTTCGGTTGAGCGGGGGAGAAAGATCGGTTCTCTTAAGTGGCAGACATTAACGGTCTTTGTGCTGGAGTCGGCTGACCGGAAAAGAGGAATCCGGAGGACGTCGAGTTTCTCGTCGCGGCGCGTAAAGAACAAGTGTGCGTCAGTCCAGGTTAGGAAGTACGGCATATTCGATGCGAAGACTTTGGGCGTGCTGCCGAGCTCATTAGTCGTCCGTGAAACTAGTCGAGGTGGGCTGCTAGCTGTCTTTCGAGCAGACAATCGATGAGTCGATACTTGCAGGCTGAGCAACACCGAACCAGGCTCATCACCCTGCTTAGCAGCCTCACGAGCCTCTAATGCGGCAAAGTGGAGATGCCGTCCGTCACGCGAGAAATGGGCCTTGATAAAGATGTGGCAGCTGCGAGTCCCTGACCTACACAGTCCCCGCGTGAAGTAGCTGTTTTTCTGGTAGTTGGCAAACAGGATCTCTCCATCCCCTAGTGGCCAAACCAAAAGGGGCACCAAAGGATGGAATACTGGAGGCGAGTCGAACAGGCTGCCCTTGATAAAACATGTGAAGTGGAAAACAGGGATTTGCTCCTTTCTGGTAGCGTCGTAAACCCGAATGCTCGTGCGGCGAGTTCCTTCAGTCTTGGTCGTTCTGTTGCCGGTCATGAGGTTTTCGAATTGGACGCCATATTCATTTTCCGAGGCCTCCTCATCAGAAACACTGTATTCCGTCGCAGAACCCACACTAGACTCGGCGCCATCGGAATCGCTGTCCGATGGCAAAAGGTCATCCCGATCTTTCAATGCGTCACTTTCGGCGTCTGATTCCGAAAGGTCACTCTTAATATCAGCATCTAGCGCTAGAGCACGGCTGTTCTTGTCTGAATCACTGTCGTCACCACTTTGGCTGTCAATAAAGCTTCCATAGTCCTCAATTTCGAGCTCCTCCGGATCCAGATGCTCGTGATCCCAGTCATTCCATTGCTCTTCATCGTCCGTCTCATCAGACATGGGATTCGTAGAGCCCTCACTCCAGGAGGTATATGCCGAGTTACCAGCAGACTGTGAAGAGTTTTCCAGCAGTTCGTCCGTACAGCTTGACTGCGCTGTTGCAAGTTCCAAGGCTTTATCTCTCTGGCTAGGCTCGTGCAGGTCCTCCGGATCTTCCAATTTCAATGAAGATGCAGAGGTGACATCTGTGTCACTAGTCCCGCTATCACTATCGTTGTCACTGTCTTTCGTAACAGTAGTTGTTGGTGCCGTGCTATCCGGGGCAGATGAGGCAGCCAACGTTTGCTGGTCCATCTCAGTCGCCTGCTCTTCTAATTCTTGTATTGCAATTTCCGCATAGTCCAGAACTTTGACTTCATCAGTGGCTTGCTCTGGGACCTTGATGTCAGACTTTGAGAGTGGCCGTCTTGTTGAAACCGCAATAAAATTGCCACTGCTTGCCATCTCATCAAAATAATCTTCGTTGGGATCGGATATAGGAAGGGGCGAGTATTCGTAGCTAGCTCCCTTCATGAACACCTGAGACCCAATGCGCATGAATCGCAAGTCCTTGGAAAATGAAACCAGGCGAGGTCGACCAGGCACATTCTCTGTCAAGGGATATTCGTACAGAGGCCAGGATGAGGAGGACGTATGCAGCGTCTGGGCTCTCTGAAGCTCGGATTGGCGACCACTCAGACGCCAATGTTCGCAGCGAAACTCGAGGTTGTCATTATTCCTGTTATTCAACATTAATTTCTCTTATCCGTGAAGATCAAAAGCACTCACAGATTCAGTAGCTTCAGCACCGTCAGCCATTGTCCGGTCTCATCAAACCCGTCAAAGCATCGAACGGGGTTGATCGGTTCATCATTGCTCGAAAACATCAAACTCTTGTAGCGACTAGGCCCATTGTAAAGGAAGTTGTGAGATCCCAATGCCCCAAAGAAACATCTATCCATCTCTCCTTTGTAGGCGCCCATGAAGCTTGTCTCAGCGTCCAATAGGGGTCCCCATTCTCCAACAAAAACCCCGTAGTCTTTCGAGAATGCCTCATTGCAATTGTTATCCAGCCAGTGAGGAAACACGCGTTTGATGTGTCTCCCAGCCCAAGGGCGCAGGCTATTGTACCAGAAGCGAAACTGGCCTAAGATTGAATTAATCATCTTCAATAAAAGAAGCCTTGATGAACCTACCGTCAATGAATAAACTCTGGATCTGCAACAAGGTGAAGAATTGCGGGCTTGTGATGAACTTTGATGCTTTCTGACAAACATACAGGGAGTAGTCGACGCTGTCCAGGTGCTTATCCCAGTACTTGGCGGCATAGGAAAGAAGATGATGGTTTAGGATGTCATCTCCATCCGAGTCAACAAACGTCTCCCCATTCTGAACAAGTAGCTGGTGATAACGGGGCTGTAGGAGATATTTCTGGCAAATGTTGGCCAACACGTCGCTGGTGAGAGCATATGCTGGCGGGTTGGAGTTGCGTCTCAAAATATCAGGATTCTTCAGCAGAAAGCTCTTGACGGAACCGTGTGTGAGAGTACAGATCGCAATCCTGCCGTCTGGCCCATCACTATCCTGGACTTGCACAAGAGGCTGACACAGCTCCAAAACCTTACTCTTCTTGAGGATCTTTTGACTTTTGTCGATATTCTGTCCTTCCTGCCCTTTCACCATCGCGGTACATTCACAAAGCTCATCCAGACGTAGGGGCCGTTTTGCATGCACGATGCAGGAAAGAATGATCCTGACAGTTGTGTTAGTAAGTTGTCTATCTCAGGCTAGTAGACACATACGAAACAAACTCCCGGAGAGACGGCTGGATGCTGTCAATCTTTCTCTGGTAGTACTTCTCATAGTTTTCAGGGAGTCCTTCTTGAATTACCCGCTGAATCATCTGCAGTGTTACGGCATCCGACATGGAGTCCAACATTAGGGAAGCCCAGAGAAAGCATCCATCGGCTTTCTCACGCAAGTCGCCAAGAATCAAGTTTATGAACCCTTGGTCGAGCTCGAGGCTGTCCAAGTCTGCGATCTTTTGCGACAGGTATCGCTCAATATCGCGGCCGTTCAAGTCTTTCGTAATCTCAATTGACGGCAGAGACTTCAGCTGGGAGTCGAGGCAAGTGCGCTGCTGAGAGCTGTACCAAATACGTAGGCTGCTTGGATTTTCGCGGCCGAGTTCTCCAAAGAAGTCTAGCACTTTGAACAGCTCCTGCTTCCTGTTATCCACCTCGCACTCCTCGTCAAGGCCGTCCAAAAAGAGATAAGTCACGCTCATCTCTTCAAGGAGCATTTTGATCACCTGCTTTAGGTCTTCGACGTTGGCAGTTGTGGCACCTTCCTGTGTGAATCTGTGGATCTCTTTGGGCATGTCACCGGTCTGTTTTCCCAGTCGATTCACAAGTTGCTCTGCAAGACAACGATAGACCATCAGAGCGGGAAACTCTTCATCAAATGTGAAGTAGTGGTAAATAACGGCAGCTTTGTCCGAGCCGATGGCCTGCGTTTTTTCAACCGCGTACGCAGTCAAGACCGATTTTCCCGCTCCCGGAGACGCCTTGACCCACAACTGAGAAGCTGGGCTGTTGCTATCCATCCATTCCTTCACAGTTGCATGCTCGAAGAGCCAGTCACACGTATCCAGACTTCGTTGGGCGAGCTTGTTGTCGCGATGGCGAAAGTTACTCCCGTTGAGCGGCAGGGACCCATCCCGCAACCATGTTCGCACGTCTTCCTGCCTCTGGATTTTCCTTTCTTCCCTCCGTTTTTCCATTTCTTCGGCCATCATCTTGAAGAAGGCTGCCTGTTCCTCTCGAGCGATACCGGCCACTCGGCGCTCTTCGGCTGCGTTTTCCCGCTCACCCCTGTCCATACGTTCTTGAACGGCAGGAACTAGTCGGCTCATATAGTCCGCAGTGTTTCCCATGCTTGTGACAATCCCATTCAGCTTGTCGGTACTAAACTTGGTCATCGCTCGAAGGGCGCGATTAGCCACGCAGCGATTGCATTCCTTATCGACCCGTCGCCAGAATCGAATAATGTCAATGTACGATGCCTGCAATAGCTCCCGCATGGTGGCTGAGTGGTCGAATAGTTCCTCGTATTCTGTGAGAATCGTGAGATGTGTTTTTAGTTGTTTGATCTGATCGGAGATCTTCTCGTACAGCTCGAGAAACCGTTGGGAGCAGTCAATGACCGCCCTTAAGCAGCCCCATATAATCGCGGTGGGCATCGGGTCTGCAGAGACAAGGGTGTCGACTAGCCCCGAGTATGCATTAAGCACCTGTACAACAGGACTCAGGATCTTACGAGCCGCACGAGCGGCTGTGCGATCCTCCGCCTGGCGCTCCAACTGGATGATGTCTGTCTTGATCACATCTCCAGTCAAAGGTGTCCCCGACCGTTGCTGCTCCTGTAGCTTTCGGAGAAACTGGGGGGTTTTGCTCTTGGCTGACCGTGGTTTGTTAATGTATTCCTCCAGTGCCCGTGCAAACGCCGTGGATCCTGCCGCAGCAGGAGCAGCCTCCTCGTGGGTGTCCTCGGGCATGTCCTCGGGCAATTTGGGAGATTCTCAACAGCTGAAGGCAAGTGCACAAGGTATGAGAAGCCACGGTCGAAGTCTTTCCAGGATGAGTCAATAAGTAATCTGGACTAGTCTGATGCATGGCGGCTCTGTCATCGGTGGCTGTGACGTCTGGTGGCATACTGCAATCTACCCCGCCCCGTGCAGAAGTCAGACTCAGGGATATGCCTGTCAGGCTGAGCGATGCGCTGGCAGCCTTAGCAGCCTGCGCTAGAGCCTAGAATACGAGCCTGCGGGACTCGGCGCTAGTCCGGGGGAGCAGGGCTGGCCTCCAGCTACCCTGAATCCAACTTGTAGCTTCTTTTATTTGTATCAATAAAACCGCAAGATCAGTGCGCCGTCGGTTGCACCATATCGCAGTATATCATTCTAAGTTGCACCGGTGCTTGTATTCCAGTCTGAGAATGTCTGTGGTGATCGAATAAACAGGCAGAAATGGTGGCGCTGGCAGCCTCGTCATGTCAGCCGTCAGCACGATGACTGGGGATCCGCCCCACCGGCGTCCCGCTCCCGCTCCCGGTCCCAGTGTCGTGTCAGGGTCAACAACCCTCCCAGGGTGCCCTTTTATTGTCGCAAACTCTTGCTCCTTCATTCTCCTTCTATTCCATTGTAATCACACCAGGACCGCTGCCAGCGCCACGATGGCAGACCAGACGGAGGCCGCCGCGGTGGCCAAGAACCCCTCGAGCGAGCCTGCAAAGACGTCCATTCAGCGGGTCAAGACGGACACTGGCAACCACTCCCAGCGTTTGTTGCGCGTGGATCAGATGTAAGAGAGAGCTTGAAAGCAAGCTGTTGGTGGATGCTGACCGAAGCTCGCTCGAACAGATATAGCAGGTAAAACCTGAAAATGCGACAATCCACTGGGATCGTTGGCTTAAAAGCACATCTAGGAAAGACCGACAAGTTCATTTTGTAAAGACGGCCAAGGTGAAGCCCAAGCCTGACCGTTTCAGCAAGACTGCGCTGGTTGTTCGTCGAGTCATCTCGAGACAAGGCATGGTCTCCCACACCGAAGTCGACATCCGATCCCCTCTGTTGCAAGAATTGTTTCGCGAGTTATTCAAGGGTGTCGAGGGCCTGGAGCTGAACAAGTCTCCTCCAGTTGTGCGTATCACCTCGGCAGAGATGTACAGTTAATGATATGGCTAACGGCCTCTAGGCCAAACCGGAAGTGTTCTTCTGGGCCGTACCCGACCTGATTCGAATCAGGGAAGAGGAAAAACAAAAGACCTTGCCCAGTCAAGCATTCATCGATGATATCGGAACAGCTCTACGCTTCGTGGAAGAGGATTTTGCAAGCCAGATCATCAGCCTCCAGTCACTGCTGGAGGAGAAGCAGATCACCTGGGATCTTCTCTGGGCGATTTTCCCCCCAAGAGAAGTTATCATCGCTCCACGCTATGGCCTCATGAACGAGGAGCAGGCTTTCAACATGCTAACATCGGCATACGAACAACGCGCCAACGGCCAGAAATACTTCGCGGCGAACGGTCAACTTATTAAACATGACGGCCAAGATTTTGGCAGTACTAGCCTCGAGCTGGAGATTGATCAGTATGAGGGTGCTCGTCCGATCAGTACCTTGAGTTTCTTTCCGCTCAAGCACCATGACGAGGAAGCCGCAGTCCGAGACAGATTAATCGCAAGAGGACGCAAATATATTGCTTTACTGGAAGAGCCGGCTTGCAGAGATTATACCATCCTGAATGGTGCGAGGGGGGTCGAGCGAGCGAATGGAGACATAGTGCCAGAGAAGTTCAATGTCTGATTCATGTTGCCTTTGCATTCTGTGTTTGATGCTGACCATCTCATAGGCGTTGGGAAGAGTGATGGTCGACCCGCCTGGATACTATCTCCATAACACTTCGTCCGACTTGAATCGGCCTTGGGTATACGCAGAAAATAAACTGGATATGTCCAACTTGTCCGATGATCAACTATTGATCTGCAGCTCGTGGATAAATGGTTTCAGCTTCAACCAGAAGACCTGGTGCCAACTTGCAGTGACGGGACTGTCCGAGGTCGAGTGGAACCACAATGCGTTCAAACGCTTGGTGATGGCCGAGAATCGCCGCCAGCTCATCCATGGGCTTGTGAAAGCCCATCGGCAGGATGACGCATCCTTCGACGACATTGTCGTAAATAAGGGCAAGGGCTTGATTGCCCTTCTGACTGGAAGTCCCGGAGTGGGCAAGACCCTGACTGCAGAGGCCGTCGCCGAAGTCACCCAGCGCCCACTGTATGTAGTGGCAACCGGTGAGCTCGGAATTAACCCCGACGACGTTGATAACCGACTGGGAATGATCCTAGACATCACCCGGCGGTGGGGGTGTGTTCTTTTGATCGATGAAGCCGATGTCTTTCTCTCCGCTCGGGGCAAGGACCTTGCCCGAGATGCGCTGGTCAGCGTTTTTCTCCGACGACTGGAATAGTGAGTCTGCCTTCATCGTACCACTCGCTTAGATTGACATTCAGGATAGTTTCCGCGGTGTTGCCATCCTCACCACCAACCGGAAGAGCGACATCGACCCAGCATTCAAAAGTATTATCCCACCTATAGGTGCAGTTTTTCCTTCCTGGAGATATTTGCTAACGCAGAATGATATAGGCCGCATCCACTTCACCCTACACTACCCCGAGCTCGATGCAAACAGCCGACAAGAAGTGTGGAAGAATTTCTTGACGAATGTTGCTAAGACCTCGGAGCTGTCCGAATTCACAGCGGATGACTTGGCGGCATTGTCGAGGCATCCTCTGAATGGCCGACAGGTTCGTCATAATCCTATCTTAGCAAGGAGTCAGCTAACTGGTATGCAGATCAAGAACATCGTCTCTTGTACGGTGTCTCTGGCACGGGAGAGGAAAAAGAACATTACGGTGCAGGACATTGAGAGCTTGATCGAGGTTATGATCGACTAAGACGGTCGATCAGTTTGCAGTCAACCCGATGTGCTATTGCTGCTGAGGCAAAGCCTATAAAGACCTAAATGAGCTTAGAGGTGATGAAATGTTACATTGTGATAATATTGAAAAGACTACGGAGTAGGTATGAAGATGAACAAGTTCGAAAGCCAGGAAAAATCACGAGCCCCGTCTCCGAATGGGGGAAATAGCGGGGCTCCAGGCACCGGCTTATCTTGCCTATTCAGAGCTAGCGTATTTAGTGACACCAATAGAGATTCTGTCCAGCAGATGCTCCCAACAGGAAGGCGGTAGGTACTTGCAAGCTCCGCCTTCTCAATCTGGAAAAGGAAGTATCACAACCGTCTCCTCTTTGCTGGCCTGTGAGAGTCACTCTTGCTGCATAATGTTGGATGAAGGATATTCTGGGCATTCTACTGCATCGTCTTGTTTCGAGTATATCTGTTCGACTACATCAACCAATCTCCGAAGATCAACTCTGAAGCAGATGGCATTCAGAGACTGACAATCGAAAACTACCTGTTTTTCGTTCAGTTTGTAAGTCGCATGCATGCATCGATGATGGCAAGTCATAAGGTCAGTTAGATAGGGGATACGAGCGAACTATCAATTACTTCCCACCTCGATGAATATTATTGTCACTGACTAGAAATGATCAAACCAGCAGCCGAGTCCTAACATCTGATTAGGACCCAGCCTGTTTCTGGCCCACACCTGTCTCGTGATATAAGCGAGGATGCAATAAGATGAGTTAACGGTTACAATAGGAAATCTTCGGAGAAATTAACCAATCTTTTGACGACTCGATCAAATGAGGACAATGCTCCGCTTGGCAGTTCTGACCCGGGTTCTACTATGTATTTCCGTATCGCCACATGCGTTTGTCTATGGAGGATTTCAGCCAGCCAACGTAGGTGATGGTCCCCAGGTATAGCATGCCTGATTTATAGTTTTGTCGCACCCGACCAAATTTACATTCGGCGTTAACAGCGCTTACTTTTATTGACCTAGGTGAGATGGTTTTTCCGTCTGTCATGATTCCATTGGCAAACCGACAGGCTGAGATGGGTACTTGGAGAAAAGAAGGGGAACAACAGCCCTGTATGAAATTATTGATTTGAGTTTGGAATCGTTGGGGCCACCCCAGCCTTCAAAACAGGCTGGCAGGTCACTTGACCCAGCTCCCCTTCGCCATCCTTTGTCCTACCCACCCCCTATCTGGGTTTCCGGCTCACCTTTCTTGGTTCCGACACTCTTGTGTGCCTGGCGACTTCTCAAATATAGTTCGGATGATGAAATCCCATAATCACCCGATAGGAGCCAATTGATTTGCGAAAAGATTGGTTCGATCCTCCTTGTGACCCGGTCTATACTCTAGTGCCATTCATCGAAATCCACACGAAATCAACCCTGCTGGGTGAGCCTTATGAACAGCCAAGATATGCGCATCACCCCGGACCGAACCAGACTCAAATTAGCAACGGTCTGATCGGTACGCAGGTGACCACAATGGATGCTCAGGTCCACCTTTGGCCAATCCTCGGTGGCCAACTCGTGGCCATGATAACGATCGGTGTGCGTACAGTGCAGCGATAAGGATGTGGAGGGAGCAACCGCAACCCACTAGATAGTACTCCGTACTAGAGGGCTTATCTGAACCTTCGCAAAGCTTCGCTTCCGAGTGGGCTGGACGGGCCAATCGGAGATAGGATCGGAGGCCCGCAGGCGTTCTGCATGGCTCCGTCGGCCTCCACCGACGGCACAACAAGCGGGGGCAAGTTCCCCCGCCAATGGCCAGCCCTAACCAAGACGCCACCCACCGTAGGCAACGCCATTCGACTCGCCTATCTACGGGACATGCCATGTGGCCTGACGGGCTCGTGATCCTCAAATTGCATCGGTGGATGGCCAGAGTCCGTCCGAGAGTCAATCTGGGCTGTGGCCTTGATTGGCAGAGGGGTACGCCCCAGTCCATGTGGCCATACGCAAATGCCTTGGGTCGGTGGGAAGACGGTCTGCCTTGCTTGGGAAGACAGACGGGTGATCTTTGAAGCTATCGGTGATCGGGTGTGGTTGAGGAGGGGTTCCTCGTATTACCACGGTTCACCCGGAGCGGGGATATCCTTATCCCTAACTGATCTCTTGAGTGGGTCTGCCTCTTTGGAGCAGTTCATCCACAATTCATACACTGATTGCGCCTTCTTGGTAAGTTGGCAGGATAGTCTCCAATGGCTGGCAATGACCTCCCAAAGGGGGCGCTGGGCACTGACATGGAGACAGTCCGAATGACAACGTGCGCTGGGGGCATATCAGCCACTATCATCGTTAGCTGGATGCCCTAGTTCAAGGCTAGCCTTAGCTGCAGGTGCGTTATCTTGGACCAATATTGTGTGCTTTTGCGTACCCCCAACTTCGCGAGGGGCCCCGTTGACCTGGGAGAATTGTATAAAGAGTGCCCGTCGTCTACCATTGTGAGGCCTGAAGCGATCTGAAGTCTCAATTCCTCTTCATGGTTTGCCAGTGATCCGCTGAGGTATCCGGCAAGATGTCCGATTTCCCCAAAGGGCCTGTGTCGCTGAGCAGCCACTCCGACAAGGAGAAGGCGGGGGCCACCGAGACTGGCATCGATGAGTCGGATCTCCAGTCCCTCCTGGACCAGTTGAAAGACATTGTCGCCGAGAATGAACTGGACGTCAACTTCCCGGTTCACATCCTCAGCCAGGCACGAGAGATCCTTGACGCGGAAACCCAGCACATCGATCTCTCTCAGCTGCAGGAGCTCATTGCGGAAATTGCCAAGCAGCGCGATCTGATCGAGAATGACTCGCCTTACCCCGAAGTCCGCGCGGTGGTTGACCCCACCGATGACCCTGAGGTCTCGGCCAATACCTTTCGGGCCTGGTTCCTGGGGCTGCTAGCCACCATCATCTTCACGGGGGTTAACCAGCTCTTCACCCTGCGCTATCCGTCCATCAGCATCGCCTCCATCGTCAGTCAGCTGCTGTCCTACCCTTGTGGTGTGTTCCTGGCCCAGGTCTTGCCCACTCGGCAGTGGAATCTGTTTGGCTGGAAGTTCACCCTGAACCCCGGCCCCTTCAACCAGAAGGAACACATGCTGATCACCGTCATGTCCAACGTCTCCTTCGGCGGTACCAATGGCACGGCCTACGTGACCTACATCTTCCAGGTCTTGAAAGCCAAGTCCTTCTATAACATGTCGTCCCTCTACGACCAGGCCGGCTTCCAGATCCTCGTCACCCTGTCCACCCAGTTGCTAGGCTATGGCTGCGCCGGTGTCGTTCGACGATTCCTCGTGTATCCCCCCTCCATGATCTACCCCAAGTCTCTGTCCACCATTGCCCTGAACAAGGCTCTGCACAACGACGAGGGACGTGAACGGGTGAATGGCTGGAAGATCAGTCGCTACCGCTTCTTCATGTACTGCTTCGGTGCCATGTTTGTCTACTACTGGTTCCCGGGGTACATCTTCCAGGCCCTGTCCTACTTCAACTGGATCAACTGGATCGCTCCCGACAATGTCAAGCTGGCCATCATCTGTGGCACCGTCAGTGGCTTGGGCCTCAACCCTCTGCCGACTTTTGACTGGAACGTGGTCTACAGTCTGTACGACCCGATCATCTACCCCTTCTATGCCCTCGCCAACATCGGCATCGGCACGATTCTGTGCGCGTTCTGCGTCATCGCGCCCGTCTACTTCTCCAACGTGTGGAAGACGGCATACTTCCCCATCCTCAGCAACGACGTCTACGACAACACCGGCAACACGTACAATGTCACCCGCGTGCTCAACAGCAAGGGCGACTTCGACCTCGAGGGGTACGAGGGCTATAGCCAGCCCTACCTCACGGCCGGCTACTCGGTCATGTTCTTCTTCTTCTTTGCCATGTACATCGCCACCATCGTGCACGTGGTCCTGTACAACCGCCGCGAGATCATGAAGGGATACCGGGCACTCCTGAAATGGACCAGCGCGCGTGAGGAGCACGAGGATGTGCACAACCGGCTGATGAAGCGGTACAAGGAAGTCCCGGAATGGTGGTACCTGACCATCCTGGCCGTGTCCTTCGTCTTCGGCTGCATCAGTGTGGCCAAATACGACACCGGCATGCCCATCTGGGGCATTGTCTTCGCCATTATCCTCTGTCTCGTGCTGCAAATCCCCTATGGCATGGTCTACGCCATCACCAACTCCGAGGTGACCAACAACGTCATCGCCGAGTTCATCGGTGGTTACGCCATCCCGGGCAAGCCCGTTGCCAACCTGCTGTTCAAAGCATTCGGCTACATCGCCTGTGCGCAATCCGTGCAATTCGTCGCGGACCTGAAACTCGGCCACTACATGAAGATCGCCCCGCGCGTGATGTTCTCCGCCCAGCTGGTCGCCACCATCTTGGGCTCCTTTGTCTCCTTGGGCGTCAACGTCTGGGCGCTGGACAACATCAGCGACGTATGCTCCCTGGACCAACCCCAAAAATTCACCTGTGCCGGTCAGTCCCCATCCCCCAGGGTTTCTCCCCATCCCCACCCAACTAACCTCTCACCCTAACCACAGGCGCCCGCGACTTCTACACCTCCTCGGTCATCTGGGGCGCCATCGGCCCGCGGCGCCTCTTCGGCAGCGGCCAAATCTACAACCCGCTCCTGTACGGCTTTCTGGTCGGGGCCCTCCTCCCCATCCCCTTCTACGTCTTCACGAAATGGTGGCCCCGCTCCGGCTGGCGCTACGTCTACATCCCACTCGTCTTTTACGGGTGCGCCGACCTGTCTCCCTACAACGTCAGCTACGCGTGGTCGCCCATGGTGGTGGGCTTCATCTTCAATTTCTGGATCAAGCGGCGCTGGCAGGCGTGGTGGGAGAAATACGCGTATGTGTTCACGTCGGCGATGTCGTGTGGTGTGGCCATCTCGGCGATTATTATTTTCTTTGCGGTGGAGTATCATGCGGTTAATATTAATTGGTGGGGGAATGAGGTCTCGTATGCGGGGTGTGATAGTAATGAGTGTACGTTGTTAACTATTCCGGCGGGGGGGACGATTTAGGTGCCTTGGGGGGAGAGTCGTTTCTGTGTGGGGGGAGGAGTGTGCTATCTATAGGGGTTGAGATGTGTAGGTAGGTAGTATTGTAAATACGATGCTGGGTTTAATTGCCAGATTATGGCAGAATGTAGAGTCAGACTGTGTTTGTGTATAGGTATGGTTCTTCTGACTGGTAATATACCTACCAGTCATCAGACTTAATACATCCCGCCCACCACCCTACCTCCTCTCCACCGTGCATACATGACCAGCAGATAAAAAAAAGAAGCAGTAATCCCTGACTTAAAAACTCATATAGAAATAATATATAGATAAAAAAAAAGACATGATGTTGCTAAGTGTAGCAAAATGTACACGGCCCGAGCCGCGGATCGAACGCGGGACCTCTCGCAGATATGCTTGGGTTTGTAGGCGTTTTACCATCCCTAAGCGAGAATCATACCACTAGACCACCCGGGCTTGGTACGGTGCTGCTATCACTGGGTGGCTTAGGTGTGGATGGGGATATTTGGGGTGTTAGTAGTGGAAGATTTAGTTAGTAGTTGATTTGGATGATTGTTGGGGTTGATTATGATGCGTGCTTGTGCTTGTTTGGGCTGTGTGGGTTCCCTCGCTGTACCAATTCTCCTGTCTGTGGTAACTGGTAAGTAGCCAGCAAATATAACTAAACCCCGGAAGAATCAGGATTCCTGAACTCCCCTCTCAGCCCTCATCTTCTCTAATCTCTCCAACTCCCCTCTCATCCGTCCAATCTCCTCATCCAGCTCCTCTCTCGCCGCAACCCAATACTTCATCTTCAACACCGCCGCCGAAACAAGCAAAAACCCGATCGACGCCAACGGCGACCACTGCCCCACCTGCTTCGGAGTCTCCTGGGACGGACCATCCTCGTGGATATAATACTCGATCCAGACGACGAAGGCAATCACCGTCAATGGACTCACAATCATACTGAACACTAACGTGCAGAGGATGACCGTATCGAGAAGCTGTCGGATCCACAGGCCAGTGGCGTGTAGCGTGAATAGTATCCTCGCGGGTGTCCAGACAGATAAACGCTGTCGGGTCTTCTCCATGACTTCCGTGCGATGGAGACGGGAGATATAGACCGTAGAGCGAAAGTCCTGTTTCAGTCCGTGGAGGATGATTTTCCGTGCGGCCCAGATACAGCGGACCTGTGCAGAAGGGAGACGGGAGTGGTAAGGGAGGATTTTGAAGAAGAGGAGGAGGGAGACGTTGACGACCATGGTTAGGACGATGAGGCTGTAGATGTAGCGTTGGGAGTAGATGACCTCGTCCCAGAAGCGGCTACGTTGGTGGACGCGGTAGTCGCCGGTGGCGATGACGGCGTCGAGGGAGGTGGGTTGGCGGAGGACTTGGGTGGTGTTGAAGCAGGGGTAGAAGCAGATGCCGGGGAGTTGGTCGAAGGTGGATGCGTTGGAGAAGATGGTCCAGATGCTGGTGTTCCAGGTGGAGGTGCGTTGCCAGGGTTCCCAGCCGTCGTTGGAGACGGTGGTGGAGGGGGGGAGGTCCGGGAAGCAGAAGGTGTATTGGGGTGGGGTGTTGTGGAGGGTGGGCCAGTAGATGAGGGCGCAGATGGAGCCGGCGAGCATGAGGATGTGCCAGAGGGAGAAGAGGATGTAGCGTGCGCGTTCGGTGGAGAAGGCGCGGGACCAGCATTGGAGAGGGAGGAAGGTTAGGTAGGCGGTTACGACAATGGCGAGGACGGCGTCGGCGTCGAGGTCTAGGGCTGCGGGGGTGAGGTTGAGGAGATCGGTTTCGGTGATTAGGGCTGGGAAGTCATCCCATAGGATGGTGGTGTTGGGGACGAGGGGGATGGTGATGGGTGAAGATGGGGGGAGTTTCGGCCGGCTGGACACGAGGATGAAGGCTTGGATGGCAGCCGTGCCGGCGTAGGTTGCGGCAGCACCGAGAAAGACATCTGCTAGCCAGCCGGTCCAGCGAGTGACGCAGGTCGCGAGGAGGAGGGCGTAGAAGAGGTAGCGCGGACAGGCGTCGTAGAAGGTGCTGATGGGATAGGCGCAGATGACTTCCTCGGCGATGAAGAGAGGCGAATCGGCTGTCTGGTTCATTCCGACTGCCCATCCAGGGAGTTCCAGTCTTTTCCGATAATACAGGTGTGAATGTTGCTCTGCCACTGGGAAATCAGTGGATGTGGCACTTTCCAGGGGGAAATTGGATTAAGGTTGGGAGACTGGTGATGTCATCATCGTATGCAGCCCTACCCCAGAGTCACTCTTCCGATGGATTAAAGAGGGAACTTGGAATCTACTATGTTGGCAATCAATTCAGGTGGCTCGAATTAGCTATGTACCTTCCACCAATTACCTGTCCCATGCATAGCTCCTATAACTTGAGGGAATTGCCAGCAGCTATCACAGCTCAAGGGCGAATGCTGCAGCTTGATTAAAATCATCGTCTATAGCCACTGCTGATTCCCAAAGTGCGACACAAAAGTTCCAGCATCCCCGTTTGCCACGCTCGATTTGTGGATCACCGACAACACGTCCTTGACGGCAGACTCGGTGGTGCTGGGCCCTTTCCAATGGGGCGCATATTCTTCAAAGGTCTTGACCATTTCCTTCAACCCGGGTATCTGTTCCGGAGTGGCTGAGAGCAATGTCAGTGAATCGATTCCATGGGGCAGAGTCGTCATGACCTACCACCGACATAGCGTCCCGTATCGACCATCCCCGGACAAATGCTCATAAACAAGATCCCCTCCTCGGCATACTGTGCACTAAACTTGGCCACGGCAGTATTCAAGCCGGCCTTGCTAATGGCATAGAGCGATGCCACCTTGATCTTCAGCCGGGGGATGATCTCCAGGGAGCCTTGACCCGAGGAGATGGCAATCACCTTCTTGACGTGACCTTGTTGGATGAGAGGGACGAACAGGTTGAAAAGGTGGATATTGCTGACGACGTTGACCTTGAGCATATGCATCAGCTCAGCCTCCAGGACGTCGGGTTGTTGGCCCCTGATTTGGTCAGTCTGGGTCTGGCAGAATGTGAAAGTCGACTCACAACACCCCGATCGGATCATAAGCATCGAAGCTGGCCACAGCGCCGGCATTGGCGATGAGATAGTCGAGTCCTCCCCCAATGATACGGGCGGTCTCTGCGGCGGCATTCTGGCAAGAGGCAACGTCAATACGGAGCAATGACAGGTTAGGGTTGAAGGTGGTCACCTGCAGAGCGGCGTAGTCGGTAATGTCGGCCTGCAAGATATGGATATTGGATCGCTCGGGCAATTCCTCTGATACCTTTTTATCGGTCTCCAGCTTGTTTCTGACAAGGCCAATGACGGTATTGTTGGGGTCGCTGGAGACTTGGAGGAGGAACTCCCACTGGATTAGTGCAGCGCGGTCAGTAGACATTCGCCAAACACAGTTCAATTGAGCTTACGCCAAGGCCTCTAGAGGCTCCAGTGATCACGTAGGAAGGCATTTTGATGAAGATAGTGTAGTCAAGTCTTGAATGCACAAAGAGAGGGTTGATGTTGCGACTCAAGTGGCCAGGGCAGAGGAGGTATTTATGCTCCAGATTGAGCCTTCATGGTCTGTCATGGAAGCCCATGGCCAGGTTCTTGTCTCACCCATAGTCTGATTTGAAATCAAATCGACATCGAGGTATTAGGATAACATCAGGAGCATCTCCATCTCGCGGATTCTTGCCCTCGCGGAAAGTTGCCCCGGCTGACAGACACCATCCCCGATCCAGATTAGCGTGACACATGCATCTTATCTATGGCGGGCCTTACATCTCACTCTTCCTTCCTCTGCATCGCCTGACCTCATTCCCCTAAATGAGGGGTAAAGCTGTCTGCTATCGGCAATTCACAAACCTTCCAGCTTTGAGAGTTTTCCCCACTACACAGACCCCACGATGACAAGTAGGAGCTGTGGAACATGTCGCGGTAGCCACGCCATCAGCATCCTCGTCTCGATTGTCTGCTGACATCGGTTCTAGACCGTCGAATCCTCTGTGATCGGGCCCTCCCCACCTGCAAGAAATGTTCTCAGTCCAATCGAATCTGTCAAGGCTACGGTCTTCGCCTCTCCTGGCCAAAAGTGAGCAATACAAAGCGCGCCGCGGTGGGGCGGCCTGTGCATGATAAGATCCCTCCCCGTCGATGGTCGAGAGTTCAGCTAGTGAATACGTCAACCTGGGATCTCGAGTTGCATAATCATCTACAAAATGCAGAATCATGTAGTAAGTTGTTACGATACTCAGCGGGGGCAGACTGACGCGATAGAATCAACCCAACTCATCCTCCGTACGCCCAAGTTTTTTCGCTCGGCCCAGCTGGACGTTGCGGATGATTGCCTGTTACAGTACTGTAAGCACAACACCCTAATACACTTGAGCTCGAACCAACTAGCACCAGTTCAATGCACTGCCTCCCGTTGTCTGACAACATTCGGTTACGATCCGACGGATCTGGGCCGCCTCCTCATGCGTATGGCTCTCTCAGATGATTCTCCAACAGCAGTTGCGATACTACGAGCCATACTAGCACTGTCGTCACTGCATCGCGATGGACTGCAGGCACAGGCAGGCCGTCTCAAGATCTCCGCCCTTAGAGCCCTGGTAGCCGCCCCAAAGACCGACATTACTCCGGCGGAAGCAGCTCAGCATGTGGCTGCGGGAATGCTCTTATGTTCATTTGATGTCAGTATATCACCCTGGCCTTGGACTATAACCATGTTGATGCTGATATGTTCGTCAAAATAGATTCACCAACTGGCATGTACCTCAGGTCAATGGACAAGGTATCTGATAGGTGCAAAAAGCATCATCAAGGCTTCCTCCTTGAGCAAAAGTCAAGGTGGCGAGTTTAGTCTGCTGATGGACTGGGTATACTATCACGATGTGTTGTCACGTTTCAGTATGTTACACTGGCATCGCCGAACTTCAGATATGGAGTCTTTGTCAGATGATGCTTGGGCAGAGGTTCGTGCCCATAATTCACGAGGGAGTCGGGACTGACCACGTTCGCTAGTTCTCTCCAACGCCTTCTTCTTATAGGACCACCCTAACCCTCCTATCTGATGTGTGTAATGCGATATCGACAAATAAATTCACCAAAGGTTTCGAGCATTGCGCAACGACCATGAACATGCTTGCATTTCGAATACGAAATATCGTCCCTGACACTCCGCCCAACGCAAGCTCCGACACAATGACTGGTGTGAAACTATTCCAGTCAGCAATGCTAATATACCTGAATCGGACATCTGGAGCATTACTGGATCCAGCGGACACTGACGAACAAATCACGAAAGCATTTGCCACACTTTCCCGGCTCCCGTCATGTGAAAGGCAATTCCCATTATTTATCCTCGGCTGCGAAGCACGAACAGATGATGAGCGGTGTACAATCCTGGATTTGATCAGTAGGACCGAAAAGATGGCCTCGTCTCGATCCTTTTTCCTAGTGCGGAAGATGATCGAGGCTATCTGGGTGCAGGATGACCTTTCTAACAAGGGGATTGATTATGCGGCAAAGTTGAGTGCAGTCATCAGCTGCTGCGCCATTTTGCCGAGTTTTGTTTAGGATGATTCTTATCTCTTTGAACTGTTGCAAGTATGGCAACCCCGAAACGCCTTGGTTGTCTCAAAATCTCGCAACGCGATCTGTGAGGTCAAGTGTTCCGAAGTCGATACCCAAATTAAACGGGCCTATGACAGGGAACTGTTTGGTGAATTCAGGGTTATTTTGTTTCATTTTTTTCTTTTTCTGATGGAAGGATATACGACCTTGCTTGTGACAATAACAGAGTCACATTATCCAAGCCTAAGCTATAGAGCTGGCAGCGCAAAGTAATAATTATACCCACCTTTGTGAATCCATAAAAGCAAAATTGCGCGAGGCAAAATGCTAGAACTCAGAACTAAACCAATCCTATTGTATATCCTGCCATACTTGAAAATAGCTGACAATAAGCAGAGGTTTAGCTTTGGTATCCTACATAGTACCCAGTATGTTACAAAGTCATCGGTGTAGTTTTCTATAAGGGATCAGCCTACCATTTCTACCATGGGAGGAGGAATCCACGACATGTTTTGTCCCATGTAGGAAGATGGCCAGGGGCATTGGAATCTGCCTCACTAAGCTGGTTAGATGAAATGTATAAAAGGCCCCCAGGACCCCAATGTTGATGTAGCTATATCACAGCAGAACAACCAAGCAGAATACCTCCTCCACCTCAGAACAAGATTATGCTATGAATATATATAATCCAGAACGAAGGCATCTTTGATGCCCGTCCTAAATGTCTTTCCTGACTATATGACTATTACACTCAAGCGAAGGCGCACGGACCCTGGCGGACACCTACAGGAGATCATTATAATAACCTCCAAACGAGATCCCTAGGGGTGGTACCATATGTTGTCAAGAGCTCGGTGCATGACGATAGCGCAAACCTAGCCCTCGCAACCGGTTCTGAAGATTGCAATCGGTGTGGCATGGCTAGACGGTGATGTGACCGTAGGGCCTCATTTTATATAAGAGACGGGGATATCCTGCGACATATTATTTTGAATACTGCTTTGGAGCCGTAACTACGGTTGGGTAGTAGCTATTACCGTCTTCATCATTGTTTTGTGGAGGATCTACTCCCACCCACCTATCTGTGAGCAACTGCGAAGATATGCATCACTCGACTCGACATGGGCTCTGATTAGAGGTCTCAAGACTCGAGTTGAGCATAATTTGGCCTACAACGTCCCTGTTGAACGGTCATGATGGCCAACTATAACCCCCGCTTATTACAGGGAACCATAGGTCTTCAAAGGCGCGAGATGCTTTCAGAGTACAAGGGGTATATAATCCACATTCGAAAGCACTCATCAGGGAGTACCGCCACATAAGGACGAGGAAGGCTTAAAGTCGAAAAGCACCAGTGGCCCTATGTTAGATGTCTAAAGCAGATTCCGACGCGAGATTGACCTCCTTCAGCTGGTTCGATGATGGACAAGAAAGAAACTTGTCCTTGAGTAGCCTTATGTGGAGTTGACCTCAATTCATCACTCCGTATCACATTATCCAAGGCGTTAGGTGTTCTTTCGTATTACTGGCTTCATATACCCAGACGTTTGGTATTGGAAGTGGGATAGGGACTGGACTGGACCCCACTTATAACCAACGAATCACTCCGAAGAATATTGGCAGGGGAATATCGCTGATATCACTCTGTTTGGGTGTCTCTTTTTTGGAATATCATCATGTTCCCTTGAGTAACATACTTCCCATGTTGTATGTCGGTGCCAAATTTGATTCTTCATAGCACACCCCATTTTTATATCATAGCTAAAATTTAGGAGTAGTATAGAAATATGTGTTGGAGAAAATCTTGGCAATGTCCCCGCATTTTGAATATTCCTTACCTAGAAGGTAATCATGATTACATAATTCCAAACACAGTGATATTATCACACATGTCAAAGCTACTACCACGTAGACCAACAATATATCCCCCAGCTACGAGTGTAGAATATACCGAGATACCATAAGCAATAACTGTCAAAGAATGGCAAATGCCCACCTGAATTATACTCCAGGAATGTGACAAGTGGCAAGGGCTTAGTGAAACTATGAAAAGAAGAAGAACAAACTCCCTGTGATATTGTGGTGAAAGCCCAAGTCCCTTGCACTTTCATTGGCGGATTTAGAGTTCACGTATAACGATCACAAGTAGGGATTGCATTGTGAGAGGCATGTACATTAGACGATGGAAATGTGGGATAACCATAAATGCTTACATGTGGATTCCATATTCTAGATGCTGATCTGACAAGTACGAAACAAAAGACAAAGTAAATTATTTAGATCGATGTCATCATAGACCATCGTGTATGATAAACGAGTTGCATATAGTACTATTATCGGGCACACGTGAAAAGCACCAGCCCTAAACAAGTTCATAGAATAACCTAAAACAGACCTCAATGCATGAAGGCTTCCCCTTTCTGTAAGTGAAGCGCTAAGTACCTAAGATATCCGAGGAATTCAATCGTAGGTAACTGACCGTGTAGGGTCAATCCTTTGATACATGCATAGGCGGGCTCTAACTCAGTAGACAGCATAGGATGTGTCCTCATAAGGATGTTCTCGATCCATAGGACCTGGACCTACCTCCAAGGCGTTGCAATCTTCCACAACATCAGCAGCCTCAAGTGGGTATAAAGACCCAACCAGTAGTCCATATCCTGCGTTGTCTGCATCAGCAACCAAACAGTCAGACCTCTCCATAGTAGTCTTCCTACTTGCCATACTTTAAACAATGGACGCCCTACTTGCAACCATTTCACCACCCAATAACCTCTACCAAACCTGGAAAAGACGACTCGAACCCTTCTTCCCCCAAGCACAAGGCTTCGTAATCCACGTCGAACGGGACGTCACCACCTACAACATCCCCCTTGAAATCATCTCCATAACCCGCTGGCACTCCGACAGCTCCTTCGCCCTCATCTCCGGCGAAGCAACCGGCGACATCCCCGACTACCGACGCTGCATGGAAGCAAACCTAGGCACGCCCCACGGGTACAGCAGTATGCACTGGGGCGCGATCCTCAAAGCGGTCCACGTAATGTTCTATTGCAATATGAATCCCGGCTCGCAGCTGGAATGTACGGGTTTATTCCATGGAGAATTGGACTTCGAGAGCCCGACTCCTGATGCGGAGCGGACTTTGAGGATGATTAAGGGGACCTTTGCGACCTGGAAGGCCCTCGATGGCATCGATATGAATGCGTATAGTATTATTGGCCCTGCGGCGCCGATTACGTCCAATTATGAGGCTCGTGTCGCGAGTGGTGCGGGTACTAGTAGTGGGGAGAATGATTCGGATGAGCGTTCGGGAGATGTGGGTTATGTTAGTTCTGCTGAGGAGCAGCTCATCCCGCGTATTCAGGAGGTTAGTACTAGTGATAGTGGGACTGGTAGTTCAACTGATGAAGTACGCAACGAGGGGGAACGCAGCAACCAATGAAGAGACTGATGCTGGGGATACTGCGGACAACGACACAGTTAATAGCCATTGAGTAGGCTGCATGCTTCTCTTTTCTGTTATTCATCATTGGGATGCCATAGGTATCTCACACCTGTTGGAATTCACTCGCTTTGCCTATCCAATAGGATTGATTCATGTTCCCTGAACACCTATAATAGCGTCATAAATTCCTGGATCGTAAAGCATTGTATACGTAGCTGGTATCTGCATAGAGTTTAAGACAGGGTTTCCATTGAACCTCATCAATGGCTTTATAAGACTACAGAGCATTAATCCGTGTTCACGCGTGTGCTGGCCGCACCAACAACCCATACGAGTTAGCCCCCCCCCCTCCAGCTTCCCACCCCACGGCTCTAAATCCACCGTCACCCGATCCACCTCCACGAACCCAAACTGACATACGATCCATACCCGTTCTTCGACGCCTCCATATACGCCTGCAATCCGAGACGACCCGCCTCCTCAATGCCCTCTGCACCAACACACCCCCCAGCCCTTGCCGCTGAAACTCCGGTCGCACATCCAACTCCTTGAGCCCAGGTCCCAAGTAAGAACAACACAGATCTATAGACAATGTTGAGACATGCTATATTTCTACCTTCTACGCCCGGGGCATGAATGATGGAGGACCATCGTATGAGAGTCCCATATTCGGTACCGCTGGCGAGAGATGCCGCATCGGGCCTAGCGCAATGGCTCCGGATGAGTCAGCTATGGCACGTGCCTTCCTGAGCAGGACTCGGAAAAGGTATTGTCCCGAGCGGCCGGATTTCGGGGATCCCTGGAGCGCGTCCGGCCGAGATCCTGGCCTTCATCGGGGGATACGAGCTTGATCACAAGAGACCATCAAAACCCGGAGGATTTGTCCTACAGATCATCGTATGATGGACGGGGTGAAGTTATGATATTGCAGCTTCATATGCTGCACTCCTGCTCAAGCTTTCGCCTCGGAAGAAGACCTAAGCCTGTGGCGCTTATCATTGTTATGTTTCTGCACAGTAAGTGGGAGCAAGGGGGATCGCCCTTGGGCTCGACGAGTCTTAGCGGTGGATTATAGAGTTGGTGGTGTCCATCACTGAGTCAGCGCTGCCCGGACCCGTCTCAGTTATGGATGAATCCTGCATGCTGATTGGCTTGAAGCCATCTCAAACTTAATAGACCGCGCCTAATGATTATCACGCCATAAGAACTTTATGGCCTTGAGATTGGACTTTCCGGCAATGAATCAGTGCAGAGCTCGTTGCCGGGGCTGTGCAGCATGGACTTCCGGCTTTCCGATCCGGACACAACGGTATCCGATTGCCGATATGCATGCAACCCACCTGGTGGATCTATCTTTTGCCTCTCATTCACAATGAATCCATCTTATTGGGGTTACGCGGCTGGGCTGCGACACCCGACCTGTCGATCCCATGCACCGGTGAACACCCAATCGAGGTGGCCTGCTGCCTGTGTATCACCTCCCACCTTCTTCTGGCACGCTCTCACTGTCTTACACAGAACACCTCACACGACCACCTGCTCATACTGAAGTACTTGGATGGAAAAATGAAGGGAGGCGAGCAGAGCATTTCGCTATACCAGGCATCACTCGCGAATGTAAGCGTGGTTGCGGTGTCCTACTCTGCGCTAGACTAATGCAGTTATGCAGCAGCGTCAATCATTTGGTCTAGCCTCAGCAACGTATCTCCGACAGCTACCCCGCTTCTCCTCATGGAGTAGAAGACCGTCGCAGACACGGCAAAATGACGGCAGAGTGCCACAGACAGCGTGGGACGGACCAGGGATCCAAGGATTTAAATAACGCTGTACATTCGGGCGATTCAGAGAGTGGAATCTTCAAACACAAGCAGCGTGTACTACACCATGCCATCAGCTCTGGCTTTCCTCGGGGTATTTTACCTTTTCTACACCACCTCTGTGGTGCTCTGGAACCTCTATCTGCATCCGTTGCGTCATATCCCAGGGCCTAAGCTATGGATAGCGTTTCCATTGCTACGCCACATCTCCAATATTCGCGGCAGGCTGGATATCGACATCCGTGCGTTCCACAACAAGTATGGTGAGGCCGTTCGGTTCGGCCCCGATGAGGTCTCTTTCATCACGCCTCAGGCATGGAAGGATATCTATGGCCACGGTCATCGGCAGATGCCCAAGGTCAGGGGCTCCGCCAGCAACCCGAAAGATATCATCAGCGCCAACGATGTCGATCACACCCGATACCGCAAGGCCATGGCCCATGCCTTTTCTGCTAAGGGCCTCCAAGCCCAGGAGCCGTTCCTTGTCGGCTATGTTGACAAGCTCATCAAGAGGCTGCACGATATAGCTAAATCGCAACTGCCCGTCGATATGGTGAAATGGTACAACCTCACAACGTTTGATCTCATCGGCGACCTCGCATTTGGAGAATCATTCGGCGGCCTGGACTCATCCGAGTACCATCACTGGGTAGCAACCATCTTTGAATCCATTCGGGCGCTAGCGTTTGTCAAGCTCAAAGACTACTACCCGCTCGTCTTTCAGGTAGTCGCGACATTTCTTCCCAAGCACCTGAAAGAAGCGAGACAGAAACAGACAGGCCACAGCCGGATGACCGTGCAGAAACGGCTACAGAGTCAAAAAGATCGTGGTCAAGCTGATTTCATGGAGTCGATGCTGCGACACCGAGGCGAAAAGGACGGTTTGACCGACGAAGAGCTCGAGGCAAATGCAGACATCATCATCATTGCGGGCAGCGAGACAACAGCTACTCTTCTCTCCGGACTGACCTATTTCTTACTTCAAAATCCCCAGGCAATGGAAAAAGTTACCAGGGAGGTGCGGTTCGTCATGCAGACCGAGGCAGATATTACCGTCCAGAATGCGACGGCTAATCTTCCCTACATGCTGGCATGCATTGACGAGGCGTTTCGGATGTACCCCCCTATCCCTAGTGGCTTGCAACGTATAACGCCGACAACGCCGATTGAGATATCTGGCTATCGGATTGCTCCGAATGTAAGTTGGCTTCCTACCCTTAAAGCCATATGCTGATGTCCGTCAGACCAAGGTCGCCGTGCACCAATCTGCGGCCAACCTATCGCGTCTCAACTTCTATCAACCCGACAAATTTATTCCCGAACGTTGGCTGCCAGAGTCCAAGAACGATCCCTCGTCGCCGTTCTTCAACGATAACCGGGACGTTGTGCAACCGTTCTCGGTCGGCCCGCGGAACTGCATCGGTCGGAACCTAGCCTATGCAGAGATGCGTGTTATTCTTGCCCGAGTGCTATGGAACTTTGACCTTGAGCGGTGTGAGGAGAGTCGGGACTGGTACAACCAGAAATCATATTCGTTGTGGGAGAAGCCGCCTCTGATGTGCACGCTCAAGGCTCGGGTGCATTAACTTGTTTCACGTTGACGATGATGTCGGGATGACTTGCACATTTTGGTGGGGATGGTACATAGCAGACTATCGGACATGTTCTTGGCTTCGTATCCCGCCTCACTGATGTAGATCCGGGGTGAACTACCCCGAGCTGGACCCGCCCCCGCAAATGCGGGGGACCCGGACATGCCCCGATATTTAAGACATCTTGTAGCCCACGAAGTAAGGCTTGAAAACTGTACCTGACTCCCGTCATCCATCACAATGTCCAAACTAAACACCTTTACTGAATACCACGAAAACGTCCCGAAAAGCCAAGCATCAGAACAAGATGTCATCTACCAGACCTACGTCTCCAAAAGCCCGGAATGGCACCGAAAGATGACCAGCCAGCTTCTCCGAAAGGTCGACATGCATCTTCTTCCGTTCCTCGTGGTGATGTATCTGCTCAATTTTCTGGACCGAAAGTGCGTGCCCCCGCCCTCAAGCAGGCCCAATACTAATTGCTTAGCAACCTCTCTCAAGCTCGATTAGGGTCCCTCGAAAAAGACCTCGGGATGAAAGGAACGGACTACAACCTCGCAACTAGTATCTTGTTCGTGGGATACCTGCTCATGCAACTTCCGTCAAATCTTCTTATCACCCGTGTCCGACCGTCGTTGTTTCTGGGGTCGGCGATGGCGATTTGGGGTGTCATATCGGCTTGTCAGGCGGCGACGCAGTCGTTTACTGGATTGGTCTTGGCTCGGTTCTTTCTCGGATTTGTGGAGGCGCCGTTCTTTCCTGGAGCGATTATGTTGATGTGAGTCTCCTCAGAGGTGAGATGTATGCTGTGCTGATATGACTAGGTCGAGTTGGTATACCAGACAAGAGGTATGGTGCTTCAATCTGAGCAATATTGGCAACACTAACCCAGCTAGTTGAGTCATCGCATTGCCTGGTTCTATGCCGGAAGCTCCCTGGCCAATGCATTCGGCGGACTTATTGGGGCCGGAGTGTTGGGCAACTTGGATGGTGCGCATGGTATAGCTGGATGGCGATGGCTGTTCATCATTGAAGGGTGCATTACCGTCGGAGTCTCCCTTACCTCGACGTAAGTGAACAGCAACCTCTCTATATTCAACGCTGACAAGCTAGACTCCTGCTGCCAAACTACCCCGCAACAACACCATGGCTGGATGATACAGAGAAGCTCTACGCCCAATGGCGCCTCATCCACGATGCGGGAGAAGCAGACGAAGCTAAGTCGGGCAGTATTAAAGAGGCACTGTATCTGGTTTTCTCTGACAGGCGGATTTATCTGTTCATCCTTCTTCAGCATACGTCCCTTCTTTCACAAAACTTCCAGTACTTCTTTCCGACCATCGTGCAGACTCTCGGTTATGGAAACATCGAGACCCTACTAATCACCGCACCTGTCTGGATCGCAACCTTCTTGGTATCTCTCCTAGTAACTTGGATATCCGGCAAAACCGACGACCGAGGCCTACACATTATCCTCTTGATGCTCGTCAGCGTCGTCGGATGCATAATCTGCACCGCGACCACCAACATCGGCGCCAAATTCTTCGGCATGTTTCTGTAAGTTCCACCATCTATTTTTACATTTCAATCCTGACCGACTAGAATGCCCATGGGCGCCGTATCAGCCTACCAAATTATCATCGCCTGGGTAGCCAATTCGTTCCCCCGCCCACTGGTCAAACGCTCGGCCGCGATTGCAACAGCCAACATGATTGGAAACACCGCATCGATTTACGGCAGCTACATGTGGCCGTCGTCATCAGGACCCCGATATATCGCCGGTGGCAGTGCCACGGCAGGGATTGCCCTGCTCGTTGCCATTCTGGCATTTGTCATCCGCGTTGTGCATGCCAGGATGAATAGGGAGCTTGACGTGGCTCAGGAGGGGAGACGGGATGGGTTGGAGCCGGATGATCTGGAAGCTCGGAATGCCGGGTTTAGATATATTCTATAGCCATTGGTTATGGGATTTGGTTGTGGTGTATGTTTAGAAACAGCCGGTTGGAATCGAGATGACTTCATCCGTGAAGCTGAATAACTTGGCAAGCTCGTATCTAGGCTCCAACATATGTGGTAAAGCCCAATCAGCCCACTGGATAAATCGAAAGCTTATCTGACATGACGTGGGCCTAGTCTAATTGCGTATGCTTTATTGCGTTCTTCAGAGCTATCCTAGAGGCGAGGTAGGTATAAGAGCATTACCTGGATCCAGACGAGTGTCAACCAACTTGCTCATTACCATTCCACACCATCTGGGGCATCTTTACCATGACCAAGTTCTTCCATTTCCTCCTGGCCCTGGCAGCCTATGCCTCGGCCCAGACTTCTTCATCCTCCACCACCACAACCACCACCTCCACCTCAACTTCGAGCTCCACCTCGTCCACCTCCTCCACGACAGTCATCCAAGTCTTCTATCTCGGCCCCAGCCCCAGCCCAACCCCAACCACCACCTTCGCCAGCTTCGACGCCAGCGTCGTCTCCGCCGGCTCCGGCACCACCGTCCTCGCCCTCGAATGCAAAGGCAACTGCCCCGTCTCCTCCACTTACACCATCACCGCCGGCCCATCCACCTACGCAGACAATCAGGTATTCACCGGCTCCGCCAACGGCCTCAGCGTGACGACCTCCCAAACCCACGCCTGCAACATCACCTCCTCCACCCAGGGAGCGTCCTGCTCCGTGTCCGTCGGCGTCTATGCATCTGTGAGCGGTCATCAGAGCTCCTCGGTCGCAACCACGGCCACATCGTATGATTCTGACGATTACTGGTATGCGCCGGTGACGGTCACGGCGGGGTTGGAGAAGTTGAATTCGCCGAGGGCGACACAGACGACGGATGCTGGGGGACGGGCGGGGGTTGGAGGGGCGGTGGTGGCGGTGGCTGCGGCGGCGTTGTTTATTTGATCGAGGTTGATTGTAATATGGGCTGGTGTGTGTGTGACAGTGCTGTTGTTTATTTCATAATCCTCCTGCTGGTGTAGCTATAATATGCTGCATAAATATATGCATGTGCATAATATTGTGCTGGATTACACTAGTCGTATCAGGAATAGTCTTCCCCGCCAATAGTGACGCTTCTCCAACTTTCTTCCCTCTCCAACTCTCCAACATGAGCAAACGACAACGTGTATCCAATGAACCACAGGGCTTGCGTTTGACAAGAAGCAAAGCGTGTAAGCGGATGTCACAACATCTCATTGCTGAGCTAATAACACCAGGCACGGAATGTAAAACGCAAAAAACCAAGTGCGAGACCAAGACTGGCCAGACGTCATGTACCAGGTGTCTGCGCCATGGACTCGAATGTGTCTCGTATGATGTCTCGCAGCAGTTTTTGCAGAGGGATACAGTGTGAGTATTTACCCTTGTGTACTGTCTTTTCTAATAAAGGTAGATGGAAGAATCAAACTACCGAAGAGGTTGGCTTGTTGCGAGCGGCAGTCGAGCATCTGTTGAGCTATACGAACCAGCCGGATTTATCAGCTTTTGCATCGCAGACCAGCCGGTCGGGTCGATCCAATGTTCAGCAAGGTCGCCCGGATGTAGGGATTGACATGTCGAGGGAAAATTCTCCGCAGCCTCAGGAGAATGGGCCGACAGGACTGGTGACTGCACCGATGCGCAGTTTGTACGAATTGACACGGCTGAAGAATCTGCGAAACAATCCCGCGTGGAAGCCAAAGGCATCATTAATTGATGATGACTTTATCTCACAGGGTGTTGTGTCAGTGGATGAAGCCGAGTTCCTGTTCACGCGGTTCGTGGAGTCTAACAACCGGATGCTCTGGGATGGAGCTCTGCTGCTGCATCAGAGCCTAGACTCGGTTCGACGATCATCAACTCTGCTCACAGCGATCATTCTTACCGTAGGTGCCCTGCATACTCCGGAGCAAACGGAAGCATTCCATCACAGCTATGATGTGTTTGTGTCCCTTGCTTCAAGCTTGTCACTTGCCCGACATCACAGTCTCGATGACATCCGTGCGCTATGCATCGGTGCCTTCTATCTGGCAAACTTGAGCTGGAAGCTGTCTGGTCAGGCAACCCGGATCGCAGCTGAGAGTGGTCTCCATCAGTCCTATCATCGACTGATGCAGGGAGAGACAAATCAGATGGAACACGTCCGACTGTGGTATGCCACCTATGTATGCGACCATCAATTCAGCATTGCGCATGGGAGGCCGCCGGCCGCTGTTGACGACGAATCAATTCGAAATATTGAGCAATTTCTTCAACAGTCCGAGTCTACGAATGGAGATGCTAGACTAGCCGCACAAGTATCATTATTTACCACATTGACAGAAGCCTACATGGCTTTTGGCAGTGACCTCAATCGGCCACTCGACCAGGAGGATCTGCAGAACATGCGGACTTTCAACGTCGCGGTCGAGCAATGGCGACTCCAGTGGGTGCCGCGTTCAAAGAATTGTGCCAGCCTGGGATCGTACCCATCTAAGGCTCTTATCTTGTATTATCATTTTGCCCGATTCCAGCTCAATTCACTGGCACTTCGCAGGGTTGCTTCCCCTGGTGCTTCTGGGTTGGAAACATTATCCCTCGATCATCGCGAGGCGGCCAATACGGCTATTGCAGCTGCCATGGCGACCCTGACACTGATTTTGGAAGAAACCGACCTGCGCATCGCCTTTCCCAGTGTTCCGATATTCACCTATACCATGGTCGCGTTCTGCGCGACCTTTCTCTTAAAAATGGCCGCGACCTGGGGAAGAGACAATGCGGGAGGTGGGGATGGCAACAACCGACTTGGACTGACGATAAATACTCGAGACATTGTGTCTCTTGTGCAGCAGTCGGCTGATATGCTGTCTGGCGTAGCTGCCAGTCTCAACGAGAAACACCTTGCCAAGCATATTGCTGCCGGCATGCTGGAGATGTTGCAGCAGTTCCATGCTTTGGATAAGGATACGCAGCATACTGACCTACTGGCAGTGGACATGAATGCCATCCCCATGGTGCAAGGTCCCGACGACAACGCCTTCTGGGCGGGAGAATACAACTGGCACGATCTCGGAGGTACATTTGGCTTCGGTCTAGACGAGACATTACTAGGCCAAATGGCAGCAGACAATTTCGAACTATGGCCACAATAGGCTGCCATTCAACCATCTACCCGTATTATACAATGCACCTTACCCTCACAACCTCGCCTTCACCATATTCTCACACGACGCCCCGATTTCCTTCGGAATCAAATGATCCACATCCAACGTATTCAACAACCCAGGATGTGCCTGCGACAGATCCGTGATTCCCAACAACCGCATCGTAGTCTCTAACTCATCTTTCATAACTGCATTCGTCAGTACCTCGCAACCAATCCCATAAAGACGAAGACATACTCTCAATCAGCCTCTCTACCCCTTCTTGCCCGTAGCACAAACTGTACAAGAATGCCCGTCCCATGCCAACAGCCTTGGCCCCTAAGCAGATCGCCTTAATGATATCCGTTCCTCGTCGAATGCCCCCATCCACGAAGACTTCCAATTTGTCAAATACCTCCGGACAACATCGACGGATTTCCATAAGGACTGCAATTGACGATGTCGACCTACACAACATTAGCCAACCAACCCAGCCCCCTACTCCCCACCCACCTCCAAACCACCTAAGAAAGAAGAAAAAACTCACGTATCAACCCCCCTCCCCCCATGATTACTAACCACAATCCCCTCGACCCCCGCCTCCACCGCCAACACCGCATCCTCCGCCGTCTGCACCCCCTTCAACACAATCGGCAAATGCGTATTCCTCCTCAACCACCTCAAATCCTCCCACGTCAAACTCGCATCAATATACTGCCCCATGGTCCTCCCCAGCCCCGCCCCCTTCCCATCACTCCCGATCTGCGCCCCGCTCATAGGCAACGGGGTGAAGAACCGCCTGTCTGTGGTATCAAGCGGAACGCGTTCATCGGCCTCGCGCTTCCCAGCGACGGGGGCGTCGACGGTGACGAAGATGGCGCGGATGTTGGATGCGTGCGCGAGATGGAGGAGGTGTTGGGAGACGGAGCGGGATTTGTGGATGTAGAGCTGGAGGAAGAATGGCGCCCCTGTTGAGGTGGGAAGTGGTGAAGAGGTTATGGTGGGAAGGGGGTAGGAGGCGTTTGTTGATATCTACTTACTCCCTATTAGCCAACATTCACAACGGACCCCCCCCCCCCCACAATCGCAGAATTCCATGGAATGGTAGATTGTAGGGAGGAAGAAAAGAAACGTACACATTGTCCCACCCCGAATCTTGCACACGCCCTGGCAATGGCAACCTCCCCGTCGGGATGGACCAACGTCGCCATGGCCGCTGGACTAACGAATAACGGGAGCTGCATTTCACAACCTAGGATCGTAGTCCGGGTGGACACACTCGTCACGTTACGGAGGATTCGTGGGCGGAGAAGAATCCGATCGTAGGTGGTTTTATTGGACTCGCAGGTGAGCATGTCTGTTGCGCCGGAGGCGTAAAAGGCCCATGTTTTGGGGGTGAGGGTTTGGGAGGCGATGCGTTCGAAGTCGTGGGTGGAGAGGATTGATGGGAGGGGGGGTTTATAAGAATTGGTGGGGTTGGTTGGTTGGAGAGTGGAAGACATTTTGATTTGGTATATCTTATATTCTCATTTGAAGCTTGTCTCAATGAAGGAGAGTAAAGGGTGAAATGGGTTGCTTTATATGTTCGAATACGATTTAGATCGGAGTTTTGCCGGACTCCGGACTTTTGCCGGAGCGTCGTGACAGCGGGGGACCAATCAGCGGTGGGGCAGACGGAGACTATTTCCCCGCAAATCTTATCAATCAAGCCATGATCCATTAGTTCCTTAGTGAGGGTATTCTCGGATATCCTACATTGGATCAAGATTAATTCCTTCATGATAGTACATTACATCTGGCCTATCTAACTATATAACAATACATATCTCATCCCAAATAACAGTAAACCAAGGCAGACCAGCTGTCTAATTAGAAACTCCCAAGTAGCCGTATCGTACAAGGACATTGAAGTTCTTCAATCTCAAGCGCAGTGAACGACTGTCTCGTAAACGGGCACACGAACTCTGGTTGCACAACCTAACGATTGACCTATCAGATCATCCATACCTTCCAACATGAACTGATATCCACCAACTCAAACCCGATTCTGCGCCATATCAACCGACCCCATCTGTCTCCTCGCGGCCCGTCTAATCCCAGAAGCCTTCTGCTCCCCCGACATCGCAAACTCCCGTCTGACTCGATGCGCCACCATCGCCCACGCACAATACCTGCGATGCGCACGCGACTGATCCGAAGATGAAACCGCCCCCTGCTCCGCCTGAGGACTCGCCTCCCAGAGATTCCTCGACGAGGTTCCCTCCTCCGGACTCCCGGAGTTCAACATATGCGGATGATACACGAACGCCACGAGTTGGTTGAGGATATTGAATTCGAGCTTCAACTTGACACTGTAGATGAAGCCCTTGATGACGGTTTGTAGGGCATAGCGACCGATGAATTGGAGGACCACGATAGCGACATCCAGGACGAGGACGATGATGTTCATGATGATTAGGTGCAGGAGCAGTCGTCGAGCGGCTTCTCGATGTGTTTCTTCCAGGATGGGGGATTCGGAACGAAGGAGTTTGAAGGTTTCGAAGATGTACACGCCCGAGATGATGGATTCTTGGACGAAGAAGACGGTCACTTGGATTCGCTCGTAGATGGCGTATGGGACGGCGAAGGTCGCCGAGGCGGGGGAGTTGGTGCCGTAGCAGAGAATGGTGGTGGGGATTTGCAGTAAGATGGCGTCGCAGATGATCATGGCGAGGACGAAGCGGAGGAGGAAATGATGGCGAACGACCAGATGGAGACGCGAGTAGAGGACCATGGATTGGCCGGTGACCATGGCACACCAGCCGAGGACAATGAACGTGACGTAGAGATAGGAGAGGGAGACCGCGACGAGATTAAAGTCCTTGAGGACGAAGCCGATCGAGTAAATGGCGATCCCGACCGAGGCGACGACGAAACTCCAGAAATAGAGGCCCTTGCGGCGTTTGAAGGTGAGGAAAAGGATGAAGGTCAGCTCGATGACATTGTAGAGAGCGATGGAGAGGAAGGCGGTGACGACGTAGGTGATGGGGAGGGCCAGCTGGGCGCCCAGCTCGCTGCCTATGTCTCTCAGCGCGGCCGACATGATGTCTCTGGTCGGGATGAAGGGGCGGGGTGGAACGCGCCATGGCAGGTTTTCGTCATAAGTATCTTGATATAGAGTTGGCAGGGAGGAACGGGTGGCATCCGATCCATGGTAGGGCTCGGTTTCAACGGGTCATCGACTTGACGATCTTGCCCCACCCATTGGTATCCAGCGTTGGAAATGTTTTTGATAGGTTCCCAAATTATGCAGTGGTCTGGGTCCACTGAGGTTAATCATATGCGTTCCAGCTCTGACTGGATTAGACTTAAGTGTACTCACTGGATGTCTTGAGCCTAGAACGTGATGCAGTAGGTTCATATCTGATATCGACTATCTTCAGAGAACTAGACCCTTTGCTATGATGGTGATAGGGTATTTAGGATCTCAGGTCCTTGCAGATCATTGAACTGTAATTTCTTATCACACGAGATAACGGTACACTGGCGTAGTACGTATTCGCCACTGCCTTCGTATGAATTTGGCATGCATAGAGTTTGCAGAAACCATTGCTAAAATAAGCCTGCTGAGTAATCGTATCGGAATTTAATTCCTGAGACCGCTTGAATTCGATAGGAGCAGACGATCAGGCTAGTCTAACTTAATATGCCTCGTTTGTGACACTTAGTGCTTTCCACTGCACTGAAACCGGGCATACATCAGGCTTTCCTTCCCAAGAGTCCCCAATCTACGTTGCAGAACTCGAGTGAATATGTCCTAGCTGAGCGCCATTCAACCGTGCTTTGATTTAATGCTCATCAGCAGTGCATAGTTGGTGCTACGCCGGCGCATGTGAACGAGAGAAATACGGCTAATTATGATGATATTAGTTTTCTGTCGCATGACGCAGGCCGTGGTAAATAATCTTGCTGTATCGATACGAGATGATGTGAAATGAAAAGGATCTTGTATATAAGACACAAGATTCTTTTATTGTCTGGCAGTCTTGCAGCTATAAATATATAGCGAATGGAAAACCTTCCCGACATGATCTAAAGCACATGAGATATCTATCTATTTTGTGACATTCGATAGACCTAGTATCCCGAATCAAACATACCAGGAGACTAGTGAAGGTGATGATCTGTCGCGCGTTCCAGAAGTCCTGTGGAAGTGACCAGAGATACAACACACCCGTCATTAGGGCTACAAGACTGAAATCCCCCTTTCCTGCCGAAACTGCCTTTTCCCCCATCAATGGGCCTCCAGATCCAGTGCCGTTGGGAACATATATCTTGGTCTGCGGTGTAGACCCTTCTTGGTGTTTCAAGAACATAAAAGATTTCCTATTTTTGAACCCTCGTAGTGGAAAGGAACTTGTAGCCTTCTGTGCGTGGGAGTTGTATGAATATTTTGAATATAGAGCTTCCCTTTTCGGTTTTGTGGATAAATGCACGAAGCTCAGGGCCAAGGGTAAATCCTCCTGAACATCATGCTCTGTCCAGTTCTCATATTCTGCTGTGATGGCCTGGGCATTCAATATGCGGTTTTTCGGAGATTGCGCGTTGTGAAGGCTAGCGATTAAGGCTGTATAGGCAAATGAGAAGAAAAGAAGAGAGCGCGGAATGTCCCTTTTGCATTGGGTAGAAGAGGAGTTGCAGGCCCACCAATTGTATTCTCAGCGCGATTTACTGGAAAAGCCAGGATTTATATAAGAGATATCTTTGGTGTCATGGTGGTTCTGAGACTTGAGGTTGGGGTATTGTTTTAGACTGTTGCTGGGCCATTGCCCTTCATCATTTGCTGAAAAGGGCTGTGCATCATTGTCGTGTTTGGAGCATTGTCTGATACAGGTCCGGTCTGAAGAATCTGGCCCATCGCTCTGTTACCTGGCTATATATTCACTAGATGTTACTGATTTGCGGTATGTTCCACTGGATACGTCCTACGCATAATGGCGTCAATATGGGATGTCTCCTGGGTAATCTAATCCTGATATTACCCTTTCAAATGTACCGCCATGCAGCCCAGGGAATCAGGTATCTGCCATATTTATCTGACACGATTACAATCTGTTGACAATATCATATGGTGAGACAGTTACCGTCTAATCCAGGGAGTTAGAGGAAGACCATCTGTATTATGGCGATACCATCAAACAGTGGTTTGTTAACGTCTATCGGATCATACGTCTACCACGCTTCCATTGAAGGATATCATTGAAACCCATCCATATACCCAAATTCCTTTAATTCAGGGACGGGTCTAGGAGAACGCACCGGGTGCATGTTAGACGATCTATCAATTTATGAAACGAAGAATTGACGAAAGTGCCTGTTGTAAATTTACCCTCATATCTCCGAGCAGTATACTTGCCCAATAAAATGGAATTTCCGTACGCTTGCTTTCTCCGGATCCCCGTGACCAAAGCATACCAAACATTCAAATGCGGGGTATTCGACCCATATCATCATTGCAGTCAATCGTCATCTTTCGAGCGGAGGAAGCTCTGGGGGTGAGGGAGCATTGCTTGCGCTTCGGGGCTCACCGGCCGGGTTTGGCACTGATATCGGAGGGAGGATACAGATTCCGGCGGCGTTCAATGGGGTTTTTGGTCTTCGTCCATCTGCCGGAAGAATGCCCTATGAAGGAGTGGCGAATTCTATTGATGGTCAAAATACTGTCTTGTCGGCGGTTGGCCCGATGGCGACGAGTATTGGAGCGTTGAAGTTACTTTTCAAGGCTGTTCTCTCCCAGCAGCCGTGGCTTCATGACCCACTTGCGTTGCCGCTACCGTGGAGAGATGACTTCGAGATGGAGACACAGGATATAATCAAAGCGTCGTCCGGCCGTGGCCCTTCTCCGCTCTCCTTTGGCATCATGAGCCATGATGGCGTTGTCCAGCCTCATCCACCGGTGAAGGAGGCTATGCTGTTTATCACGCATATATTGAAGGAACTGGGTCATCAGGTAATTCTCGTGGCAATCCCTGCTACTGACTGATTCTCACTGCATCCTAGATCATCCAGTGGGATCCTGCGCTGTGTCAAGAAGGTCACGAACTCGCGGTACATTTGAAGCCTCTGCTATAATCTTGGCGATCTGAACTTACATTCAACAGGGAAAAGCGTACAACATGGACAGCGGCGAAGATTTACTCAGCCATATCGCCTTGTCAGGCGAGGCACATATTCCCCCGTGTCTTATTGACACACGCAAACACCTGAATGCCAGGGAGGTTGCAGCATTGAACGTGCAGAGACGGCAGTACCTGAAAAAGTACATGGACTTGTGGAACAGCACCAGCAAGCTGACAGGGACCGGGAGACCAGTTGATGCTATCGTCTGTCCGACTGCACCTCATGCAGCTGTTATCTCGGGGAAGTTTCGCCACACGGGTTACACCACCTTGATCAATACCTTGGATTATACAAGCGTAGTGATTCCGGTTACCCGTGTCGACAAGGAGATTCACAGGGTGGAGGCGTCGCCAAAGTTCCTTAGTAAGGTAGACCAGAAGGTTTACTCGGAGTGTAAGTGGCCTCTTTCAAGTTAGCTGAGTCGATGTTGACGTTGCTAGATGATCCTGAGATCTACGATGGCGCCCCGGTGGGGATACAATTGATTGGCAGGCGGTTGGAGGAGGAGAAGATTCTCACACTGGCGGAATATTATCTCTAAGAATATTGCAATGTTCGGAGGAGAAGGCCAGTACTAGAGGGTCATTATGTGCGTCCGCACCAGCCTGTTACGTATTTATAATGAAGGCTTATTGATGATATTATGGGGCATGAGAGGAAACGAGAAAAAGGTGAAGTAAACATTTGACTATATCCTCATACTGATAGGTAAACACTATCAATGGTTCCGTTCCTCCTGAGCGATAGCAAGCAGCGAAATCCCAGCGCCAGGAACAATGTCGAGGAAGAATGATCCCGTCAAGAGGACACCGATATTGTTACAAACAGGACACAGCAGGCAATATTGGACTTAATGCAGTCCAAGAAGTATCCTGCCTGTGCAGGATTCACGCCATTCGCACCTTTTAGGTCCCAATCAACCCTTAGACTATACATATAATCGGTGGTCCAGAGAATGAAGTAAAGTGAATGACGCATTTCTCATATCTCGTTCCTTACGTTTATCGGTTCTTTCGAACGCTCAGCATCCAGGACTTGATGAACTGGACTGGTTCGCTAAACATGCAGAACCTTTATATAGACATAAACGCGTCTGAGACTACCGACTCTGTGTGAAATTCCTACATACAAGGGGCAGGATACGCATGATCTGCAGGCATCTCCCGGGACATCGGAATATACCACAGGATTGAGGGTAAGTATCGGTGTCCGATAATGAAGGTACTCCATCCTCCATTTATATCAATACATATTTGGCTTGAAGTCAACCCAAATACCTGGGCAGTCAACCGACTCAACAACGGGACTAAGAACTGTAACTGGGCGATGGCCGATCCTCACATGATGAATTCCTAAGGCTACGAATTATGGGCGTGTTATCATGATCAACGTGAGTGTTATAAAGAACAATGATTCCCGGGCTTGAATAGAAATACTGATTCACTTGCCTTGGGCCCTACAGTCGGTTAGGAAAGTCCGTTATGTCTGAGGTAAGTCACCCACCAGCGCAACTCTTCCAATTGCTGACTTTCAAGATTCAATCTCGATGAGCACGTTGTCACCAAGAATTCCCTGCCGATAAAATCGGTGCTGCGTATATATACCTCGAATACCGAGACCAAACCCAGGAAGACCATCAGAGAGTGACACTAAGTGTTCTCAAACAGCCATATCGCCAAGTCGCTGCAAAACCGGGGTCTTTGCTCAGCTATATACGCGACTTACGATACCCCTGTCTGTTGCTACAAATGGACTCTGTTCGCCCGTTGCCGGTCATGTCGACCAGGTTACCCTAACCATGGATGCCTTGGTATATGCCCACAAACAGACAAACACATCCCTGGGTTTCAAGAGCATGTCCTCACGAATGTTGCGATGAGTTTATCACATGCTGTTGAGAACAAGACATCGATGAAATTTTATGGACATCAAGCCCACAAAATGGAGATACAAGCGCATGAGATAAGTAGGCGTCGATATTTGTATACGAGCGGACGTCTAATCGCTTACGGCAGGCTATAATGGAGAAAGCTATAAGTATTGACGGCCTACAAGAGGGGATAATAAGCTCTTTGACTAAACGGCCCAAGGAAATGTCAGGCGTCCTCTCTATCTTATGTCTTGCCTTATCACACCTAGCCCACACTAATACAGCGGAACAACGTCAACGGATCTTCGAACAAAGCTTCAACATAACGATCCATGCTCCACGCAAGTCGCTGGATGACGAAGATGTGAGGACTGCGAGCCAGCAATTACCCTTACGTGTCAACGTCAATGGTTCTTCGACACGATATGAGACAGCTCATCCAGCGACAATACGAGAAGGATACCTGGCCATCGTCCAGCTGCTGCTCGAAAGGGAGCGGATGTGAATACACAGGGTGGAAGATACCGTAACGCTCTTCCGGCGGAGCAGTAGGGTAGTTCGCTGTGTAAACACAGTTGACATCCTGGAGGTGCTGCTTAAAGGTGGGGCAGATGCAACCCTCCAAGAAGGACATTTTGGAGTCCCTTTCTATGCGGCTTTGTACCGGTGTGACATGCATGCTATATGGATGCCTGTTCTAAGCATGGGGCACATATCAATGCTCGGGACCGAATGGAAGAAAACGCTCAGGGTTGCCATGATGTCTGGCACCGGGGACATATGGTGGTGCTTGCCCGAAACGTAACGGGTGATAATTTACAAATGGAGGACATGGCATGCCTGAGGGTTTATTGTATTCCTGACTGCAGACAGACTTGGAAATTGAGTCTTGAAGGTTGAGGTGAACTTTGAAATGTCAGAAATTGTCAAGCAGGGTGATTTACCGGCTGCTTAAAGTGGGGATAATATCGAGCTGCACGCCTGCACGAGCTGTAGAATTCAACGCACAAGCCATGAACATGACAATTTACCTGATGCTACAGGACTATCTAGGAGAGATGCGACTTCAATCTTGTGGAATAGAATTTGTGTTTTACTCAAGGCAAAGCTGATGAATGTCCTCTTTCCAGTAGAGTTTTGCATCGAAATTCACCTAGGTGTGATTTCTGACACATCTCGCCTTGCTAGCTCGAGTGATGGTGGGTTACAGGAACAGTAGCTGCACTGGGGAGGATCAGCCTGGGAAAGCCGTGGCTAGTTTGCAGGGCGGGGTACATAACACGGCATATGCAAGTAGGGAATCTATAGTAATTGATATTATGCGTGCTTAGTTTAGAGTATGCTCTCAGGCATTTAGCTCCTTTAGTAGTGTCACGTTGTTTGCGAATCATAAGACAGGGTACCCAGATTTGCAGTATCGGGCTTAATTTTGCCTTGCCAGAAAGAACAGAATATCCATATTTACCACCATAATGAGATAATGATATATTACAACCAATAGCGGATAATCATCTTGCTTTTCCCTCTTCCTTGATAGACTGGACTACAATACACCTGCAATATGCCCTCCCGTGTCTATGTCTGAGGTCCGCCTTCTAGTCCATTTGCACTTGTTCGATGTTGTTGTCTAACTTTCCAACACTCCATATTACGTTGCACTAAATTTAGATACCGAGGAACTTATTTCTCCCCTCTTAGTCCGAGGCTGACCGCATGGCTGCTTCAAATACGGGCCCGCTTCTGACATGACATGGTAGCATTAGCTTAGCCCGAGACAAGCTTCACCAAGCTCATCCTATCAACACACAAATCCTACGCAAATGTCTCAACGTGCAGGATTATTGTCCCGCCTAACTGCCGATCATACACTTTGCTGTCATTGTGCCGCTCATCTTTCCCCATATTGGAAAAGGATCAGCAGATGATTGCATCTGACCGGACATATCCGCCTTGCGAGAACGAATCTACCATCATATTTTTAGTTTGCTTCAATTATATCCACGCAGTATATGCCTCATGCATCCCCCGCCTTTAAGCTTTCGCTTGATTGGTTGTGAATACGAGAGGGACGCCTGATGTCTCAAGCCGCGATGGAACCCTACCAAAAGGCTCCGCGATATATGTAGTAGGGTTGATATCACTAGATGTTCCGTGCTTACAGGTGATCGACCTGAAATAAGCAATATCAGCTCAGCCTGCCATCTGACCTAGTATTATAAGAGTACCTCGGAATTTGGGAATCAGCGACCGCATGTATATAACCTCTTCCAGTATCCATCCAGCACTCTCATCCTCTTCCACATCAACTCAATCCCTTTCATTCAGTTGAACCCATCGCAACCATGAAATCCATCCTCCCCCTAACCCTCTACGCCACCACGGCCCTCGCCCAAGGCATCTACATCAATTCCCCCGCCGCCGGATCCCAACTCCAAGCTGGCTCGTCCGTAACCGTCCAAGTAGCTCGCTACGTATGCCCCCCCTCCCCCACTCCCATCTATCCCCTGCCCCATCCCCTCCCACCCCACCTAACAACTCCTCTCAATAAAATAGGACTTCATCCAATCCGTCGCCGAAATCGGCCTCGGCATCGGGATCGAATCCTGCACAAACGGATGTCCCGATCCCACCGGTTCCCTGGGAACGCTGGTCTACAACGGCGGATATGATCCCCAGCTGGGGCCGGGGATTCATGATGAGTATCAGAATTTTACCATCACGGTGCCGGATACGACGGGCAATGTGCAAATTGGGATTGTGAGGGCGTTTTTGGTGGGGGTGAGTTTATACCTTTTTTCCTTTTGTAAGGGGGAGGGGAGGGACTTAGCTGACGGGTTTAGCTTGGGTATACGGTTACGATTGGGAGTGCGGTTACGAATGTTACGATTGTTTAGGGATGGTTTTGTGTTGGTGGGGGGAATGGGTTGGGAAGATAGAGTGCAGAAGCATCTTGGGGGGTGGAATGTATGGAGTAAAGAGGACAGGGGACACTTATATGAAGCAATCATAATCGCAAAACTATAATCAGTCTTTTTCGATCTTAGTTATCAAGCTACGCGACTGAACACAGTGTCCAATTGGACATCCTAGACCCCAACCAGCCTACTTCTCATCCCTCAAATTAAACACAACCCTAAAATCCCCCAAATGCGCAATCTGACAATCCTTCGTCTCCTCTAGAAACCGCCTCCCATCCTCCCCCTCCGCCAACCGCACATCAAACCTCCGAAACAGCATCGCCAACACAACCCGCAACTCAATATACGCCAACCCCCGTCCCGCACACATATACGGACCACCCCCAAACGGCATAAACGCCGCTTTATTCATCGTCCAGTCGGGTTTCTCGTCCGTCCAGCGCTCGGGGACGAACTCGTCCGGATGGCGATAGTATCGGGGATCGTGTTGCACGGGGAAGACCGGGACACTGATGACGGTGTTTCCGGGGATGAAGGTGCGGCCGGTGGCAAGGGGGAGGTGGATGCCTTCGGGTGGAGTGAGACGGGGGATTACGCCTAGGACGGAGGGGAGGATGCGGAGGGCTTCGGTGATGCAGGCGTTTAGGTATGGGAGGGTGGAGATGGAGCGGTAGTAGTCGGATTCGGGGGGTTCTGTAGTTTGGAGTTGTGTTGTGTGTGCGGCGTCGAGTTCGGCTTGGAGTTTGCGCTGGAGAGCTGGATTGCGCGCGAGGTGGAAAATCACGGTTGATATGGTGGTGGAGGTTGTGTCGCTGAAGGGTTAGCTGGGCTGGTATATGGAGAATGGGGTGGTACGTACCCTCCGGCGATGACGAGGAGTTCTCCCTCGCTGTATAATGCAGGCTTGGAGAGTTTCAGCATCGATGGGAGCATCCTGCTCATGGCATCGGACTCGTCTGATTTCTGAAGCTTCTCTTGGATGCGATCCTGGATCCAGGTGCCGTAAGGACGCAGCGGGCCATCACTGCCTGGAAGACTGACCAGGAGACTGATCAGCCACGGTACTTGGGAGAGGATCCGTTGACCGGCAGTGAGAGCCTTGACGAAATGCAGATTGGAGTTGAGCTTCCAGTTTTCAGTATTCCTGAAGGAATGGCCCCATCCAACGACCCCCATGAGGTCATAGCTGAGCAGCTCCATGGTACCAGGACCGGAGAGGATTTGGTTACTGCGACAGCTCAAGGCATCCAGAAACTTTTGCGTGGTCTGCACGACCATGGGCTGATAGGCCTTTAGGGCTAAACTCGGTTAACTCAATACCTTCAGTATCATGAGAGGGCGCCAACCTCGGATATTAAACGCCTTATCCCAGAGAGCCTTTCTCCGCTGTGCATGAGCAGCGGGATCACGCATGTGGAAGACCGCATAGTCTTGCGTAAAGTCGCCCTTGGTCTTGAGACGATCATACCATGGGGCACGGGTGCATCGACTGGATGGACCGTAGATAGTGTCGATGGCTTCGGCAGACAAAACACTGAGTTCCTGCGGGCCGGTCCGGACGATATCCCCGTAGTGCTGGTGGAGATTCCACAGACGCTCAAAGTTGCGTCCTTTTTCGATGTTTTGATATGCGCTGACAAACTTGGAGACCTTGAGAGAGAACGGGCCTGGAAATTGATGCAGGCGGTGGAAGAAAGCTCGATAGATAAGGACGGAGGTGAAGAGGGGAATGTAGAAGCAGAGGTTCAGGACTGATACTGCGGCAATACTGAAGAGCCAGGCATTGCTGCACCATGACCCTTGGTTGTTGGTCGTACTGACAAGGGTGGCCGTATTGACCAGAAGATTCAGGCACAACCAAAGCCGGGCTGCTTTGCTGCCACGTTCCCCGCGGATCCAGTAGAACAGGTGGGCACTGACACCTGCGACTGCAAGAAGAGGGCCGTTGTGCCTGACCAGCTCGAACAAATCACCCGAAACAGCCATTTTGTCTGCTCCCACTATGTGTTTCTTCCGTTGAGGTTCAGCTGGGATTAAATATGCCAACTTTTGCCGCACTGACTCTTGTAAGCGAGTTCACCATTGTAAGCACTAGCTATCAGCAAATCAAATCCACCGAATTGAATTCTTCTGGCCGGTTGAGGCTCAGGGCCAGCTGTCGGCTGAGCCTCGCAATACCCACTTGACTCTTTTCGGAATCGATTTGCGCTGACCTGATTGGCTGCTCCGGTTATCCTTGGTGGAGGTGGAAATTGCACCAGTCAGAGGGACGCGTAAGATCCACTGGAGTCCGTGCATCAGCCGTCATCAATGGATGTCTCGAACCGACCCGTGACAAGCTGAGGATGCTGTATTCTATATGTGTCCTGACACAGCCCCTGGACCCGTTTTTCTTCTCGGTAATGTATTTACCAGGTCCTGGACTGTCAGCATGTCTAAGCGTCCAAACAAGGAACTGTTTTACTACTCATTCTGGGAAAATCAAAACAAGATGTAGACAAAGAGTTTCTAGAAGTACGTCCCCTCAATGATGCCACGCCAGCAACACTAGCAACTTACTTAGATGAGGTCAAATTTCTAGTAATCAAAAAAGCCAAGCAGAAGGCTTAATTTGTGCAATTTGGTGTATCAATCAAGACCGCTATTGCTTAGCATGCTTTTCAAGCCGAGGCGCCTGAAACCAAATTGTACATAAGGGAATACCCGGCCTAAGTGATCTAGACCCTATGTGCTAAAGGTTAGATCAATAGGTATCAGACCCTAGTCCTTCTATGACTCGACTACAGTGACTGTTTTGCTGGAAGCTGAGGCATCCGAGCGTATGGGCGTTTTGCTCAAGTAAGTCAGAATTTGATCTATTGCCAGATAGGCTAGTTAGAGAATTGATGACTTGTTGTTGATGAATCTCGACGAGGCTACATCTGCCTTGTCTTTATAAGCTCATCATATTGATTCACTTTGTCTGGGCATGACAATCCAAAGGTTCTCAAACTATCATTTGCAGGGGCTGCTGATTTCATACCGTGTATTGAAAAGGAGTCAGAATAACCAAATTTCAGTCCGCGGGTTGCACTTTAGCTGTCATCTTTCCTTTCAGAGAAGATTTGGAAGGTGCAATTGGGATATGTATCCAGTGTGGGTGAATCTTGGTCTGAATTTCCAGGTTAATCAGATAAATGAGACATAACATTTCCTGGGCAGTATAAGCTCTCTTAAGCAGCCCCACGGAGGCAGGATCCGCGAAGAGAACCTCACTGCACGGATATTAGGGCAATGCAGCCCTTTGGAAGGCACCTAGATGAGATAAATACCTACATCTGGCAGATATACATTTTCATGCTCCACCCGAGGTGCATTGCCGAAGTGAACGCTTCCAGGCCAGAGGAATCCATCCTGTGCTTGGTGGTACAAACACCTGATCTAAAGTTGTGCGATTCTATTTATCTTTCTCTACTTTTCCGAAAGTACTGTTCGTGTAGATAACATCGCGGTGACCTTCTGGGGCCGTTGGTGCTCTAAGTCAGCTGACCTCAACGAGGCAAGCCACCACAAAGATGGCTCGCAACCATTCTGGTGAGAGCAATTATAATAGACACATGTAGTATAAAATGATACGTAGGGACCTATCACTGACGTGACCAGCATCTCAGATCAGCTCATCGCCAGGCGGGGAAGATAAGGTGTGATGGTGAAATATTGCATTATCCGCACCCCGGATGACGCCGCGGCCACTATCTGTGCCCTATGAGGTTGCAGCATCAACAACCATCTATAATTGCACCATCTACGGTTGTAGATGCTATAGAGTCAACCCAAATACCCATGTACCTTTTAAATATAAAAGCCCTCATTCCCCTCCATCTGTCTACACCAATTCATCAACCGCCACTCAATCAACCCATCCAACCCATCCAATCCATCCAATCCATCCAACCTTAACTCAACATGGCCCCCTCCATCACCCACACCCAAGTCGTGGTCCCTCCCAGCAAACCCACCCCCCGCGAACCCCTCAAACCCACCGGTGCTCTCTCCTCCTACCCCTCCTTCGATGTGACCCCCGTCATCGGACGGGAATTTACCAACGCCAATCTGAAAGAGTGGCTCGAGGCCCCCAACTCGGATGACCTCCTCCGCGACCTTGCCATCACCAGTACCCTTCCCTCCCCTCCCTTCCCCCTCATCCCCACTAATACCAATATACAGTCTCCCAACGCGGCGTCGTCTTCTTCCGCCAACAAAACGACCTGACCAACGACCTGCAAAAACAACTCATCAACCGTCTCGGCCAATTGACCGGAAAACCCTCCACCTCGGGACTGCATATCCACCCGGTGATCAACTCCGGACGGGAGCACGGAAATGCAGATGATGAAATCAGCGTGATCAGTTCCCGCGAGCGAGAGAAGTTGTACAAGGGGTATGATAAGAAACAGAGCCAAAGGAGGGAATGGCATAGTGATATTACGTTTGAACCCGTGCCCAGTGATTATACGGTTTTGAGGTTGACGGAGTTGCCGGTTACGGGGGGTGGTATGTATCTTTCTTCCTTTGTTTTGGTTTTTTTTTTTTTGTGCTTTTTTGTCTTGGCCGTTGTGGATGGTGGATTAGTGGGTGTGGATTCAATACTGACACTTGGTATTGGTAGACACACTCTGGGCCTCCGGCTACGAACTCTACGATCGAATCTCAGAACCCTACCAAAAATTCCTAGAAGGATTAACCGCGACCTACGCGCAACCCGGATTCAACGAAATTGCCAAAAACAACGGCTTCGAGGTATTCACCGGACCGCGAGGCGCCCCCGAGAACGTGGGCGAGAAGCTAGAGGCGATTCATCCGGTGATTCGGACGAATCCAGTCACCGGATGGAAGAGTGTGTTTGCGGTGGGCCATCATGTGCAGAAGATTAATGGGCTCGCGGAGGAGGAGAGCAGACATTTGTTGGATTGGTTTGTGAAGTTGATTGTTGAGAATCATGATTTGCAGGTGCGGTTTCGGTGGCAGAATCCGAATGATCTGGGTAAGTGGTTTCGATTCCAGGGAGTTGGGATGGGATAGGCTAATCGTGTATAGCGATCTGGGATAATCGCAGTGTGTATCATGCTGCCACGGTGGATTATGCGGGTTTGGGGTCTCGGACGGGGCAGAGAGCGGTGGGATTGGGGGAGAGGCCGTATTTGGATCCTAACAGTACCGGGCGGAGAGAGGCGTTGGCTAGAGAGTAGATATTGTCTGAGTCTGTCGTGAAAGCTTGCTAGTTGTGCCATGAGTGGTTGCTACATCGGATAAATCTGGCCTGCGCTATTCTTCTTAGATTCAAGATATTGTTGTTGCAATTGAGTTCATTGACCAATAACAAGTGCGGGCTTGTATGTTCCTGCGGGCAACTGCATACGAACAAAAGAGGTATATGCTTGAGACTGGTGGGCCAGATACACGGTCAAAAGTTACTCCGTACTGCACGAAAAATTGGCCATTTTCCGTACATCGAAACACCCAGAATGTTCACGATCACAATTGAAGCCTATTGGACAGCAGCACCGGTAAAGAGATCCGTCGGGACGATCCGCATGCTTCCGCCTCAGGTATCTAGGGCAGCACCAACGTTTGCCCTGCACTAGCGAAGCCGCTATAAATTCAATCCCCCGGACGATCCCTGATCCAAACCAAAAGGCATCTCATCTGGTTGCTACACCTGAAAATGGCGGGCAGCGATAACCGTGAGGACTTGTCTGGTGCTCTCCCCTCGGACGGCCAGTCCGCAGCGACCAACGATAGACCCGAAAGGGAGAATCGTCCTTTCGAAATGCTCGTAAAGGGGGTTCTGCGGCAGTTTGCCAACGAGGAGGAATACCAAACCTACGTTGCGCGGGCGGAGAAAAAAGCCGCCCGCAAAATCGTAAAAAAGGCCCGCAAGGTGGCGTATCGGAAAGCAGAGGAAGAGAAGGCCGAGCTGTCTCGCGCCGTTGGAGAGAAACCTCCCTCTCCCTCGCCTTGCGAACGATGCGCCTCTACGGACCATACGGGGGTGGACTGTCCAAAACGAGCATGGAAGTCTTGGACAGTCCAGTCCCGAAAGTCACCACTTAACTGTGGTGGCTCGTGGCGGAAGCCTTCCCACGAGCTGAACCCTGAACCCATTGCCGAAGCCTCTGCCCGCTCTGGAGCTGGTGGTAAACGCCAGCGTTCCGGCAGCCCGACTCCGACTGAATCGTTGCAAAAAGCCCCTGGTGACCCTTCCCAGGTGCCGGATGTCAACGTCAAGTCGGTCAAGGACCCAGCGAAGGGGGGTCAAGGTATGGGCAAGGGCCGCTCTGAGAAGGCCAACGTCAATTTCACTCGACGAGTGGAAAAAGGCTTTGATCCGGAAGAAGAGTCAATCTTCGGAGATGGTACCTGGATATGGGCGAAGATGCCGCTGGAACTGCGCCCCGCTGCCAATGTACCTCTCAGCTGGGTTTGTCTCGGCCTCGTTGGTACTGGATTGGTGTCTCACGCCGAACTGAAGGTTGCGTGTCCTCATGGGCACAAGGCTTGGGCGGTGAAATGTGATTCAGTGCAAACGGCAATGAGATTCAAAGATGGGGTTGACGTCAAGCTGGATAAGCATGATGCCAGGTTCTCTGTCTTGAAGACGGGGGGTGCCCGTGGTTTTGTGACGAAGCACTACGGCTTCCTGGGTCCTGACGCGTTGATGGAGGCCCTTCTCAATGTGCAAGAGATCCAGAAGGCGAGGATTCCATTCTGGGTTGGCATCCAGAAATCCCGGGGAGCCGTGGGTCTTCGCGCGTTGGTGGTGTTTGAGCGAGCCCCAGGCTTTGCCTCTTTTTCTGTCCCGATTGGGAAGCCTAGTGTCAGCTTCAGAAAGTCGTTTCGTGCAAAGTTCTGGCCAATGGATGTCTATAAAAGCGCGTGTGATATCTGTACGCTCGAGCATCCGGATCGCACGGTCGTCCAGTGCCCTGAGCTGCAGACTCTCACGCCGACCGCTGACATGAACACACGGCGTTGTGTTGTCCTGTCGTCCGCCCCAAATGCGTGATGTATATAGTCAAATGCTCCATTGGTTCTGTCAGTTTCAAACATATTTTGTCTAGAACGTAGGCTGTAGCGTAATACGATTCGAACTGTAATCATCTCTGTGCGGGGTTTGCCGAATCCCGCGGCATCCATGGAGGGTTACAGACATGGACGACGGAGCAGTTATGGGAACGAACCAGAAGTTTGGGCTAATTTCATCTGGTATAGACCCTTCGGCTTTAAGAATCGTGACATTAGACCTCGACGCTAGCGCTACTGGGTCACTATGGCCGACCGAAATGCGACAGAGGAGGCAGAGCGCGAAACCCGGAATTCAATCACACTTGGCCTAACCGACCAAAAGACCATGGAACAGTTATCGTCTTCAGGAAAGGCAGCCCAAGACCGTCGGAGAGAAGCAGCATCCAAACGTGCCTCCAAGGCTTTGGCTAGGGGCCAACACAACACTCAAGAAAATTCTAGGGACTCAGCCGGGACGAGATGAGCTCGTGTCTTCAACTTGGGTATTGCTGGCGGCGTCGAATGCATCTCGCAGTTGACTTTCATACACTTCTTTGTCCTGTATTTTCTTGGCAAGGAATTCCGTGGCGTCGGCGCTCCAATACGGCGCTATCGTTCGTTCGAACTCGGCCAGTCCAGTATCATCCAGTTTTGCAAAGATCGGCTGAATGTGGTCCAAAAATATATTATATAAGCCCTTGGGGTTGTCGAGAGCATGAAAATACCAAAAGTTACCTCTCTCCCAGCCCTTCTTCAAGATGTGCGTAAGGTTGAAGGGCTTCCCCCCCTTGGCGGGCAGCGATCTCTCTTCTTCTTCGAACACATTCATGAACTCGCTGTACATGTCACTGAAAGCGTCAAGATGCTCCCCTCCTAACTGGTCCACTCCCCGACCGGTGAGCCAATATGGTGGATGTAGCATCTCTGCTGGGCGCGAACATGTCCACTCAAGGTCGACAAGACACTTGATGTTCCAGTCGCTGTCGACAAAGATGTTGCTCTGATGTAAATCCGTAAGGGTCAAGACGAATGGACCCCGACAGAGATCACGGTTCGTGAAGTGGGGAAGAAGAGCACGCATAGTAGTCAAGATTGACAGCTGTGCTTGGCCATCGTACTCATCCCGTACGGAGTTTGGTGAGAAGCGCAAACGACTGTCATGGTACGCCAGCAGGTCCAGCAGGTACGAATCCGTGGTGGAATAGGTTAGGTCTCTGCCAATATTGGTCGGGATGGATTCATTTTCCAGATGTTGGAGCCGCAGGGTTAGAGGGCGATTTGTCAATTTGATCACACCATTGTTGTCAAGTGTTAGAGACACTATTTGTGGAAAGGGCACCTGGGCGATTGATAAGATGATGCGAGACAGTCCTCTGAAAAGATTGTTTCTTCGAGTCTTGTCATGCCGCAGTGCCTCCCATGAGTCAGAAAGCATCACCCCTTCCGTGCTTTCGACGTAATCCATTATCAAATACCCAGTATTTAAGCTTCGAGCCACACGGCGGGCCACGTATCGACATGGGGGCAAGTATCCAAAAATGGATGACAGGAGTCGGCGGGCATGCCATATCAGTCGGGGGAAAAGTGGGATATGCTCGAACGCGGTAAACTGTCACGCGACGAATAGTTAGTCCAGAATATCGTGCAGCCTTGAAGAATACCCACATGATGGCCATCGGCAAATCCGAAACCCCATAGGTGAGGGATTGGAATGGACGGACAGTTCTCCTGGATCCATAAGAACGTAGCAGCCTCGCAGCGAAGCTTCTCCTCTGCGTTCCCGGGGTGTGTGAACTCTCCAACTTTGTAGGGCAACGGAAACCTGATCAGTACACGTTTGGGTGCATTTCCAGTCCAGCCTTCGATGTATACCGGTATGCAGACGTTGAAGCTCCCCGAGATCCACTCTTTGACTTCTCCAATCCGACATGTCTGTTTTCGCTTCAGTCCCAGGTGGTGCGACACGATAGCTTCGATGGCGCTTCGGTTGGTGAGCAGATAAGTAAAGAACTGGATTCGCTGTTCGGGGTATTGAAGCTCTTGCAGCACATTGTCGTCGTCGTCCAGCGCCGAGGCCAATGTAATCTGCCGGTGGAGAAGGGGGAGCGTTGTTGACATTCTGCGCCGACCGGGACTACCTGGGCGCCTCGCGTTGCAGCTTATGCTTTGAGATATTAGCGTCGCTGAGACATATAAGAAGTGGAAATCTCACGGTTCTTGCTGTCATTGCATTGTAGCCACAACTGCGTAAACAACAAGAGAACTGGTAAATGGTTTGATCACGAAGAGAAGACAATCCCTCCGCTTTCCCCGGATCACACCCGGCGCTAAACTACATAGAGAGAGTCACATGAAAGTGGTATTGCTGACTAAGTGTCACTTGTGCCAATACACGGGCAGTCATAATTCTGTCTAAAGTCCAAGTATAGCAGATGTAAGGTCTGAGTAGAAAGAAAGAGGCCAGAAATGCTAATTTCATTCTACTATTATGCTCTGGAATTCATTATGATCAATAGACTGAGGATATTGATGATCAGGTTCTAATCAGTATAATAATCCGCTAACTAATCCACTCGAAGCCCTATAGGTACATTCACTCCATTTTGTTAGAGACAGATCCCCACCCCAATCTCTCTATCTGAAACAAGTAGCTTTGGCCCTATTGTAGCAAAATTCGCACGCCATTCCTAGCATAGACATGGATCTGTCGAGTCTTGATGCAAGTGTAGTGCTTACCAACGGGAAGTTGATAACCCGTCCAGTGTAGGCAAAGCCTATCTTTCAAATCTCTATTGAGCTCTTCATCATCGAGACTCTCGGGTCTTTCCTCCCTATCGATATTCCCTGTTCCAGTCACGGAACCAGAAGCCCGGAAACATATGATGATCTAGCCCCCAATGGCTGACTGGGTCTATCCTTCCAACCAAACCCTTGATATATGTATATGGTGGAGGGCATCAATCCGCCCAAGTATGCTCGTCGGCCAGTAGGTTTCCTAGCAGCCGCATACATGATGAACGAAGCAGATCAAGCGGTATGAAGATAGCTGCTACAGGGGCTATTTCGCGTGCCGTATAGTAAGACAAGGGACTCTTCATAATCCAACGAAAAGAGTGAAAGGTAGGGTTGCTGGAAGCATCCACGCTGGGAAGGTGGGAGCAGAAGTATCATGAGATTGGTCCGCGCAGGCGCCATTAGGGGATGTCGAAGTTGTAAAATCAGTTCATATTGTTGTCTTAAGGCATTCAGAAGCTCGGTTTCTATTAGAGACCTCCTTGGGAGGGCAAAGCTATTGACCAGCGAGGTATTGGTTGAGTATAGCTTGTGCTAATTTGTCCATCAGATCATGCCAAGGCAGTGATGCTCGACCTGTCTTAAGGCCCCCATGACATTATAAGCTGGCATGGTCTGATACTGGGACATGAAGGTCTGCTTTGAGGCATCATGCTCAACAAATTTAAGGTCTCCGTACGCCATGCCCACATTCTGACATGTCCGATATGTGGTTTGAGATTGATGACTCGGGCGGCTTCTGGAGAACCTGGGATGTAAGACTATGTCTGTCAGGTTGTGATCACCCTGCGCTGATAGAGCCTGCCAGCGCCAGAGCATGGCGTCCATCGTCCCGGGGTTTCTTGGCCGCGAACTTTGCAGCAGGACACAATCATTAGGGGAGATGTAGAAATCCTGCATCGGGCTGATTGAGCATGTCATGAGCAAATGCCGTATGATACCTCATAAAGCACGCCTCTTGGAGATTCCAGCCACACCACCTTGTAGCTGCCAATAGTGGTATGTACAGGCCCCCGTCAGGCAGATCTGCCGCGTGAAGAAGACATCGTTCGCACTGGAAGGGTGCCTCAAAACATCCGGAATAAGGTCACGGTGTTGCAATCTTTGAGTCTTGACGGAAAGAGCACTATGCCTTGTTTTCATGACCTTTTCTGTGCCCTCGGTCTCAGTGCCTAGCCCTGCGGCTGATCCATCGCTTCTGCTCAGGCGGGCAACTATACTTCCTCCAGAATCAGTTTCCCATATTTCCCGGCTCTTCCGTGCTCTTCCATATCAGTTCTTGTACCAGGAACAAGCCGCCACATGGGTTGATTGAATTCAGGTCTCGAGCATCATGAGATACTTAGCCTATGCTGACTCGGACTATTGGATGCTCCGGCAGACCACGAGATCGTCCGTCTCCTCGCGAACGGGATCTGTGGTTGCTTCCATATTAACCCCCTTCCAAGCCACTGTGCATCGAAATCAAGGTTGCCTGTTCCATAAGGGAGAACAGCCAGCCTTCTTTTCAGACATCTTGGATTCGAAACAACCGGAGGAACACTACTTCCCGTCACCGTTGGGATATCACCAGTGCCTTTTCCCTTCCATACCACAGTACGAATTATCCCTTGATTCCAGGTCCCGCTGGACGAGATGGGTGCGTAGTGTGTCACAGAACCAGGCAGCATGGACGCTGATATGGATTCGCCTTCTTGTGCTCCTCGCACGGACTTCAGAGCCTGCCTCCCCACCCGCGATTTAAACGTAGCATGAAGATGTACCTTGTCGCAAGGTATCCCCCTCTAAAGGTGTCCAACCGACGGGGTCGAACATCTCCAGAGATAAATTTGCTGTATATATACACCCTTTTTATTCCAGCAATCTCGGTCTTCGACCTTCGTAATCCATCTGTGGCCTGGGATCAAGCTGAACTTGGGACCGAGAAAATGCATCGCCAGACCATTGCTGCCCGTATGAACAGTACAATCGGAGTACTCGAAGCTGAGTATAGCAGAACCAGAAAATGTAGTTGTCAGTGTCCTGAAGGGACATCCGGGCTCATAACCGTAGCGTGTGTCAGTGGCGTTTGTCCTTATCGCTAGGCGAACATCCGACATTAATTGCGAGTATGATCAGAAAACGAACAAATTAAAGTCGAGGACAGAACCACAATATGGCACAATTGATAACCACAGGACCATCCAGACTCATAACCTATTGCACGAGCAAGAAAGCGACGATCCGTAGACACAGCAGAGTCCGGCCTTCGTTTTCTGATGTCCAGCGCAAGCGTGGACTCCGCATCTTGCCATGGGAGGTTAAGACTTAAGAATGTCCTGAGTAGCCTTAAATGGCAGCTATATATAATCTCAAGTGCGACGGTTTGGTGTGCGATCTTCTTCGATGGGGCCACCGGACTGTATGTCGGCAACATCTACCCTGACCACCTTGAGTTTTTCTGGGTTCCATACTTTTATGAGCGCGTCTGATTCGCACCCCATGAAGGCACCCATCCAAGCTCTTGGGTCTAGTTTGTTGACACGTTTGCCTGAGTGATAGTTCTTTCTGGCTTCGGCAGGTATGGTGACGAATGCCCTGGCACCCCACGGTCTGAGGTTTGATACGTCTGGCTTCCGACCGAACAGGGCCTCAAACGGTGTCTTTTTGGACTTCAGTGCTCGGGTTGGGGTTCTGTTTTTCAGATACACGGCATGAAGATAGGCTTCTGGCCAGATATTTGGCGGTAGCCTTAAATAGCAGCTATATATAATCTCAAGTGCGACGGAGTAAAAGGAAAGTGAGGGAGAGAAGCAGCCCAAGTGATGCGGAGATCTGGTGTAGCGAGCTCAATGTAGCTCGATGGGTTCCGCGCAGGACCCTTATAGCGTGGAGGAGTGCGCGTTGGTTGGGTTCTGGCCGAGGAGCAGCATTTGCGCGGAGGTAGGGGGATTGTTTAGATGGAGGAGACGTGGGGGAGATTGTCGACGAGGTTCAGTTGCTTTGGATGTTGGGGAATGTAATCTTTATCTATATGAGCTGATGAGGATGAAGAGGGAACAGGAAGGGATGGAGACCCTTATATAGGCTTCTGGGAGATTATGTTCAGGGAATCTTACATAGGGAACTGCCACTTCTAGTCACTGAACAGTGGGCCTGTGTAATTATGTTCTAGGGCTGAGCCTGTGTTGTCAATGAATGTGCAGAGAAAGTAAGTTTGCTCAGGAATGTAACAGTGTGCTACTGAGATTAGAGACATGATCCCTTTTTGATCAGTTAAGTTCAGGTAGGAGAATATTCCTAGCCCTACCACCTAATACATTTTAGTAAATCCACACAAGGAACTGCCAAGTTGTCTGGATCAGGTCAGGAACCAGTTCACACACACAGCATCACCAGACTGATATAGAATAGAAGAGGTAAGAGTGACTCTTGTGTTGTGGCTGCTTCCAGTGATTTACTTTGAGACACGACTACCAATTGTTTCACAGACAGACACACACATACACTGGAATATGCACATAACAGATAAGAGCCAATGATAACCCCCACCTACACCACAACTCCAGTGAATATCCAGGCAGCAATGTAATAACAGCCATGGTAAAACCCCTGATTCAATTCGACTGCTGTCACTAAACCAATAGTTCAAAATAATCCACCGTGGCTATGATAAAATCTCTCCCCGAACACCATCAACACACACTCATCCATACTCATCATGATCACAATACTTTCTCGATGTGGTACTCCTACATAAGGCTCTTCTCTTCGAGAATCTCAACAACCGCCCTTATAGCTCAGTGGTAGAGCGCTTGACTTGTATGACCTACTGATATCAAGAGGTCCGTGGTTCAATCCCGCGTGGGGGCACTTTTTTTATTCCCCGTTCCCTATTTTTCTTCCGCTTCACCACACCAATTTTTACCTTCGGAATTATTTTTTCCTCCAGACCATTATTCCAACTCTCCTAATCTCATGACTCAACCATCAACAGGGTGCAGGTGATGTTTCTCTCCCGGAAGCTTTTTCCATGTCCCTCTCCAATTGGCCTTTCCGACCGTTGCATCAGATTCAGCAGTTGTGAGATCCGCTCGGACCGTTCCGTCCGCTGGGGAGATCTGCGGTGCAGTGCGGTGCGGTGCGGTTGGTTGGGTTGGGTTGGGTCCACTGAGGACAGCGTTGCATTCACCTGCTTTGTGTCATAACAGGTATTGTATTGTGTTCCTACAACCTTGATTGATTGCTCAAATGACAAGTCACTAAGTACTCCCCAACTCCCTCTCGCAGACACATCTACGCGTGTTGCACCGTTAACAAGCTCAGACACTAAATCCTCCAACCAACACACCCACACCACCCCTAAATGCCTAACTCATCAGCATGACTCCCCTCCCACGGCCACACGCTCTCCACCTCCCTCACCAACATCTCATGCTTCTCACTCCTACCCTTGACATCCACCTCAAACGGCACCGGATGGCTAATCGTCCCCGGGAAAAAATCCACCCGAATCGGCACCTCCTTTCCATCCCTCACCTTCTTCCGCACATTCAATACCGCTAGTGCCCGCGCTACCGTCAGATAGATATTCTTCTCCGCGAGAAGCTGGCCCGGACAGATTCGCCGACCGAATCCGAAGGCGTAGATTCGGGGGTCGGGTTGGGGGTTCGGCCCGAGGAAACGATCGGGGTTGAAGGTTGAGGGGGCGGGGTAGGTGGTTGGGTTGTGGAAGAAGGACCTGCGTTATCAGATGTGGGTGGAGAGGGGGTATTAGGGGGGGCGGAAGGGGGGCATACCAGACGTTCGGAACGAGGATTGCGCCTTCGGGGATGAGATATCCCTTGTAGATGTCCTGTTCGCTGGACGCGTGGGTCACGCTGAGGGGTGTGACGGGATGCCAGCGGAAGAGTTCCTGGACGACGGCGTTGATGTAGGGGAGGTTGTCGCGATCGTGGAAATCAGGCAGACGGGTGGTGCCGATCACACGGTCGAGTTCTTCTTGGGCTTTTTGTTGCACGTCTGGGTACAGGGCCATGGCCATGAAGAAGCAGGAGAGGGCGGAGACGGTCTAAGAGTACTACTATTAGGGCTGGGGCATGGTATGGATATATGGGTGGGACAAACCGTATCGGCACCGCCGCCGTACAATGCCCCGGCGGACCATTTGATGACCAGCTCTTCTTCTGAGCCGGGACGGACGGTGTCTTTCTCGAGGAGGTTGGAGACGTATGATGGTTGATGGGTACCTTGGGACATTTGGCGCTTCACAAAGTCATACGTCTTGTCGTGCATGATCGTGACGCGGTCTTTGAATTCTTGGGCAGTTTGGTTGGCTTTGCCGCCTGGGAACCAGGTGGGGAGGTATTTCACTGCAAGGTTAGTATGGTTTCTTCACGTAAAGATGGGGCGCATACAGAAGGACACGAAATTGACAAGCCAAGCACCCGGAAGAACCACACGCGAAAAGTCATCCATGGTCTGATCGACCAAATCGACTAGCGGATCCCGTCCATGCGGTTCGACATTGTATCCATAGCTAATGCGGAGGATGATGGCACCGGCTTCCCTGTGCACGTTTTAGCTTGGACCTTGCATATGCAAGGGAACTTACTTGCGCAGATGATCGACCAAGTTACTGGGCGACTGAATCACCCGCAGCAGGAACCGATGCACCTCTTTATCCACAATGTTGTTGAACTTGTCTACCACGGTGGCCGAGCCGAGCTCCCTGGATGCGGCTTTGCGGTAGGCGCGGAACCGGTTCGAGTATGGCAAGAGACCTAGTGTTTTGTCCCATCCGGATCTGGATGGTCAGTATATGCACTGTCGTGGGAAAAGGAAGACTAACAGCTCTGCGATGGGTAGCTGGGGACGGGAAGAGTGGAGGGCGGATCGCTTCTCCAACAGCTCCAGCGCCATCTCAGGATCATTGAGGATGATGATGGTCTGTCCAAAGACCGTGACGGAGCTGATCGGGCCTGTAGATGTTACTTCTGACCGACAGGATTCGAGGAGTAGCGTACCATAGAGCTCCTTGTGCGTAGCCCAATGCTCCCAGTCCTTGGAGCCCGGTGGTGGCAGATCATGAAGGTTACCAATAATGGGCTTTGGCGGAGGGCCTGGTGGCAGAGGCGCGGAAGCCTTTTTCGGTGTAAGAAATGCCTTGAGGACGTAGAGGGCCAGAAGCCCAACCACGAGGTTGAGTACCAACGACATGCTGTAGCAGTCAACCACAGTAGATGGAAGAACCAAGAAGTCAGTCCAGAGGGCGAGTAGCTGAAGAAAACCGCAGCGGGGACGGGGCTACCGATGCTACCGCTAGCATTGCAACATGGCTAAAGCAGCAGGTCAAGCAGCAGGTCAAGCAGCAGGCCAATGTGGCTCCGCTACGCTACCTGTATACTAGCGCAGGAGCTACTACACCTAGCGAGGGCAATGCCCGGGAATTATGATCCAGGAGATATGATTGGCTGCCAGATAGATTGGCGCAGCTGAATCTGCAGCAATCGGCATGCTTGACAAATCTGGACAAGGTATGCGGGTCGATGCGATGGGATTCCTGGAAGTGGCGAGACAGGAGATTGCAGTGGGTCTTCTCTCTAGTCTAACACCTTAGCTGACGAGAAGACGATACCCGCTCTTTGTCTCACATCTGCTCTGCTCCTCAGTGGCGTTCTCATAAATATGCCCTCTTTAGGTCATGCTGATGGCACAGGTCTAGCACTCCCGAGACCAACCAATAGCCCTACAATGGATTTCTTCCTCTGCCTAGTAACAGCAGAACGATAACCATTCCAACCCAAACCGAGATATCAACCCTTATCATTTGCATCCGGAAGAAATCAACGCCTTCTAAGTCACCGGAATCTCATCTAGAAGCTTGAACACGGGCATGAAGTGTGGCAAAACATCACCTGAAGCTTGAGCTACCTCCGGCCTCTTCACCACCAGAAGGAACTGGAATCCAATCTCACAGAAGTACATTAAATCAAACAACTCGTCACAAACCTTCTCGGGCATTGTGATTGGTTATTCCGCTGCCTTAAGCCATATCTCTCTTCACTATCTTTCGTGCAGTCAGCCAGCGCAAATATATATCATTAACCCGAGTGTCGTGACAACTCCAAGCACAGGCACGGTGAATGCAAGAGAAAAGAGGTTACCATGGCAGGGAGGAGATAGATGATGGATAGATTGGGAGGATCAAAAGGTCTATCTTCAGAACGAGTTCTCGTTTCATTTGGCTTTCTCGGGGGTTCGGGGTATAGTGTTGTGGATGGCCAAGCCATTGTGAGCTATTAGGCTGTCTTTGATAATGGTAGTTGAGGGTTCTGTCTCGTTGGTGATGAGGTCGGTGGGAAGGGAGGTGGCCATGGTCGGACAACAAGGTTAGGACGGTAAGAAAAAGCAAACATGGATATTTGGTTCATTATTGGTGTGGTGGTGCAACCGGTCCAACATAGCCGAATCGGCTAACCCAGACAATGTCGGGTATCAAACCCGAAGGCGCTGACCACAGCCGACTTGCGTCACACATGTATTACTCGCCAGGAATGATTTATATTCCGTTCTTCCTACTCTGACTTCCGTGTAAATACTGCTTCCATCATTCTCAAACTATTCTAAAGTGCGTATCCAACATAGTTCAACATGCAGCACGAACTCAAAATTCTCACCCCCATCGGCATGCTCGGCTACGGCTTCGACGAAGCCCTCTTCTGGTCCGCTGTTTCTGACGGCGTCGATGCCATCATCTGCGACTCTGGATCTACCGACAGCGGGCCAGCCCGACTCGCCCTGGGCACCATGTCCGGCTCCCGAGACGGGTATGCCGCCGAGCTCGAGAAATTCCTGCTCGCGGCGCATCATTTCCACGTTCCGGTTCTGATTGGCAGTGCCGGTGGTGACGGAGCGAATGCTCATGTGGATGTTTTCGTGGATATTATTCATGAGATTGTTGCCCGGTTGCATCTGAGACCGATGAAGGTGGTGAAGATTTATGCGGAGGTTTCGAAGGATGTTGTGAGGGAGGAGTTGGATGCGGGGAGGATTGTGTCTTGTGGGGAGGCGGTTCCGGAGTTACAGCGGAGTGATGTGGAGGATGCGAGTCGGATTGTGGCGCAGATGGGCATGGAGTCGTATCTGAAGGCTATGGATGAGCACCCTGATTTTGATGTCATTATTGGTGGTCGCTCGTATGATCCTGCTCCGTATGCTGCGTTCTGTGTGCACAAGGGGTTCACGAATCTGGATATTGCGTGGCATATGGGCAAGATCATGGAGTGTGGGGCGTTATGTGCGAAGCCTAAGAGTCGCGAAGCGCTGGCCATTGTTCGACATGATAGCTTTGATATCCGGCCGTTGAATCCATCCAGTCGGTGTACGGCTGTCTCGGTCGCTGCGCATACGCTGTATGAGAAGACACGACCGGATCTTCTGGTTGGACCGGGAGGCTCGCTCCATCTGAACGATACGACCTATGAAGAGTTGCCGGATAATCGCACGGTTCGGGTCCGGGGAGCCAAATTTGTGCCAGTGGAACAAGGCGGATATACGGTTAAGCTGGAGGCGGCTCGAACCCACGGATATCACAGCTGCTTCTTTGGTGGATTTACTGACCCTATTTTGGTCGCGCAAATTGATCCTTTCATTCAGACCGTCAGAGATCATGTTGCCTCGGTGTGCAAATTCGAGTATGATCTCAAGTTGACGACTTATGGCGCGAGGAACGAGATCAGCATGTTTCCGGATACAAATCATGGGACCCTACCGGCCAGTATCGCTATCCATGGCGATGCTAGAGCAGAAACGCAAGCCCAAGCACCCGGGTGATTCACGCCGCACGCGTTGGTTGCATGCATGGCTCATATCTCGGACAAGTGGCAACCTCTGGCAATTTCGCCATGCCTTGTGCGCCTCTTGACATTCCGATGGGAAGAGTGTGTGAATTCTGCATTTATCACCTCATGCCAGTGGACGATCCAACTGCTTTGTTCCCGATATTTGCAGAGACGACACAGCATAATTCCGATGGGGAACCCCCGGCCCTGGTCATTCCAGCGTATTCTCCAAGAGGTTTCCAGTCTGCATCATATGCGGAGCATGAGAACAACCTACTAAGACCTACAATATTGAGCCCTCCTGCTCCACCTGGCATGCGCTATTTGGGTGAGTTTGCATCGGTGATTCGCTCCAAAAATGCCGGGCCGTATGAGCTGACATTCGACATCATGTTTGATTCCTTGGCCAAATACTTCTTTGCCAAGTCATCGGGCGTACTGGACGTTTCAAAGTTTGCAGAGCTGTATGCTATCAAGGTATCTGATATCGTGGCAGCAGTTTGGTGGGAACCGGCAATGGCCCTGAAGGTGACTGTCAAGCGCCCGATTGTTTCGGGGCGATTTGGAGAAACAGATACACATGGAAGTTGCCAGCATGCTGGGCTTCTGCGGGTTTTGATTCCCGCTATGGAAGAGGCTTGATGGAAGATTAACTTTGGTTTCTACTGTAATCCGGAACAAATTTTGTAGTTGCTCCAGGGGCAGTTGTTGTTCTTCCGTCTAGTCAAAATAGATAGGATTGATACTCTTAAGAGTTGCCGACCAAGTTTCCCCAGCCTTCAATAAGGTTCATAAAGTCTGAGCCTTCATCGAAGAGAAAGGCGCTGTCATCAAGGAGAAAGTCCAAGGGAGGTTGTCCTGAAACATCGGTAGACCTCATTGGTGAGTGGTGGTTAACGTTAGTGAGGGCAGCTCCTGAAGGTTGATCTCGTGCTTGATTTCCTATCGCCCGAGACTTTTGCTCCTCTTCCGAAATGGCATGCCTGCTGGCCCAGATAGTATCATACGTAATGTTGGCTGCCATGCGTGACTTGACAACAGGTTTGTAGAATGGACTTCCGAACCCGGATTGGCATTCCTCCACGGATGCTCCGATTGACCATAGCGTTGGAACAGGGTCTTTCTGATTACTTCCCAGTTTCCGGGTGAGATAGCGCATATGGGAGCAAAAGCGACCGAAGTTGTCTTTCGGGAACATGGACCAAGTTTTGACCAGAGCCACGCCATCCCGGATAGCTTGTTGCAGCCGACGTTGTTCAGGCGATCCTGGCTGAGCTATACAAGCTAACCGAAACGCCATGATTGTAGCGTACATCGAAGAGTGCTTCCCAAAGATAGGCCAATATCGCGTGTCGACGGTTTCCATGGCAGCGAGCTCAAGGACACGTTGAGAAGCAGTAGAGGCTTGTTCATATATAGTCAACGTAGAAAGGTCAATTGCCAGCATCGAATCCGGATAGTTCTGTTCATCAAGTGCAAAAGAGAGGATCTGCAGTCTGGTCTCCAACAAGAAAGCTTCTGCCAGTTCCTACCATTTCGAACTTAGGCTTTCACGCATGGTGGTCAGCTTTTGGTCAAAGGTGGTGACTAGCGGGATTGGGTATTTGGTCTCGCCGGTGGCAGATGATGCGTCATCCCCAAGAGCCTCGAGGGCTTTCACCCCAATGTATGCGATGTGAGCATAGTGCAGCAGAGGCGCTGGTAACTCTGAAGTGGAGCTTCCGGCAATTTCCGAGAGGATAGCACGGCCAGGTTGAACTGCTGAGGGGGTGCCAAGTCTCGTAGAGATACTAAAGTGAGCATATGAGTCAACCGGCGATGCTAAATACGGCGATAGAAACTGGATCATACATATGGTTAACAACAAAGCATCCAACCCAGGCCTTTCTTCGTTGCAGATCGACCCGAGCATTTGGGGCTGTCGCTCCGTATTCCCAATGCATATGCAGATTCGGTCTATGCAAACCTAGCTGGTAGGAGAGTTGAGTCGCAAGGCTGCAGTACATCGGCGATGGATCATGCACGGTTTGTTGAAATGGAAAGGGCCAGATGCATAGCAGTAATAGCGCCTGTATGGTTTCAAAGTTCCGACTTTGAGTGTGGTATAGATCACCAGCAAGACTGCGGACGGGGTCGATGAGAGTGACACATAGATGAGAATACTCGGGAGACTCTTTAGATGTAATTGCAATGATGGTCCACAGGAGAAGCGTATTAGCATCGTAGGCCTTGATGAAATCGGGGAGCGATGGGAGGATTGGGAAGAGTGGGTGGAAATTTGCGTAGAATCTGCCCAAATCAGCATCGTTCTTTCACCGATAGCAAGTAGTTACTCTTTAATCAGTGATATTAGCTCATGGGCTTGAAGTGTTACCCTCTCGAGTGTTTGGCTCGTCATGTGTAAGAGTGCTGTTTCCTCCCAGTTCTCCCATTCATTAGTCTCCGCTACTTCAGTAGAGAACTCCGGTAGAGAAGGAATGGGATCCGCTGTCTTTGACGCGTCCATTCTCTGTGGCACGCGCTTGGGTTCATTTTCCAAGGTGTCTAGCCGTCTAGTAGTGGTGAGTGGCCTTGAAACCAAGAGATGAGATTTAGACATACTGAATCCCTTCTTTGCTCTCTTCGCGGGGCGGGAATCCAGGCTATTGTCCATGACTGTCCCTTACCCAAATGGCGTGTGAAAATCTTTGACAAGCCGAGAAATCAAGAGGCACCTGGCAAATCGAGATGGTGGCTGAGTCTTGCTGACCTCGGCTACCCCGGATGAGAGATAATGCGGGGTTGTATCAGGCGCCCACTGCACTAGCTGGAGCAAGAATCGTCTAGTACTTACGATATATATCTGGGACAAAGAAGCCAAGTGCGTGTTCATGTCGTCATCCCTTACGATAATGCTACGGGTCATTTCCAGATGGAGGTCCTAGGCACGCAGCTGAGTGTTTTTTCATTGATGATCAGCATATGTCATCATGGGTTTACGTATTTCCCCAGAGCTCTTGAATCTTCTAGATACATTTCCAATAATCCCAGAATGGATCCGTCTCCAACGGGAATGGATGTTATTCAACTCCACTTTTAGCCAGAAGAAACATGACCAACAGGCCAGTCTCTGAGCAGGAAAATCGATATTCAAAAGGAAACACAAGATTCATTTCAGAAACAAGTCACACAGACGCTGTTCGCGACTAGCCCATTGAGAGCAGCTGCCGTCTGGTGAAAATCACAGTCCTAGCGTCGTCGGCAGAGTCAAACCTTCGACTGGGAAAGTCATTGCAGCCTACTTCGCTTTCTTCACCTTGTCTGGCTTTCTTCCAGCTTTGTCCTTCTTCGTCTTTCCCTCTTTCTTCATCTCCTCCTGCATATCGTGATAGGTTCTGGTCTTCTCCGCCCAGCTGCAAAGAAGATCCGGATATTTCAAGCACCAAATAACCACATCCCTAATAGTGATCGCATCTTCAACCACACCATGTCCTTTGCGACCGCCCTGGACCTTCCGAGCCAGCAAATCCCCCGCCAGAGCCTTGAGACCCCAGATCCGAGTGAGAGGTTCAGCGGGACAGAGAGTATGAAATACAGCCTCTGCCGTGAGAATCGCCAAATCAACGACCCGAGAATGGATCATGCCCAGTGTATCGAGACCATTGTTTAAAAAGTGTCCGATCAGAACGGTATCGCTGTCGACATACTTCCATAACTCCCAGCGAGCTCTCAGCCACCCACGCAGGGCTTGTCCACTTTCTATTGCAGCCGCCATCGCGGAGGGCGTGATGCCACTGTTTTTCGTGTCCCAGCTTGTCACCCGACCCCGTGGTGCCACGAATCGATTGATCAGGACCTCGCCAGTTAGAAAGTCGACAGCACCGAGGTAGGCAATCTCCCACCGGCCGCGTGTTACCTGCACGATCTTGTAGTCGATTACCACTGCTTGCCTGCCTTTCCGACAACCAGATGCATCCGCTCCCGGGGGTGAGGGGTGCCTGAACAGATCACGCCGTATGATTCCCTTGCATGAGTGGCTCCCGAGCGATGCTATAGAGGTCATTGTATAGCCCTGTGCAGTGAGGCGGGTATGGGAGTGACATTGCGCATGAAGAGATTGGAATAGAGCGTTCTGCTCCGCGTCTTTTGAAGTGTTATCCGGTTGATCGTTGCTCTGCGCAAGAGGAGTCGTATCTGATGCCCCGGCTTCTGGTTCCGTTACCACAAACCTCACAACGGATGTCTTTGGGCAGTCTCATACCTGAAATCGCTGTTTTCTCTGGATCTTTGGGAACGACAGTCGGGGAAGAGGCTGGAACCACGGTTGCTGATGTGGCAGATAGCGCTGTGGCAGAAGTGACAACTCGAGGAGAGTGGAGGTAACTGTGAGCCACTTGAATATGTTGATTCAGTGCATTCAAGCTGACAAAGTGCTTGGCACAGTCAGTGCATGGTATTTTGTGGCCAAGAGATGTCTGGTGACTGCGCAGAGACTGACGATCCTTAAAGGTGCTGTTGCACACAGGACAACACTGGCTCGGCTTCACCAAAACTGGCTCCTCGTGATCGAACGCAGTTCCTGAAGCCATTTTGCCCTACCACAACACCAAGGTACCACGAAGGCGGTATTCAGCGTGTTAGGATCGCAGGAGCGTGTTGATTGTTGTGAAAACCCCGTTCTGAGACGCCGAGAGAATCAGGTGACTGCATGAGTGACTCACCAAGTGACTGGCAGGAGACTACGCTGGGCATTAGGATTAGTGCGCATTAATTGGCAGCTTCACATCTGTCAGCCTTGTCTTATGCGCCGCTGTTAGCCGCTATCATGGATGTGGCTCAGAAAACAGGACCAATGTGACTGCCATCCGGCATGGTCCACCCGAGCATTAGCGTGAGGCGCAGCCGCAGCCCTATAGGATATTCATTGGCTTCAGTGACGTATCGACTCTAAATCGGGAGCAAGAAATGATTGATAAGTGAAAGATTGTTAAGATGAATAAGTGAAATCTAAGAACGATGAAGGTCCCTCAAAATTAAATCTGCGTAGACCGCCCTCTCGAGAGAGCGCAAGCTTCATTTCGACTGGATCCAATGCGGATCTATTGAACGGACGCACTAACGCTATGGCAGCCCATAGACCTCATGATCATACACCAGAAAATCCGTAAATGCATATGTCATCTCCGGGGGCCCTTGATCTCGCTGGCAGAATTGGAATCCCTCCCGGATGGAAGCTGCATCAAACTCTCTCCGGTGGACAAAGACACCCCGGATACAACAGAAGTAGTCGGGATGACATAGACTATCCCTCTTTTCCGTGTCATCCGCTGGTCGTAAATTTACTGTTTCTCCAGCTACTGCGATCCTTGATAATATGACTCTGGTCAATGATGGCATTTGTTGAATGTGCTGCAGGACAGGCTCCCATGATCCAGAGCTAAGATCGATCTTTTCCAGAGATAACTCCCTAATGGTGGGGTGATGTTGCAGGAAGCGTAATAGTGAGTCTGAGGTAGCGTAAATGCCGAGTAGTGAAAGTGTTCCGAGCAGTGGAAGATGGATCTCAGCGATCGCATCAAAGAGTTGGTGGTAGGGATTTACATCCCCTTTCACTGTGCGACGCAGACTGAGAACCAACGATTCCAGGTTCGGCATCTTTTGCAAAAGACGAGCAACACCAGGGAAGTTGTCCTCCGCGACAGCCTCGGGATGCAGATCCGCTTGCAACGCTCCCAGATTCCCTGTCCACCTCCGACGGTTCTCACGTTCATACCTTTCCAGTTGATCCCGTTCTTCAGCCAACCTTTCTGGATTGGAGTCAACCCGCATAGACAAATCAAGGGCAAAGTATTTGATTGATTGGCCGGAAGAAAAGGCCCACCCTTTCGCATCGAGATTGTTCATGAAATCGGTGATCTCATTCGAAGGAACACCGCAGCGTATGGTTTCGCGATACACGCTCAGGGCCTCCACTTCAATGCGACTCTGAGCGAGAGCAGTCATGGCAATATGATAAACCTGGGTCGCTTGCACCCAAATGATGTGCCACTCGCCTAATGACTTGAAGATGTCTCCGCGGGGTGCAGTTGTCATGGTGGCTTCCAAGGCGATCAAATCAAGCTGTCCAAAGTGGTCGAGAATAGTTGCCAGAATCTTCCCGATAACGTCCTCATCGACAAGGAGGCACGTCAATGATTTCTCTTCCAGCCATTGCAACCCTGCCCGTGCTTGCTCCAGCTCATCCTGCGTACAATCCCTCGCTGTGAGGCGAGGCATGCGGGTCCGGTCTTCACATCGTCTCGTGTGGAGAACTCTCTTCAGAAGAGATGGATCATACACATCCGCCAAAATAGTCAGTTGCTTCACTACTGAACCTAGGTCAGGATGACAGGCCAGCTCCATCAGAGATTTCAAGCTTTCGGCCGTCAAATTAGTGGTTTGATGGCGAATGAAGGATTTGAAGCGGGGGCCCAAGCATAGTTTGCTCCAGGCCCTGTTGGTCAGGCGTAAGGCTTTGATGGACTGCAGATCAAGGTGATCGACAATAACATCCACGACAACCGCAGGGGGGAAGTCAATTCCCCTATAGATGGAGTTCATAGTGCTCCTGTGTATAATGAGGTAGGCGTCGTCCGAAATTGTTTCTTGTATGTTTATTGTCCCCGTATATATATCTGAGCCCAGGCTGCTGCTGTGGGCTACGCGATCCGATGCTGCGACCTTCCGGACTCCTGGAGTCAGGCGGGCAAACATGGCGAGGAATTGAGGAAATATCCTCACAAAGAGGCAGACTTTTCATGGTTGGCTAGATTGATGAAGTGATTGGTAGATGGAATCTGGTCTTTGTTCTATTCCCGGTTCGTGTCACATGACCGGTTATTGCCTGTGGTACAATCATGAAAAGGATGATGCCTGAGCAACATTGGATTCTTCGTGACGTGAGTAGTATGAATATGGTCGTCTCCGACTCGCGTCAATCCCAAAGAATTTGTTCTGTTGCAGCTGAGTGTGGAACGTACATGTTTCAGGACATATCGTCATGGGAGATTCCGAGAGGGTAAGCAACCCTACCAGGACATTAGGCTATTGGTCAACTGAATAAATTTCTAACGAGGATACTGCCCTAAGGACCCTCTGCGATTTAGAAAGTTGCCTAACTCGGGATATGGGTGCCGGCTTGGAAGCGGCCTCCGTCGCCAATGACCTAACGATTCGATCGATCTACATCCTCACCACGGTAAATGTCATCCGAACCTAGCCTCTTTGCAGCCTGTCTAGAGAGTATAACTCGTTAGGAGTATTAGGATACGTCGCATTAGTTCCGGCTGCGTCACGTCTATAAGAGTCGGTTTTCTGCTGATATTGCTCGATCGGGTTGATTCCAAGCGCGCTTCACACCACATCTTTACCCCAGGCTTGTTTATTATCGGTTCTGTAAGAATTGCACGACAGTTCCATCGGTTTAAGCACACTTCATAGCATGTCGTCAACCTATACCAACAATCGTGAACTCCCCATCATGGCCTTTCACCAAATGAGTATCTCGTCAGACACTTTGCCTACTTCACCCGTGAACCCAGAGAACCCCTACGCCGAACAGCACGAACATCCAGATGGCCCTGACGATGACCGTCCAACCGCACTGCAGATCGTCGCAGACAATGTCTTCAATGAATGGCACGACAAAGTGGTCCTCATCACCGGGGCCACCGGCGAGATCGGTCTCGAAACCGCCATAGCTCTCCACTCGACCGGCGCCCATGTCTTTATCACCGCGCGCCACGTATCCGAGGGCCAGGCAGCGATGTGGAAGATCCGCAGCAGAAGTGAAGGAAGCGGACCAATTGACATTCTACTCCTTCACATGGAATCTCTCGATTCAGTCAGGCAAGCCGCTGATGAATTTCTCCAGCGCAGTCCAACTCTTAACATCCTCATCAACAACGCTGGTAAGTATACCATCATACTTCACACAATCCACTAACAAACCCAGGAATATGCGAAGTCCCCGAAGGCAAAACCCATGACCAATTCGAGAGCCATTTCGGCATCAACCACCTGGCCCACTTCACCCTCATCACGCAGCTGCTCCCCGCCCTGAAGGCCGGCAGTTCCCGTACCTTCCAATCTCGCATCGTGCAAGTGTCTTCCACGCATCACAGATGCGGATTTGTCGACTTCAACGACATCAATTCCACGAACAAGAAGTATATCCCCTACCTAGCCTACGCCCAGTCCAAGACCGCCATGGTCTGGACCGCCAACTATGTTGATGCCGTATACGGCACAGCCGGGGTGTACGCACTCTCCGTGCATCCCGGGATGGTGTGGTCGGGGTATCAGCAACATATGGAACCCGTGCAATTGAAATGGTGGACGCATGGCTATGGGGCCAGGCAGGTCAAGAGTCCGGCGCAGGGAGCTGCCACGACGGTGTGGGCTGCTGTGGGAAGGGTCTGGGAGGGACGGGGAGGTGTATATCTGTTGGATTGTCGGTATGCTGGGGGGTCCCGGGTTCTGGATTTCACGTCGGCTGATTTTCTGCGATACTTGCCGTGTGGTTGGCAGACGGAGGAGAGGCTGTGGAAGCTGAGTCAGCAGTGTACGGAGGAGTCGGAGCCGTTGTTGGAGGGGATGATGCCGATTGCTCAGGCGAGTACCGTGGGTATACGATATGATTCAGTCGTGATGGAGGATGCTGATTAGTGCCGCTGAGGATGTCATTTCATATAGCCATCATACACAGTACTTGGGCGATACCTTCCCCGGAACTATATGTCTGTAATTGTCATGAGATATTATCTCAAGAGATACATCTGAAGAAAAGTTAATGTCAAACTACCCACAACTTAGTAACCAAACTATCACTGACCAGGATCTAAGATCAATGCATGAACACCTATACTGTTCCGTGTTATGACAGGGGAAGTGGATCGATCCGCGGGTAACGGACCAACCCGAGCGGATCCCACTTATCAATAACCCTACTACGATCTAAGCCCTGGCGTGGAATTTAGACCCCAAACCACCAATCACATCCCCCATCAACCTCTCACAATACAAACTATTATGGAGTACTAACCACCTCTCAACATTCTACCCCTCACCGCCAGGACACAGAAAATCCCACCTCAATCCCGACACATGAAACCCCCTCACCACTACCACACCCCGATCAACACCCAAATCACCACCACAATGTCCCCTCCGCATCTAACCCACACATTCACCCTCCGCGTCCAAGCCGGCCCCTCATCCTCATCCCTACACTTCCCCCCCTCACAACCCAACCCAACCCGACACATCACGCCCGTGATCGGCGGCTTCCTCCATGGCATTCCCGGCACCCGAGCCGCAGGCCTCACCGCCACCCTCCTCCCCGGCGGCAGCGACTGGGTCCTTCGCGACGACACGAAAAATATCCTCCACCTGGACGTGCGCACCCAGGCACGCACCAGCTCAGGACAGGGCGTGTATATTCAGTACACGGGACATTTAGTCCTTGATGAGGCGACGGAGCGGTTTATGAGGAGGGACGAAGGGGCGGGGAGTACGGCGTTTGGGGGGCATGAGTGGTGGATTACACCTCATTTCGAGATTGGCGGTAAGTTTAGAAGCTGTGGTTTTTCTTTTGGATTTTCTCTCTACTAGTACTTTTGCTTTGTTGGTTTGTAGTTTGGTATCTTCAGTTGTATGCGTTGCTAATGTGTTAGATCCCGAGTATGAATGGGTCCAAAGGGGGGTATTTTTCGGGAGGGGTCGGTTTCATCTCGAGGGGGAGTTTCGGGGGGTGGAGTATGAGATTTTTGAGGTGAGGAATTGATGCGTATTGTTCTACAGGTGGAACTGGTATTTTTGGTTCGTGGCTAAGGAGGGAGGTTCTTGTGAGATGCGATTTGGTTGGTTATAGACGGAATATATACCTTTGTCAACACCAGTATACCGAGTAAGCAGCAATGCAACCTTTAGGAGGCTAAAGAGGTACATGTATCGGGAGCAGTCATAAATCTACCAGGTAAACCCATGAATTAAGCAGTAGAGTATGGGATTGTGGCTGAATCTGGACCGGGAATCGACCCACAAGTTGGTCTGTGCATGCGCGTATCGCCGACACAATCGGACGGACTCCGTAGGGATACGCGGAAGTTTATTCTAGCTTCTCGGATATTTGCAATCACCCAGATTCGATGCTTAGGGGTGTCATATTTTATTCTACTGACTTTCAGTGTTCTCTTGGTCTTTGGTACTTTTATTCCCAGCTAGGTGACTATATTTCGGGTTTTGATCGAGGATGGATGGGACTTGAATGCGGGCTGGACCCGTATCTTGGCCTGTTGAGGTTATCACTCACGGGGTGTGTACGGAGTAATAAGATAGATATACATTTCTTTCTAGGATTCATACGAGATGAAACGTCATACACCGTTAAACAACCAAATACCCGAAAACAAAATCGTCAACAAGCATCCAGTGCTAACACATACCGAACTAAACACAACCCAAAACAAAACCCAATCACACCCCATTATACCCCGTCGTCGCCGTCAGCGGCACACTGGTATCCAAATCCAAATACCCCCGCAACCGACTCGGATACCAAAGATAAAACACCAGCATAACCACCACCATGGGCACGCCATCAAACACATACATCATCCACTCATGCCGCAACGGATAGCCCTCATCCCCCAACACATACTCGACAATGCGAAACACCGATCGCACCAAAACCAACGAACTCACCACATACAACATCTGCAGCGACTGCTGCCAGGGCAAATCACGATTCAACGACTCCCTCGTCGGCGCGCGTCGGATCCGCTTCCCAAACACCACGGCCGTGAGCCAGAAGATGGCAAACGAGAGAAGCTGGATGGCTAGACCCACGAGAACGCAGATCTTGCCGTAGAGTGGGTATCCCAGGACGGAAAGGGAGGAGGAATTACCCTGGACGATGAAGGAGAGGATGTCGCCCCAGACGAAGGTCTTGGTGAGGCGGGAGATGCGGATCACGGAGAGGTGTTCGCCGTGCACGGAGCGGATGATCCGGCTGAGGGTCATGTAGATGGAGGCGGCGAAGAGGGTCGGGCCGAGGAGGATGAACATGTTTGATACGATGTACGGGCCCATGGTCGTGGTGTTGCTGTGGGCGGCGGCGCGGCCGATGTAGCCGATTACTTCGACTGCATGGTTGGTTAGGGTAGCTGGGTTTGGAGGAGGGTGGAGGTAGACGTACACAATCCGCCGAGGGTGAAGGATATGCAGAACCAGGTTCGGGTGGTGAATAGCTTCCAGGTGTGCAAGCCGGTGAGGATGATGAAGAGCAGTAGGAAGATGACTGCTGCTCCGAGAGATGGCACGTAGGACCAGAAGATGTAGGTGCCCCGGGGTTGAAGTTCTGTCATGGTTTGAGGATAGGAGATGTTTAGACAACTTTAGGACCAATAGGAGAATAAATAGAACAATGTGCAAGGGAATTTGCTCTGGGTAGTAGCAGAAGCAAGAAAAGATAAATCTTTCAGGTTAGGGAATTCTTTGCCCGTTTTTCAACACGCGTATCGTCAAAGTCCTAGATAACATGTTTATCTTTACTAAAATAAGAACGTGGTGATTGCCGTTGCTTATTTTCTATACGCGTATAGCAGTGGCAACCTGGTGGGCCGGATCCTGCGTGGGTGGAGCTTGAACACCAATGATTCAAACCCCCTGAATTTTCGATTTATTTCAACAGTGTACTACTATCGACACGCATGAATAAGCCACGAGGGGCCAAAAAGGCGTTATAATGAGAGCCACGAGGCTGTTGCCAGTCTTGACATTTCTCTTGGCAGTGGGTACTTCACCACCCCGGGGAAAAAAGTTGAGTTGCCGCCTGCCTCTGTCAATGCGATTAATTCCATGTCGACCGGATATTATAGATGTTGAGCTTAACGTCCTCAGTATCTCCCCCACTCGACACCACCCGGGAGTAGACCGCATCACTGCTTGGGAATATCTGAGCCGTGAGCGTGGTCTCGCCATGACCACCAAACACCTCAACACTGGACCGATCGACAAAGATGCTCAATTTCACAACGCGATCAGCACTTGGTGTCAGAGGTCCGCGATAGACGCTGGCAAATGTTGTGTCAAATAACACGTCCCCGGACTGAGTCCGGTCAACAAAAATCTGCTGGTTGACAAAATCGTAACCAACGAGGGTCTGCTCGGTGAAGTTCGCGGACGCTCGGACGGCGATTGCAACTGTCGAGGCATTCGAAGCAGCAGAGAAACTCAAGTCGATCTTGATTGTCTCTGCCAGGGCACCCACATTAATAGCGCCTTCTGGAACGGAGCTGTATATGCGCGAATAGACCGGCTGTTTGCTCGTGATAGAAGACCACGCTTCCTGCGGCTGCTGAACTAGCATCGTCTTGTTTCCGATAGTCCTCAGAGCCAAGTGTCGAGGAATAGCCATCGCGCTGCGCCAAGGGTAGGTAGGAATATTCGCGCCATACTGCCAGTTGTTCATCCATCCGATGTGGACGTGGTCGTTAATCGAGAGGCCATTGTAGCCCGCCGCAGCATAAAAGTCCGGGCCCCAGTCCATCCAGTTGGCCGTTGAATTTCCCGGATATACAGAGTCGGCGTCGGGGGTAAAGGTGGCTCCGTCAAACTCACCCACAAAGTACTGGGTTCCGGAGCCGATGGTGCCCGGGGGACCACCGGGATTCAGTCCGCTGGTGATGACCCATTTCGTGGACTTCTCCTCGTCAAGGGGCAACTTGAAAAGACTGGGGCATTCCCAGACACCGCCCTGCGCGTTGTACGGACCAAATTCGCTCACCAGCTTCCAGTCCTTAAGGTTATCGGATGTGTAAATCGCGAGCTTGTGCAAGTCGGCCAGACTTGTGACAACGACCCACTTTTGGGAGTCATCGTGCCAGAACACGAAGGGATCACGAAAGTTCTGGTACTGAGCTTCATAGGGGGGCGGAGGGTTGGAAATGACGGGATTGGCGGCATCGTATGTCGTCCATGTCAGACCGTCGTCCAGACTGTAGGCGATGGACTGTGCCTGTTGGTCCTCCTGGACGGTCTGACCACTTGGTAAGGTCTGTGCAACGGGGTACTATAGGAATAGTGTTAGTGAACTGCGCACCAGGGAATGTCTTGGTGAGAGGTACATAGGAAGTATACATGGCGACCAGCGGTATCTTGCCATCCCTTCCGAAGCCACTCGTGTTGTTCACATCGGCAACTGCACTTCCACTAAAGTACATCTCGGTGACATTGCCGCCGTAACCCCGAGCCAGAAGGGCGACAGGCTGCTCCTCCCAGTGGGTGAGATCCTGGCTGGTAGCATGGCCCCATGATATGTTGCCCCACTGGATTCCACCTGGATTGTACTGGAAGAACAGGTGATAGGTTCCATTATGGTACAGCAGCCCGTTGGGATCATTCATCCAATGTTCCTGGGGTGAGAAATGGTATTGTCCACGGTAGGGCTGGTCATAGCTGAAGGCGTTTGCCATGCCTGCCAAAATGCAAACTGCAAGGGCTTTGGGGAGACGAGCCATTGCGGGTAGCGGACAATTTACTTCGGGGGGGAGATGGTCCCTGAAATCCGGGTATTAGGGGGATGTTTATATATGGCCAATCGTCGCCGAGTCCCGGGTCTAGCTCGGTCGGGGTGCGTCTCGTCACGAGCGGTCTAGTAACCTATGGCAAATCTTTAGATCCTGCCGGAAAGGCTGATTGAGGTATCGGTCTTGTGCAGAAGGGGCTTGGAATTCCTTGGCAGCTCGTCGTAGTCCTCGTATATTCGGGTGCACTTGTTTGTTCCTTGGAGCCAATATGAAGCGGGACCCTCCGACGATGGTCCCAGGTTGGCAAACCTTGTAACATCCAGCAAGCTATTATGAGCTCTACTTCATACCGTCCCTACAGCCGTATGGGCTTGGTCATGTCCCCAGAACTTGCTCTTGATGTACCTCCATATATGTGTTGTCGTTGACCGATGGTATCTATGCAGCCAGTCCCAGCTGCGTCTCGAGACTCGAACTTGCATGCCATGAGAGGGGTATTGGGGTATCCACCGTAGAATGCGTGATTTCTCCGCGTGGGGGTGGTTGGCACTGCCGACCCGGACCGTACCCGAGACTCCAGGATCAAGGACACCGGCCCACGGAATAAAATTGGCCTCACCTAAGCGATATGATGTGACATCATTTCATTAAAGGGCATAGGCCTAGTTGGTTCCCTAGCAACGTTAACAGGGTACCGTGACCCCACACCTTATGAGTAACGAATGGAACAGGTCTCGATGCGCGTGGAGGCAGAACACCCTGGAGAACAGCAGGTGTCGGCAAGCCGATGCCGAAGATTGATCCCGCATTAGCGGCCGAGGCATGATTCTGAGGCCTGATTCTGTAAGCCCCGAGCCCGACGGTATGGGAATAACCCTTTAGTCTAATTTGTTCGTCGCAGCTCCAAGCATGATGGCTCATTGACGATTGGAAATTCCTCTTCAACGTGGTAGATGTCACCAAATACTTCATACCCCGCAGCACTATTCGGAGTCTTCGCTGAGTTTCCTCGGAGAAATTCCAACGCTTGCTCGGCGAAACCGACAAGACCGGCAGATTTTGAATTCCCACTCCGCAGTCTCTTCAATTGGTCCCGGACTGCGGGGTTTCGCCGAGTGCGGAGAAATATCGGGACGGCTTTGGTTGTGTCCAATCGGGCCGCGAAACACCCCAGGGCAGGGGTTTGCAACCGAGACACTCGGACGGTATCCAGCGGGGTAGTTGTTAGAGGCGTATCAGGGGCGGGGTTCTACACTCCTGTGTATACTAAACGGTTGTGAAAGAAACCTCCACCCGATACCGAAGAGTAAGTAGTGGCCTGGCCAAGAACACTGAATTGGACCGGCATAGAGAACTATTCCTCCACCTCAGTGAGGATTACGGCGATCAACTCACCTGTTGCAGAATTGGACTATGGAAGTGTGACTCCTTCACAATTTCATTCCGGGACAATGCCGAATCCAAATGTCCGCCTATGTTGATGGGCAAACCCCTTCTCACAGTTATCAATTGCCTCGGGATCAAGTGTGATAGCAAATCACATTAAAATACATCTTACGGTCAGAGACACACGGATGCAGCATTTCACCGTCTGCTCCGCTATGGAGAGGCCAGGCGAGGATACGATTTTGGTCATCGCGGAGACCTGTTAGCCCGCTGCGGTCAGCACTGCTCTCTCCACGGCTACCGGTTGGAGGCTACTGACCGTGTGAATACCATGATATTTCCAGGGCCATGGCCGACCTGATCAGTCAGTCTTTCAAGGTGGATATCTGCCATGCTATCTGCGATCGGCATCTTACTGCGATCGTAATCATGGCCTTCAGGGTCGGTTAAAATCAACATCGCTAATCTGCATATTAACAATCGACTAAGACTATGATCCCCCTTTTTCTTGTCGAGGCGGGGGCATACCAAAGCTGTCGCCTCCCAAGAGGGTAGTGTGGATGACGAGCCCGGGCTACATAGGCAGGGACAATATGTTGCGGAAGTGGCATGAGGAGCGTCAGTTTGAGACGACCGGAGGGTGTTGGAGAGCAAGTCCTCCCATTTTTGTATATTGTGGCATACCAGCGACATTTCAGGGTCCTTTCAAGTGCTTCAGGAAATTATTGCAGCTTGAGTAGAGGCGGTTGACGGGGTATTGGCCGGGGCGGTTGATACCATGTGTGGATCGCAAACGGGAAGACCGGGTTTCCTGCCTGTCCCGAAACCCGAAGCCCGATCGGACCTAATCACGGAGGTTAACCGACATCGATGCAATTGATTCATCACCCTCTCAGTTTCGTCAGCAATCCTTGGGTCCCTTACAGTTGTCATAGCTCAAATCTCTCCCATTGGGGGATGGGGGGGGTCAAGAGCTCAAAGAGAAACCCTAACCCGGGGAGTCGAGAGTTGTGACTCCCGACCACCGACTGTCATTTCTAATGTCTGATTAATATTCACGAAGCTCTATACTTCTACGGAGATTGTAAATGTACAGTGATACCACCAGCACCACCACCATGAAGCACATATGCACACATACCTATATCTCCTGGACGGCCTATATATATATCCCCGTGTAACCCTCCCAGTCCATCTAGACCCAACAGCACCGCCATCTCCAATTTCCATTCAAGATCTCTTCAATTCCAGCACAACCCACTTATCCCTGAGTATCATCATCAAACCACGAAATGACCACCCCAATCCAACCCCTTACCCTCTACGGCAAAGGGGGCCCCAACCCACCCCGCGTGGCCATCATCCTCACCGGACTCGCCCTCCCCTACACCACCATCCCGATCCCTCTCTCCACCGTCAAACAACCCCCCTACACTTTCATCAACCCCAACGGCCGTCTCCCCGCCCTCCACGATCCCAACACCAATCTCACGATCTGGGAATCCGGCGCCATCATCCAATACCTTATCTCCAGATACGACAGAACCCACACGATCAATTTCCCCGAGGGTACAAACGAGAACTATCTCACGGCGCAGTGGATGTTCTTCCAGGCGAGCGGACAGGGTCCGTATTATGGCCAGGCGTCGTGGTTTAAGAAGTTTCATCCGGAGAGGGTACCGAGTGCGGTGGAACGGTATGTAGGGGAGATTAGGCGGGTGACGGGGGGTTCTGGAAGGGGTCTTGGAGGAGAGGATGAAAGAGGAAAAGGAGGATGAAGGGGACGGACCGTGGCTGGTAGGGGGAAAGTGTAGTGTTGCGGATTTGGTGTGGGTGAGCTGGCAGGTCATTGTGACTCGGGTGATTACCAAGGAGGATGGCTATGATGTGGAGGAGTTTCCGGTGGTAAAAGGATGGTTGGGAAGGATGCTGGAGAGGGAGGCTGTGAGGAAGGTGATGGCGGATGTGGAGCCGGTGCTTTGACGGGATGAAGGGTGAGAGGGTTTGTCAGATGGTTGTCTTATAAATGGTTCTGATAGTGTTCGCTTTGCTTCCATTCTTTTTGGAGATCATGGATGCGCTCGGGTCTATTTAAGAAGATAGATAGGGTGAGCACTGCTGCCAACTGTGATAGTCCCCGGCTATAATCTGCTTGGCACCATTACAATATAAATTGGCACTACTGAAAGCATGTGGAAGATGGAGGTCAGTTAATGAGAGGTGACACTCAATCTAGAGGATTGTGTAGTGCTTCCGTGCCAGGCAACCTTCGTACTATGGTACTTGCTTTTGGTGACTGTAGTGTCTTGTGTAGAGTCTTGCGACTTTCCCCTCAGATCCATGTTGAGATCACTCATAAATGACCTACTTTCTGAACTATCCACAGATGCTCCCTTAGTCTGTCAGGCACCCCCGGTATGGCCGGACAAACGACGCGCCGAGCCATGATCGGCGCCCGGACGCGATGGGAGCTCACCTATCTAACTCTCCATCCTCCTCAATCCACAAATGCATCTCTCAAACTATCGCCTACATCATACTTTTATCTAACAATGTATAGAATCCGACACAAAGCCCCAAAAATAGCATTTTTCACCACGAAACCAACCTCTCGAACCCTTTCTCTGACCTGTCGCGGTAAGCTCCTCCCCTAGCGAGCTGCTCAAGCTAACGGCGATTTTAACCAATTAGGTGAGCCTATCCAACATGAGCAACTGTTCGCCTACACCAACGGTCGCTTTCTCGTCAACGAGAAAGCGGAAATGTCAAAGCGATATGCCAAGTTCGACCTCACTGCTCTGTGCGATACTGTGTCCGCTTTACCTCAAATCTGTTCTCCCATTGCTACCATTGACAAAATGGAAGGTGGCTTCAACAAGGCACTGCTCATGACAGCCCAAAATGGGAAACAAATCATTGCGAAAATACCATTTCCCAGTCTTGTTCCACAACAATATACTACGGCATCGGAGGTAGCTGTCTTGAAATATGGTATATTACGGAACCCCTGCTATAGCACCTTTCGCTGACAATTTCAATTAGTGAGCTCTCACACCACTGTCCCTGTGCCCAAGGTTATCGACTGGAGCCCAGACGCGTCCAGTCCTGTGGGATCGGAGTATATCCTCATGGAAAAGGCCGGGGGGAGACCATTGTTCCGCGTATGGGGCGAGATGAATCAACTGCAGCAATTCTCGCTTATCAAATCCCTGGTCCGGCTGGAGAGTCAGTTGGCTGCGCTTGAATTTCCTGCCTACGGAAACTTGTACCGTCGGGATTCAGTCACTCCACAGTTGCATTCCGAGGTTCCCATAGACGATGAATATTGTCTGGGGCCAATGTATAACGCGTCGTGGTTCCCACAGCCAAATAATGGCATTTACGCAGGTCCATGTGAGTCACTGATACCGTCGTCACACAAGGCTAACTTTTATGGTCTAGGGAAGGGTCTATCAGAGCTTGGCCTTGCGTTGACTGGTCGTGGTCTTGATCGCCTACAAAATTCTACGTTTGCGCCCCGTGGGCCCCATTTCGGTGCTTTGTCGGAACATACGGAGATTTTAGAAGCCACGAAGTCGATAATACCTGCGCTAGTGGACTGGCCTATCATACAAAAACTCTCAAAGCCTACACTGTGGCATACAGATCTGCACATGGGCAACATCTATGTTTCTGAGGAAGACCCAACGACCATCGTTGGTATAATCGACTGGCAATTTACCTCGATCATGCCAGCATTCATGCAGGTCCAGTGGCCAACCTTCCTAGAACCGCCCGATAATTATGAAATTGGCCCAGTGAAGCCGGAGTTGCCTGCCAACTTTGATGTCATGGACGAGGATGAAAGAGCCTTCGCAAAGACTAAGAATAACCAAGCTTTGGTTGCAAAATGCTATGAAGCATCATTTGCGAAGCATCAATCTCCAGCGTTCCAAGTCCTGAGTCGGAAATATTGCCCTGTGAGGCATCTTTTTCTGTTCTGTGACAACACAACCAAGAACGGAATCATACCGCTCCGCGACTCTCTTACTGATATCATTGGAAATTGGACGGAAATGGGTTTGGGGGACACTTGCCCATTTCGAATTAATGATGTCGATTTATCAAAACATCAACAGGAGTTTGCACGATACAAAGACTGGCAAAAGCTAAAAGGGTACACACAGGAGTTGCTGCACACAGATGATGATGGGTGGGTCTCTCCTCAATTGGACTTTGACAAAGTGCGGGCAAAACACGATGAGCTGTTTCAGATCTACATGGAACTAGAGACCAAGGCCATATCCAAGAGCGAGGCAGAAAGACTCTGGTTCTACGTCGAACAGCCTAACACGACCGCTCAAGTACTTCTTGAAAAAGAACCTTCTGACCCACCCCGGTGAATTATCCCCGTCCCCCGCGCTTCATATGGTCAATCTGTTCATACAAGGCCTGGTCATTATATGTTTGTGGAAGTAGCATATCCGCAAATTTCCGGACATACCACTCCAACGATTTAATTGCCACATAGTCAAACCCTTGGGATAAAGACCCGAGTCACTCCAATTCGTCAACCATACCTTTCCCTCTTCATCAAGGGTCAAATTCCGGGGCAAAACTTTCTGATGCGTCAGAACCAGTTTCTGGGAGTGGAATTTGTGGCATTCGTTCAGGATCCCACGATTGCCATTGAACCACTCCTGCAATTGCCTAATCGAAGCGAACGGTCCTACCCGCGCAAGGCTAAACACTCCACCATGTGCCGGGGTCCGCGGATGTCCCATTGGACCAGGCATGTCTTGGTCTGCCTGGGGCACCGGAATTGATTGCAAGGTATTCATCATCGACGCAACTTGGTTGATGACATCCGTGCGCTTGTCTGGTGTCAAGCTCTCCCAGCACTCCTCTACGGTCTTCCCGGCAATATAGTCCATGAGAATCAAGCACTTCCATTCACCACTGTACTCGTCCAGTTCAACTTTGGTTATCCGGTACACCCTAGGCATTCGGATCCGGTATGCTTCATTTCGCTCTCCTGCCTCCGCAATGACTCTCAAGATGCAGGCTTCACCGGGTTGTGTTCTTCGACCCCCTTTAATTACAAGCTTCTCAGATACGCGAACGATCCGTTCGAGCCCTCGATCATAGATCACAGGACTGGCTTGGAAGGCCTTGATCAGGGTATCGTCGGGAAGAAAGCAGATATCGTTTCCACTAAGAGGGAAGTGTTGCAGCTGTGACGCTCCTTGTGTAGGCTATATTGATGTTAGCATCGGTATGAGTATAAGTGAGAAGCTGATACCTCGTTCTGATGGGATGTTTCCATGCTAGCTATTCAAGTGATTGAATCTAAACCTGGTTGTGCTCAGGGGGTGGTGAATCGCAATTTGATATACATACACTATAGCGGCCATCGGGCGATTCCAATTTCCTGTCTTCAAAAAGTCAGAGGTATGTCCCGAATCATGATATTAGTTTATCCTTGTGTATTACTCGGGTGTACCCAAGTTGATATTCCAGTAAAGTCCACTGATCCAAGTACCTCCCACCCCACCCCAGATCCAACCATGCCTCCATAGCTACATTGACTGGTAAAGCGAATGTGCTACGCTCTCCCAGGAATTCTAATCCAGCCATTAAGAAACAACTGCTAAACCCCAAATCACAAATGAGCCCAATCAGCGTCATAAAGAAATATAAAGATCTCAATCCTCACCATCTACCTTAGCCTTCCACCCCATCCCACCCACCCTCGGTGATACCTACTCATAAAACCCCCCCACAACCAACGGATACCTCCCCCCATCGGGCCACTTGACCAAAATCCCCTCCCTCGCCTCCCTCACCTGCCTCATCCCCTCCCCCTCCCCCCCACCATCAACAACCCACCCCCTCTCCTCCATCAATTTCACAACCCCATCCACCCAAAACCGACACCCCTCCCCCATCTCATTAAACACATACTTTTCTCTCCCTTCCTCCACAAGCAACTCCACAAAATCCCCCACCGTATATCCACACCGGATATCGACCCAGAAGGATTTCGTCGCCCGGGGCGGAAAGATGTATGGTACGGTGCTGATGACGAGGATGCCTTTGCTGCCTTTCATGCCTGGATTGGGGGGAGGGGTGGTGTATGAGGGGGTCATGTCGATTTGGATGCTGGTGAATTCTGTAGTTGTATTTGCATTTGGATTTGTATTTGGGGGAGTGTTGGTGGGGGTGGAGGCATTGGGGATGTAGATTGTCCAGTGGTTGCCGCCGCGGGGGAGGGGTTCGTGGGCGGTGATGAGGAGGTGGGTGATGGGGGTGGTTAGGATTGTGGGTTTGGATGTTGGGGGGATGTATTGGATGGGGGTGAAGGGGGGGGGGTGGATGTTCATTTTGAGTTCGGTGGATTGATTAATGGTATAGATGGGTGGATGTGTGCAGATAGAAGGTTTCTTAGTGATGGGGGGAAGTGGTGGTGGTGGTGGTGAGGGTGAGGGGCTGGGGGGTCACATGACTGCGTTCATAAGGCTGAGGATGAATCTTTGAATGAAGGGTTGATTACTGGGTTATAGTATTAAGTTTGATACCACCAACTCATTTCACTACACAGGACACATCTTACTCGTCTCGTGACCCATACTTATCTCCAGAGTAGACGCGTCATTCTTCTGACTCCCAGTTATGCCACGCTCCGTTACAGGTAACTATCTCTATATCTCCAGTCATTCCTAATTTACAGGTACCGGTAGAAACAAGTCGGGGGAACCAGCGCAGAGAGTCACAGGGTACAATGCACGAGATATTTCCTAATATGGAAAGCCGGTTATCATCCCGATGAGAGATAGGATATCCATTGTAGCCTATTCAGGACTAGCGCCATATGGTGATCTTGATATGCCCACTGGAAGATGGTTTGACCAGCAGGACTCATTGCAGTCTCGAGGATATATAGATCGTTCGATGGTCAATGTTTCAGGATACTAATCCGTTTGGTGCACCATGCCACCCTCTTCCAGTAAGGATAACACGGGCACGTGACATGACCCGTTGATGACGATGGGAGGCTTCCTCGTATTCCTTTTTCTCCCGTTTAGTTACCGACAGCATCCTAATCCACTGGGATGAAAGCAATGAGACGATCAGGAAATCGACTCAAGGCGATCTGGAAAGGTAGGAGCAAATCCGGCGGGCAGCAGATCCAAAATGGACCGCTGCAGGCAGATGCAACTAGGACGGTGGAATCGTCATCCGTCGATGGAACCCGCCCCACTGTTGCTTCAGAACCTGTGAACGTACCAACTGCTGCAGCATCGCTCGATAGTTCTGGAAAGGAAGGCCCAACGGTCAATCCCTCGTCAGCCTGTGCCACGGGGCCCTCGGGCCATGCTCGTCCAGTCAATCCACCGACAAAACCACCATCACTCTCCGAGAAACTGTGGGATACGGCTTACGACAGCATAAAGGAAATAGATCCATCCCTCGTGAAAACATACGAAAAGATCATATCATGGGAGCTGGAATCAGGACAGCAGAGTGGAGGCCAGGAGGATGCGACGGCAATTCCAGGGAACAACGTGATTGCACAATCCAACCCCAGCCTACGCCGACAGCAAATGGCCCAGCTCGTCACACGACGTCAGTCCAGCGCAGAAAAGCGAGAAACTGCTATGCAGGTTGTACAAACAGGCGTGGTAATCCTCGAGAGCTTCAAAGGTATGATCGCTGGTGCCTTGGAAGCGTACCCTCCGGCGGGCCTCGCATTCGCTGGGGTGTGTCTTCTGGCCGAGGTATGTTTGAGGCCCGTCTTCTCTTCGTCGTCAGTATCGTGAGACTGATACGACATCCAGCGATTCACGGTTAGCATAGAAGCTAGCGTAAAGAACCGTGAAGGGCTCAACTATGTTGTCCCCAGGCATCAATGGTACCTGGGACTGTCAGAGCTTCTGTTTCGAGACTACTGGAAGTTCCCCCCGGACACTGCCTTTGAACAAGTTCGGGCAAATCTCTATCAACGTATTGTGGACCTGTACCAGTCTCTCCTCTGTTACCAGATGAAGTCCGTGTGCGCCTACTATAGGCATCGACGAATTCTCACCTTCATTCAGGACCAGGTCAACTGGAATGACTGGGAAGGAGATGTGTCCGAGATCAAGACATGTGAAACTGTCCTCTTCCAGGATGCTAGCCAATACAACGCCCTGGTCACCACGGAGCTGAAAGCTCAACACCTGGACACAACGCGGCTCATGCTCGACGACGCCACCAGGTCCAAGGTCAACCAGCTCATATCTGTCTTCAGCATCTCCGGTCTCAACTGCGAGGAGTTCATGGACATCCCCAACCCACCTCCAGCGCCAGATACCTGTCAGTGGTTCATGTCCCACCCAGCCTATAGCGAGTGGAAAGGGCTCACCAGGGGCGCCCTAATCATTTCAGCACCGCCCGGTTGTGGAAAGTCGGTGTTGTCTCGCTCTCTCGTCCACGGACTGAGAACCACAGTCCACGCCAACGAAATGGTCCTCCACTTCTTCTTCAAGGACTCCGAGCTACAGAATCACGCGACCTTTGCGATGTGCAGTATCCTGCACCAGCTTTTTACTCAGCACCGGGACCTCATCCTTCCCCTGAGAGACCAAATCGAGCAGACCAATGCAGCGTCTCTCCAAGCTGACCTGACGACTCTGTGGTCCATGTTTGTTCGCTCCATCGCTAACATCAAGTTGATTTGCATTCTTGATGGGCTTGATGAATGTGAGCCCAATAGTCGAAGAGTATTGATCGAGTCCCTTGTCGACAGTTTCGGCGGTTGTCAGTTTGGGAATGCGAGGTTCATCGTCACATGTCGTCCCTCCGAAGAAATCCTCCAAGGTTTCGATTCGCTTCAACCCAAGGTCACATTAGAAGCAGGCGACGAGGAAATCTCCCAAATAAGCTCGGAAGTCAACTCTATGATCGACCACAGAATTGCAAAGATCCGAGCCAGACAACGAAACCCGCTGCCACTCGGCGTAGCCGCCAAGTTGAAGTCTGAGTTGAAGGCGTTCAACAATCGCACATACCTATGGGTCCGTTTGGTCTTCGAGCTACTAGAGAGGCAGCTGGATAGAAGAGAGGAGGCCGTCCTAAAACTTACGCGCCAGCTACCCAAGACCGTCGAAGAAGCGTACAGCATTCTGCTTAGCAAGATCCCGTCCGACAACCAGGAGACTGTTCATGAGATCCTTGCAATCCTCGTAGCAGCACGTCGGCCACTAAGCGGCATGGAGCTTCACATTGCTCACAACATGTACATCGAAGTCAAGACTGGTAACGCCCCTACAACGATGACCAGCGACGAATTCGGCAGGTGGCTAGAAAATATGTGTGGCTTCTTTGTCCAAATATTCAAAGACCGAGTCTCCTTCATCCATCAGACTGTGAAGGAATACCTCCTAGCCACCGACAACAGGCTACCATGCTCGGGTCTGCTCGGAAAGGGTTGCATTAATGTGGCGGAATCCCACCGAGTGATGGCAGAAGCATGTATTCTTTATCTCTGGAACACCCATGCGCAATTGACTGGCATCGACTGGTCTCAGCTGGTGTTTTCCATGCCTAAGCGCATCATGCTTGGCTCCTGGTGGCAAGTCAAAGAAAGGGTCTTATCACAATTCAGGCCAATGACAGATATGTATGAGAAACACGCTTTTTTGGAGTATTCTTCGGGATATTGGGCCTATCACCATCACTGTTGCCAGACCGGCAACGACACAGATGACCCCGAGTCATTGTCCGATATCAGAAAAGGACTGTGGCCACGTTACTTTGCCCTCTTCGACCGTCCCAATATCTATACTGTCCGGGTAGCGGAAATGTCGCTGGCACATCGTTGGAGTATCAGGAGCTTGGTGTCTCCCCAACCCGACATCCCAAGTAACTATTGGCCTTTCAGTCTCTTGAGTAGAGCATCCGTTCCAGACCTCGTACTCGGAGTTGAGTGTGGGCACTGGAGGATGGTAGTACGGGGCATCGCGAAAGGAGAAGCTATGTCGATCAAGGATGCTGGAGGGAGAACGCCCCTTGACATCGCCTGTGAGAAAGACCATATCTCTCTTATACGGCTCCTACTTCGGCACGGAGCCCGTTCAGACGTAAGCTGCCAGGGATCGTCACTTTTTCTATGTCGGTCTCGCCAATCAGCCGAGCTCTTGCGCGACGCAGGGGCGGATATGACAGTGCGCGACAGCAAGGGAAACACAATGCTCCATGTAGCCGCACGTAGGAGTGACATCTCCCTCCTCGAGGAATTACTGGAGTGGGGTGTCGACGCATCCTGCACAAATGATGCCGGAAGCACGCCGCTTCACGAAGTCCGAGGTACCACGCCGAGAGCCATCGACCTTCTGGTAGAGGCCGGATGTTCTATTAGGGCTCGGAATCAAGCTGGCGACTCGGTGTTGCATTGCTTGGCCTCACTGAGGTCACGCACAGCAGTGAATCTCGAAGCGGCTATACGGCTCGGGGCGGATGTGAACTCTTCAAATCAAGCCGGTTTAACGCCACTCCATGTCTCGCGGTCGCCAGCCGCAGTTGGATGCCTCATCGACCACGGGGCCGATGCGTCTGCCGTAGATAATGCCGGTCGCACGCCATTCCACACGGTTCTGCTACGCAATGGAACCGGCAATGGAACGTATGCTGCCCTTCTATTCGCCTCGCGGAAAAACATGCCCAACGAGCCTGTTCAAGGCGACATGCCGCTGTTCAAAGCCTGCGCGCTGAGAGACAGTCAGCTCGTAATGAAGTTCTTAGAGGCCGGGGCAGATCCCCATGTTCCCGGTTCAAATGACCTCCCTTTCCTACATTACTACTTGAGTGAGATGCCAGCCGGGGTACACGTTGTTGAAAAGCTGCTGTCCATGGGGGTGAAGCCCGAGCCTCAAGTCCGAGATGACCCTTCCGTTCCAGCCCCTCAACGATATTCAACCGTAGACCTTGTCTTAGGACGGAGATATGGCCAGATTCCGGGCGATGGAAGTCACTTAGTACCACTGCTTCGGCTTTTTCAACGTCACGGGGCGGATTTCAAGGCCATCGATAGCGACGGAAAGTCCTCGCTCCATGTCTTCGCTGACCTCTGTTCAAAACTCTCATTTACTACCGGGTCCTCTGCCTGTACGGACAACACCCTTGTCAGCATTGCAGAGCTTCTTCTAGAGTATGGGCCAGCCGTTGACATTGCAGACATGTCCGGATCAACGCCCCTTCATGCCCTATGCCGCGGACGTGGCCTGTCGGACCGCTACTGGCGAGCGCTCTTTAACCTCTATGATCTGTTCTTAACCCACGGCGCCAATCCAAATATCCCTGACTGTGAGGGAGAGACTCCATTCACCCTCGTAGTGAGGCTACTCGCCCATCAAGAAACGTGCCCCCTCGACATCACCGAGGATATTTTGAGACTTTTCCTCGACTATACCGCCGACGCCAATACCCTGACTTATGGGGCGTACTCTGTGCTGTCAATCATCTGCATTGGGTACCATAGAACTGGTGGAAGGCCGGGCGGCCACGCACAAGTGCACGTTCAAATGGCAAAGCAACTTCTCGGTTCGGGAGCTAAGGTGTTCCACTCTGACAGCGATGACGGGTGCAAGAGAGCGCCGCTCATGGTATTGTGCAGGGTCCCTGCGCTTAATCGCTGGTCCGAGCAGCTGGCCAGGCTTTTGCTGGATTACAACGCCGAAGCAAAGACGACGGGCTCCTACAGGCCGCTGCATCGGCTACTTCAGTGCCGACTCTTTGACTTTGCCGGTAGGGTGAGGGGCCAGTCATTGAATAACAATGAAATTGTCGAATCGATTCAGATGATTGCGCTGGAGCTGATTCGGCGCGGCGCCAGCCTCACAGCGACGGATCCGTGGGGATATACGCCACTGGATTATCTGGAGCTCGAACCAGGATTAGACCGGCTGTGGAGTACCACGGGGTGTGAAGCGTCGTCATTGGACATTGAGACGATACGACGCAGTGTGGAAGTCTTCAGGAACCATCTGCTTCAGGCGGAGAGGATGCGTTGATGCGCTATTACCAGAAACCAAATAAACCACTCGCCCGGCATGGGGATTGATCTAGTTTCCCAGTCTCCTCTTAAAGTCAGCCTCTTCGCCTTCTCAAAGACGACCCAACCAGAACAAAGACAATATTCCAAGATCTCGACCTCAACTCACCGACTGGGCTCTCCGCAAAGAGTGTTACAGCCAACACATCTCCCTCGCTTAGCACTGTTCAATCCACTGGCGGAGTCGCGAGAGGAACCGAAAATACTCAGTCTACTACTGAGGATTTCCAAATGGGACAAGCAATCTCCTGGAATGTAAGAAGACGTATGATTCGGCAGATGCATGATTTCGGAATTGAAGGAATGAAATGAGGACCAAGAGAAGGCTAAAGGGGTAGATACGGGGTGAATATATATAATGTCGGACGGGGGTCTGTGACCTGTTGGATAAGGGGAGAGATGACAATTGACTGTTTCACCTGTTCAGGTGCGGATTGGCAGTGAATGTTTGTGGTGTGGGCTCTAAGAAATTGCAGTCATCAATTAGCACCATCCAACGCAATTTGGTTTCTGGAGGGATAGTTGGTAGTTAGCGTACGGAAATGCCAACGTTTCGCTTAACATATCAAGGGCGAAAATGTATCCCATAATGAAAAGAGTTGGCTTTGGAGATGATGCAGCTTGGGTGAGTGATGAATAGGAGAGATGGAGTACGGAATCTCGTGGCAAGAAGAGGTCAGGTGATAGTCACACGATTGTGCTAATCTCTCTAGTACTTCCCACCTTATTCCTTTTTACATAACACATATCATATACTTGTTGAACATAATGAATACTTCAGAATTTGGGAACCTTTGGCCAACCAGTCAAACCTTGTATTGTTGCGCCACGTCTGATCCATATGATGTCAGTTGATTTCCTTCCAGGTAACCTTATCACTGTCGAGAGACATGCACACCACGCTGCAGAATGACAGTGCAGTTACCTCAGATCGAAGCATATCCCCAAGCTATACGACAGATCCGACCATGAGTCATTGAGGACAATTGTCCAATTCAACTCACGAGAAGCTCGCTCGGTGTAGGATCCTAGCCGCAGCATCTTTCCGCAGCCGTTAACTTCCACCATTCTTCTGAGATGCGTTGGCCTAGCATGCTGCCTCCAGGGGTTAGGACGGACCGTTCACTCGTAGATTCCACACCCCTGGGCAATACATTATTTGGTATTAGGTCCTTATTGGCTGTATGAAACTATTGTCCTGGTATGGGGAGTGACTTGCGAGATGTGTGGCAACTGTTAGCACAGAAGTGATTTCAGCTCGGTGGCTCAGCGATGGGATCGTGCGCAAAGGGCAAGAATTGAGAGCGGTGATATAACTAGCTAAGCCCGGGACTATCTGACTCAGCGACAGTGCAGCCTTACGAAATATGCCTTCCATTTGACACGATATTCTCCGACCCTTGTCTTATGTCTTTTCTTGCTTGTTGTTTGTGAGAGTCAGTGTAATTGTAGCCGTTCCCTCTCTTTGTCAAATGGCTATCATTGGCGGGTTTTTTCCCTAGCGATTGATCCCAAAGGAAGGAGAAAATAAGTAGGGACCTACTACTCAAGCGACCAAAGGTTATCGAACGTCCACGCGGATGGGTTACCAAAGAAAAACCCCCCTAAGCATAGCTCCGGGTCCTCAAAGCCGTCCTAGTACGTGTTAGCATTGTTGATGTTGCTGCTGAGAGGAAAGTCCCACCTGGCCTATATTTGGATTGATAAATGAGGCATTTGCCATTTCAGTCGCTGCCTGCCCCCAGTCGTCTGGCGCCGTCATCTGATATGATATAAGTAGATGTATCGGTAAAGCTCCTGCGATATCATACCTGACCCGGGCGCAAGGGGAAGAGAACTTCCTTGGCCTTGTGTAAATCCTCCTGATGTGCTAATATGTGATGGTATTGCCTAACAACCCGCTCGATGGCCTCCTCCTTCCGTGCGGACTGGTCCGTTGGGGAGAGAATCAATTGAAGAAAGGTGTACGCTGCAGATATGTACCAATAGTGGGTGTATCCTGTACCCAGCCGTGCTATTCTCTGCGAGAGCATGTCAAGGGCGCTGTTCACGTATTGAAGGAGGGTGTTGCTGTTCGACCCGAGGATGAGATTGTCTATATGATTTGCGGTGAGATAATGGTACACCGGGGAAATGGATAGTTTTGAGCCATTGTGTACTCACTTTGGATCGTGGCTGAAATATACATGTTGTGGCAGATCGTCAAGGCCGCTCTGAAGTGATCAACTCGAAGGAGCAGAAGCGCATGATTGCCCGACTTGTTGAGCTGGTAGTGCCTCTCAATAATCTCACAAGCAGCATTGAAACACACCATCTTTGATAGCGCGTAGCGAGGATTGCTATCAGCCAGTCTCGCGAACGGTGCATGGAGCATAATCAGGCAGTGCCGGAGCTGGATTTCCAATAGGGTCCTAGCCATTTCAGAGTGTCCGTGCGAATCAACCCATACTGGGAGTCTCTTGAGCTCATTCGTGACATTTTCATCTTCATCCAAAACCTCATCATAGGTCCACCGGGATCCGATGTCGTTGGCCTTGGAGTTTATCGAAGTCCGAAGGGCGAACGTAGCTGCCGAAATATGAAGAAACGAGCATTTGGTGTACTTTCCCCACGGCCTCGATTCGGGCAGTGAAACACCATCTACCAATAAGTCCTCATCATCAACATTCAAAAGGGTACTGCTGTCCGATGTAATACCTGTCATGGAAGACGGCATTCCCCGCTCCATCGAAGCCTGAAGCTCCAATTCCAGCATCGTCGCCCATAACCGTCGCCTCATTTCCTGATCAAAAGCAGAGACTCTTTCCCCCAGCATCTTCGGATCGCGATGAAAGCCAGCAGACATGGCCGTTCGCACCAAAGACCCCGCCACCGTCCACGCCTGCTTCTTTTTCACGACATTGACCTGTTTGGCCAAGACCAGCAGACAGCGGATCTGCCAGATAGCCAAATACACATGCTTCTGGCTCTGACATGACAACCACCATTCCGAGGCCTCGATCCAAAGTGCAGCGCGTTCGCGACCGATCGAACTCTCACCAATATATTGGGTCTGACTACTGTCAGAGATACAGCTAACCGAAGCCATGATGAGCAGCAACAGAACCACAAACGCAGGTTTCGCAGCGTGGTAGTCTTCCCGAAACGTCTCATACTCTGTTGCAAAACTCGGATAATGCAGTATGCGATACAGAGTCTCAAACGTCTCAAAGTAGAGATTAACATACGCATCAATGGTCTCCTGATCCGGCAGAAGCCCAAAAAGCTCCCAATCCGATTTCGGTACGAGATCGTTACGAGCAGCTTTCCATTTCACCTGCAAGGTCTTGAGCTCACGCTGCAGAGTCGGCAAAGATGTCCGCTGCATGATCGTCGTTTTCATAAAAGTCCGCAATTCCTGGAACTAAGTCCGTCAGCTTCAACAAACGCCAGCAATCTCCAGCACCACTTACATGAGAGATCAGACTAATCGGATTACTACTCCCATAATACTGCGTCATAAAATTCTGACCCCGGAAAATCGTCCCCTCCGTTTCAACCCCAGTGATCTCAGCCCCAGTAATCGTAATCCTCCCCACCCTCGACCGAATAGCCGGTCTCTGCTCATTCGTCCCCGTCGCAGACGACGTCGCACCAAGCAACTGCCACGTCCCCGCATTCGGAGTCGCCTCCAAAGAAGCCAACCCCGAAGCGCGCCCGGCAGGCTGCCGAGCCACCACCGCTTCCTGTGGCACAGGCGTATAGCACGTGGATGTTGGAGAGGGGTGTCTCAGCACATCCGCAGGCTCATTGTAGGAGCAGGAATGTGCCTGGCCGGCGTTTCGGCACCGGCTACAGGCGGGTAGCTCCCGGTCACATTTCAGTTTTCGGCGTCGGCAATCATAGCAGGAGAGGGTTTTGCGTTTGCGTCTTTTGCTATCGGGGGGTTGGGGTCTGGGGGAGTGTGATCTCCGAGTTTTGGAGTGGGAGGACATGTTGGTGATGCGTGGTTGTTGGTCAGTTACATCCGGCGTCCGAGGGGGAGATATTATGGCTCGGAGATCGCGGAGATTTGGCGGATATTCGGACTTCGGCTCGGATATTGTGAGGGGCTCTTGTCAGATGGAAATCGTAGCTTGGACTGTGCGTGGAAGACCGAAATTAATAGATTGAAGTCGGAAGATAAGGTAGTGTGGATACTAAAGTAATTGTGGTATTTTTAGTTAAGCATGTTGGGTGTTTTTCTCACTAGAGGGCAGTACAAGTCTCATCATATCCGCGCCACCATGGAGGATCACAAAGCTGAACGAGCACATTAAAGGACGCGATAATATATCTCATTCATTAAGAAACATCTAAATTCATCGGCATGTTCACATCTTTAAAGATTCATACATATTCCAGCCCATGAAACACACCCATCCAAGTCTATTTGACCACCGCCATCAAAAAGCCATCATTCTGCTTCGCACCGACCGTCTGGATAACCACCGCCTCGACCCGCTCATCCTTAGCCGCTTCCTCCACCAAGGATGCTACGCTCGTATCCCTCTCCTCTGGACCCACGTGGCCATAATCCAACATCGCCCGGACCACATTATCCACAAAGATCACACTTCCCTTCCCGTTCGTCAACTTGACCCCATAGTTGAAGTAATTCCACTGGTTCGGCCAATCCGCATCGATAAACACGAAATCAAACCGCTCCAGCTCCCCGCGCTGGATCTCTTCCTCCAGCTTGGGAAGAACATCCAGTCCCGCGCCCAACACCACGTCCACTTCCTCGGGGACCTTGAGGCCCGCGGATCGCAGGTTCTGGATCGCGACCTCGCATCTGTCCGGGTTGATTTCGATGCTGGTGACTTTTCCTCCGGTGGATTTGATAGCCCGCGCGAGCCAGATGCTAGAGTATCCGCCTAGAGTGCCCAGTTCGAGGACGTTGCGGGCTCCGCTGCATGAGGCCAGCAGGCTGAGGAACTTGCCTTGGCTGGCCGAGAGGGCGATGGGCGGAATACCGTGTTTAATGGTGTTGTTGCGCGCATTGAGCAGGCTAGGGTCTTCGGGAGCCAGGTGAGATTGAACGTAGGCCTCAACAACGGCGGTGTTGGTGGCTTTCTCGATAGACATTTTGATTGTGTGCAGAGGGATTTCCAAGACGTTTATCAGATGGAGGTTTTTTTGGTAGAGTAGATCACTTCGATATAAAGGCTTGCATGTGTTGAAGGGAAGGAGACCATGGGTGCTGCTCCCTGGGCTTTATAGGCCTGCCATTCAATCGATGGTCAAACGCTATCTCGATGGCTAAGGCTATGCACTCTCGGGGTTGCCAAATACCAGAGTCGGATTTCTCGGACATCGCTAGTCCCAGGATTAATTAGCGCAAGGCTGTTATCAATCAGCAGCTATTAAGGGTCTATGCGAGCCCGTTATCTCCGAAACCAAATCGCACGTCTCACGAGGACGGCTCGGCTTCACATGCAGTCAGCCTGGGTCATGACACTCGGAGAGTATCGCTCCGAATCTTACTCCTCCCTATTGGCGCTAGTCTGGGGAACAGATGCGGAGTTATGTTGCTCCAGATGTCTGGTCTCTGAAGGTGTAGCGTCCAGTTCTTGACTAGAGCCGGGCAGTTCAACTGGAATCTGCGTGGTCGCCGATATTGACGGTAATTCAACTGGGGTGTGTTGCGATGATGCTGCTTCATGAATCTCGCTAGGCCCTTCAGATGGCAACTCAGGTCTTTGTTCAGAGACTACTTCCGACGGTAACTCCGACGAAATCGCAATCGTAACCTCAGCAGGCGCTTCTTTCGGAGGTATACCCCGACCCAGTTCCACATCGGTGCCATTAAAGACATCCGACTGCAAGGCACGCATAAGCGCGCTGGCCTCTTCAGGCGGAGGAACATCACCGCTCAACAACTCCAATGCCTTGACCTTCCTGCCGTACAGTTTCCCATTCGCAGGCCGATTCTCAACTATCAGACTCAACTCAGCACTCGCACCACCATAGAACCCTTTAGTCTGTGCGTAGGTAAATATCCCCGTAACACCCCCAGGACTAACACCGCTCGCGATCTCCCCATTTCGTCCGAGCGGTCCCACCGCCAGCGACACATTAATACCTAGCGTCAAGCTCCCCAGCTGCGCGAAGGTGCGTACGGCAAGATCGTTATGAAGAATGAAGACAAAGTCCGTCAACTCGACGCCGAACTGGCCTCCAAAACCACCTCCGAAGGACATGATGGCTGACGGGGCAGACCACGACCCATCTTTCAGACGCGCAACGAGAACACCGGATCCGATGCGGATGGATCCTAGGAATGCGACTTTGGCGACTGTGAGGATTACCAGGCCCTATCAGGTTTCAGGTAAGTTGCGCGGGCTGTGAGAGGCATCATCAGTGGGCTTATGGATCACTCACCTTGGCGCCAATGAGGATCTTCCGAGGAATGGTGCGACCCGGGCTATTGAAAGCATTGGGATTGGTAAAAGATTCGATAATTTGCGCTGCTTTGTCGCACTCGCCTGGATTCATATAGCTTTGTTAGTCGTGGCGACTATTGCTTTCTAGATTTGGGAGAAAAACATGGGCGCAACACAAATCCAAGCTGGTATCAAAGAACGGGCATACGTACTCGACAAAGACGCCGGAAACGGGCTATGGACACTTTGAGGCATTGCAGACAAATCTTAGGACAAGAGGTGGAAAGTTAGAGGTTGTTGGGGATTGTTGCGATTGTTGCAATTGTTGACAGGGACCAGACCCTGACAGATGGAGCCGTTTAAGGGGACGCGTGGGGGCCAGAGCTTGTCCCGATACAGTAGGGGCTCAGGCTGTCCGCAAGGCTCTCAGGATTTCCCTGTTCATTCTATTAAAATGTATAAAGCATAGGTAGTAACAATACCTGTACTTAAATTACCTATACTAT